TCTATTGAATATTTCAGATTTACTGCAATATACACCCGTCCTTGGATGGGCAAAAAAGCTAGTTGTAGTCGGTTAAGTGAGTTTTACAAACTTAATACCGTGCCAAAATCATCTCCTTAATGACGAGTCTATTTCTTCTTCAACGTTCTTCCCCCTCATCCCCATTGTTGACCTCCTCACCCCATCACCTTTGATTAGCACGGTTGGTTACGTACGGTGCGAAAGAAGTTCAACATATTTCGATTTAAAGCTTTCGTGACTGCAGGGATTCATCTTCTTGGTTCTTTCCGTAAAGTCACGTAGAAGGGAAATAATAAAATGTTTTATTTTTATTATTTTATTATTATTTCCCTTCTACGTGACTTTACCGAAAGAACCAAGTAGAAGTTCAACATACATACGCGTACAAATGAAACGGTGTTTGTTAGCACGGCAGCTTGCATCTAAAACTAAAATGTGATTTGCACTTGTAGAAAAACATAACCTTTGACATTCGTGTGTTTTGTGAAAATGGAATCCCAGCCCAGGCAAGCTTTTGTCGTTAGTTGCACACACACACACGCATGCACTCACGTGTGCACATGCACGGACACTTGTCAAGGATGTGGGAGGTTAGATTAGTTTGTCCTTGAGATCACCCTAATCCTAAACCTGTTATATTGCAGGGCATAGTCTCAAGCACCAAGCCTGGTGATGGCCAATTGACATAGATAATACTGTGCTGCATTGTAAACCCCACCCATGCAGGCAACACACAGTTGGATGGACGTCACTGTATGTGCATATCAAGTTAGTTATTTTTCACGTGAAATGTGTTCCTCCTGTATGAGTGGCTCAAAGAAAACTTTTACCCATGAGACGTTACGGCCTCTGTTTGCCATTTACACGCTAATCTTCTCCACTTTACAGTAGTTGCCTGTGTTCTTGTGCCATGGATTCGCTTGTCAGGTTACGTTAATATTTTAATTTTAATGTGTAGCTAATTTTCATCACCAACACATTGCAGGCCCTTACAAGGAAATGCTCAGAATTCTTGGCACAAAATTGTGGTTTTGAATTAACTTCTTATAAAATATTTTTTTTCCACACCTGTGCTGCGTCACACTTTCAAACATTCAACGTCACTCAGCATAATATCCCCGAACGATTGGGTATTGTGACCAAGCGCATTGATCAAAGACCATTCCTCAGATGTAAGAATCATGTGAAGTACATATTTTACAAGGGAACCTGGAATAGTTTTTATTCGTTTACAATTTATCTCGATTTTTTTTTCTTAACCTCTTGTCGCACTTCTTTTGGGTACAAGATATAGTGGTTGTCATTGAGTTGACTTTTAGGTTATCATCTTGCCAGGCTGCACCTTGAATTATAGTCAACTCTGAAATGTTCAGCGTGTCTCTACCCTTTTGGGTCACAAGCTAATGCCTGGTGCTGCGTTGGCTATCCATAAAACTAGCAACAAGTGGTCTTCAAGGAAGTTGTGGCACACTTTTGCTTTAGGGTTGGTGGATTGCCCAGGTCATCAAGTGGTAACACCACCTGTCAGGGCTACAAAGAGTGGCCACGTTTTCTCCAACATAAAACAATACTTTGGAATTGGTCAAACATCTCAAGCCTGGAGGCTACTAAAAAATTCTATTGAGCCTTGACAACGTTTACCTGGATGAATAAATGGCAGCGTTTTTGTCGATGTATGCATGGCCATTAGTTTGACCAGTTCTATTCCACACCGTAGGGATGCATTGTGCATGTATTATTTGTGGTGGGAGTTGCCTGTTAATCATTTAATTTATTCATTTCATGTGTACGGCCTTTACAGCATCTACGTCAAACTCCGTTGTTATGAAGTACAGTATTCAGCCTATGGCGTGAGGGTAATGTGTTTTATTGGGGTCTGAGCCGTGAGTTTATTTTAAGCATTGGTGTTCAAACTTTGGTCCCCTTCATAAGGTTGGTGTGGCCCTTGCGAGCTGGTTAACACAATGAGTCGTTGTCTCCCGACTGCGTGAGCTTTGTTTCTTTTAAGTTACCTTTTAGTTGACATATATAACCCTTTCGACTTGAAAAATGTCACGGGTTTCGCATCCTGCAGGTAACAATTATTTTCTGAATTACCGAATGAGTAATGTATTGTGTGTGTATAGTGTGTTTTTTTGTTGTTGAACAAATGTTCTTAGATTGTGCTCGTAATAACGAACAAACCAACTTTTACTATTCATTGCCGATCAGAATTTGGCATGCGAGAAAATAATTGCAGCCTTCAGGAACATTTTTTGTAGATTATTCATTATTTTCATGTTCCCACGAGAAGCTATTGCCCTCTCGAATGTGACAAAACTAATCGTCTAATCGTCGGCGATGTGGCATATGGTGTGGTATCCGTTTGAGAGAGAAAAGTAAAATACTCTACAATCTTTAAAAACAAACTTGTCATCTGTTGAAATGTATGTCACAATGTACTCTGTACAGTATTTAAAAATGTTTTTGCTAAATTTTACCTCAATGTTGGAATTCATGTTGTTGGTAATAGCCTTCTGAATGTGGTTTGGTTGCTTGACTCGGCAATGAGATAGAGACCGAATTCTAATTCCGGGTTGGGCATCAACGAGAACACATCTTTGTGAGGCCGTTTAATTGTAGACCAAATATTGTGGTGGGGACTTCAACATCAGTGGTCTTTCTGTGTTCGGACATGCCCCTGCCATGGTTGATAAGTATAATGTTTAACACGTAGGCTTTCGCGAACAATATAATCCATAATACAGGGTTTTTTTGGGGTTAGATTGCATAAATATATTTATATATTTGTATATGTATTTACGCGATCTAATCCCAAAAAAAACTGTTATGGTTGATAGTAGACTGTTGAATTTTCTACACCGGATTTTAGGTGCCACGTCTATAGCGGCTTTACAAGTACCATTTGATTAGGTGTTCACTTTGACTTGTACTTCCGTTTGAAATGGAGAAGGGCAGAAAAAAAAGTGAGAAAATAATCCCATCATCATCACCACCACCACCACACCTTTTTCGACGGTTGGGACACATGAGAAGCAGTCAAAAAAAGTGAGAAAATAATCCCATCATCACCACCACCACCACCACACTTTTTTCAACGATTGGGACACATGAGGGGCAGTGAAAAAAAGTGAGAAAATAATTCCATTACCACCACCATCACCGCCACACTTTTTTCGATGGTTGGGACACATGAGGGGCAGTGAAAAAAAAATAGAAAATAATCCCATCATCATCACCACCACCACACTTTTTTCAACGATTTGGACACATGAGGGGCAGTGAAAAAAAGTTAGAAAATAATCCCATCATCATCACCATCACCACCACACTTTTTTCGACGGTTGGGACACATGAGAAGCAGTGAAAAAAAGTGAGAAAATAATCCCATCATCATCACCATCACCACCACACTTTTTTCGACGGTTGGGACACATGAGAAGCAGTCAAAAAAAGTTAGAAAATAATCCCATCATCATCACCACCACCACACTTTTTTCAACGGTTGGGGCACACATGGCTGTGTGTACTGTATCCGACTACCCTCGTTGGTGCGGCTAAGGGTGTGGTCCAATGCCGCCTCCCACCAAACCATCCATGCGCTGTGGTTTTCGGCTCTCCCTCCGCATGCTTCTGCATTGCCTGCCTCTGGGCGCGGTCACGACTCCTGCCCGGGTCCGTGAGCTCACAAGTTGTTGTTTCCAAAGCCACCTTCCGTGGAATGCCTCGGCAGTTTACCTACACAAATCTTAGTTTTTTTATTTTTACCCCCCCCCCCCTCTCTCGCCAGCCTTCGCATTCTCACTTGTTTACGGTCATTCTAAAGTCTAAACTGTTACACTTTGATGTATGTCCACTTCTGTTGTTTTGGAAATTTCTCTTGAAAATGCACTCTCATTTGACCCACTTTTTGATTGACAGAATTAGAGTGTGTAAAAAACAACAACAATCAATGAATGTGCAATGAGCGTGGGCCCGCGGAAGGTTTGAAGCGCAAAATGTGTAAACACGACGTTCACACTTGTGTCTTTCTGTTTCGCGTGTGCCCACCGTGTTGTTTTGTAGCTTGGAAACTTATATAATTTAGTAGCGCTTCCCTCAACAGGCTTTAGACGATGTTTTTTTTGCTTCGAGTCCGTACAGTGCAAAAGCACTTTCTTTCCATGAATGAGAAGCGCTTTTTGGTAAAAAGGGAAAGGGCTTCGACTGGGAGAGGTGAAGCCAAAACGGTTGCAAGGCACATTTGGCACTCTTCCAGATGTTCATGGCATTGTTAAACTTGAACAATAATTCAATAACAAAGCGACAATATGCGACAAAAAAGGTGCCCAGCTACAGTCTATCTTGTTTTCACAGCACTGTCTTCAAGTACCTTTTTTGTGCCAAAATGTACACAAGGAAACACTTAAGATGTGGGTCCTAACAAACTGCGCTCCATGGAATCATATCGCTAATGTCGCCTGTTGTAGCTATTGTGTCTCTCTTGAGTGTTGGCCTGGTAGACGCCCTCAATTACGGTCTCCATGTACGTCCACTGCTGTCACAAAGGTTTGCCGACAGTTTCAGTAAAGCCAGAATAATGACTGGGTTCCCACACTAAGTAAGGTCTCGTCCGCACGAGTTTTCCTTTCATGTTACTTTGCACGAGATAAGTCACCGCAGCTCTACAATTTGTGCACATGCTACGTGTTTTATGTGTCACCTGAACACGTGTGCATAATTGATAATTTACAGTTTTTTAAAGGATAATAAAAACTCGTCAGTTTGGAGATGTGGGATTTGTCTAGTCCACGAGACATTGGGTGCATGGCCAGAGGGTGAATGCCCGACTTCGGTCAAACATCCCAGTGCAGGACTCTCTTGCAAAAGAGCCTTGAGACTCAAGTGGAGGCTTCCCCCCCCCCCCCCCCCCTGTGTAAACAAATGACTTAATATACTTATTGTTATTGCTGTTTGTTTTTTGTTTCTGCACCGTGCAGCCGTGCTGGACAATGAGCGGATGTCAGCAGAGGAGATGGATGAAAGGAGGAAGCAGAACATTGCCTATGAATACCTCTGCCACCTTGAGGAGGCAAAACAGTAAGCCCTCCACGCGGCACCCTCGTACACTCAGATTAAACTGTGTAAGTTTTTTCCCACTAGTTGATGGAAAACCGAACCTTGTAATCTTACCCTGTTCGTAGCTAAGGTACGTTCGCTACGATGGCCTATATACGTACCTGCTTCTCACTACACTACAAATGAAGATGAGATTTGCGGACAAAGGTAGGTTGAATTATTTGGTACAAAAGTTATATGTCTTATTACTGTATAGTGAGATGTGTGTTTTTAAATGCTGTGTTATTTTAAAATCTGCCCCGCCAACGAGAGCATTAATTGGACATTAAAGCTTTCTACGGTACGTTAGAATATAGTATGCACATTGTTGTTAACAGCTAGGATGTGGCAGTTGCCGCCTAGCTTTTATTGTGCACACCTCATTGCATAGTAAACAGGTGGTTGATAATGCTGCGCTAGCAAAGATAAGGATTATCGTACATCTCGCACTTCAACAACTTATTTTGTTCAGCGAGGCAGATTTCCACTACCCGCTCAGAATTTTTTTTGGAAGCTGTGAAGCAGAATCTTCATAAACCGTCTCCTGCTGTCTGGCGTGGCAAGGATTTGTGGATGCGTTTGGTATTTGAGGATGGATTCCCACACGAGCTGCAGTAAAAAACCACTGAGGGAGCTCCACTTTGTATGTACGGTTCTCGTGATCCTTGCAAAAGCGAAAACATTTCCACGCACTCTGCATCTACCTAAAGCAAATGGCAGTGAAGTGAAGTGTCTGTCAATTTTTTGTGTTGACTGACGGTTCAGAACAAATGTCTTGCATGAACCCACTTTGCATGGGGTTGCACTGACTCAATGGCGGTGAGTGGCAGCGGTCCAGATTGAAAGACCGCACGCCCCCGTTTAGGCGTGCCTCTGGTTAGGCACACATGCAGACCTTGGGTTGCACAGCTAACATGGGTGTGTCGGCCAACAATCATGCGACAACATTTCAAGAGTGTTTGAGTCAGCAGTTCGGTTTATTCCAAGTAGCATTACTCTGTGATATGCATCACATTTACATATCGGTTGACCCGCGCGTTATTCAATAAAACATTCCAGTAATTAAAAAAATCCCGAAACAAGTTTTATTTTGGGACCTCCGTTGCCAGTACCAAAATATGAGAATAGAGTTTCCCCTTTTTTCTGGCAACAAAACAGGTGTAAAGATGTTAAAACACCAAACTGAAACCTTTCACTACTTGTTTGCATTCTGACCACAAGTATTGTGGTTAATGCAGACATCATTCCTTGTAAAAGGTTTAAGTTTGGTGTTTTAACATCTTTACACCTGTTTGTTTTCCATAAAAAAGGGGAAAACCTATTCTCAAGTTTTATTTTACGAAAGCTTTTGCTTGTAACTGTTGACACAGTAAAGTCAAGTGCCAGTTTAAAAATAATATACTTTTTTTGTGACCGGGAGTCTGGGAAGATCAGAACACAACACATTTGCACAAATATATACCACACACATCTTGCATATGGGACTGGCACACATAAAAGGACAACCAGTTTGGATTAAACCTGCAAAAATAGATCACAGATTTGTCCTCATTCTGTAATCGCATTGGCTGGCTTATCACAATATAAATACTCCTCATTTACTGGTTCCCAAGATACAAAGGTCTTTAACAAATCTTATGGAATTGAGTTTGAGCACCGAAGGTGAATTTACTCTTGCTTTAGTATTTTTTCCCCCATCCAAGCATAATGGCTAAGAACATGTTTAAACAAGATAACGTTTCAGTGTAGAAGGTTAGCGTAGCATAATTCTCGCCGAGTGCCAAGCAGCACCCATGCACGTCATGATTCGCAGAGCTTTAGCGGGGCTTTAGTAAACGGGCGGCAGCGTAGGTGCTGTCTGCTGTGTTTGGTTTGGTATGCATGAAAGCATTTTGGTATTTCCTGCCAGGCCTAGTCTCCCGGGGAGGGGAGTGGGGGTGGTCTGCATGAAGGATGCCCAAGCAGCTTGTTGGTCTCTCACATGTGCGGCTTGATGCAATCCGTGCGTAACCCCGCCAACTCAAACAGCGGCTTCTTGGTCTAGCCCCCTCGGATGCATCTTGTTGAGAACGACCATTACACTCGTCCTCCATGGCTACCGGTCGTCGTTCGTGACCTCTCATTCGACGATTCGTTGTGCTTTTGCCGTTTGTCAATGTGCTGCCTTCACCACTCTGGTCAGTGCGGTTTGGGCAAAGAGGGGGCCTCAATAGGAGACCAGTTCAGATATCATTTGTCAACTAATGTTAGCCATGGCCAGAAATCGAACACAGTGCACAAACCACTTTGCTACTACTGCTCCCCATGCATTTGTGTTATCTTTCCAAAGTTTTTTGAGTAATGTTTTCCCAGCATTCTGTCCAATTTGATATATTTGTTAGTAAATTAATGTTGTGGAATATTACCAATTCACTGATGGTTGTCCAATTCCTGGGTGCACTACATTTGTATCGCAGTACAATTAAGGTTCGAGAGCAATAGCATCAGTTCTGATAAGAATTCAGATATTGGGGAAAGCTTCACAGAGTTTAAAAACTCTTTCACATGATTTATGCATTAGGATGTTTGGACGGTTTTTATTTTGTGTTTTTAAGTGACAAAGCCAGGTTGTCTGAAGAATACTCTAAAATATTAGTGGATAACACCCAAATCCACACAGATAGGTTAACCACTTTATGTCATGCCACCTACTGGTCATCTCACGGCCCTGTAGTTAAGGCAAATCAGCCGAATGCACGTTAATTATGAGGCTAATTCACCATCCTCAATACTTTTGCCGTTGATAAATGTTATAATGACACTCCTCGCTCGCGCATAAAAAAAAAAGACGATGTAATGACATTGATGAAGATAAATCGTGGACCAGAAAGCCTGCGGTGAGGCGGGAGTGTGTCATTTAAGATTCTGTAACGTTTGCCGCAGCCCTATAGCGCTTGTCTGGTCTCGCCAGTAGTCTGCAGTTATCATTTACATACCTGTCAACCCCGTATCAGTGCCTACCTTATTCCAGACCAATTCAAACTTTTGGTCACCCCGTGCCCCATATGAATCTCAAAGTTCATCCTACAAAGTCCCATCACAAGGGAGAAATACAAACAAATAGACATATTTTTTTGCCCGTATTGAAACGACTGTACGCCCTATGGACCTAAAAACTCGATTTCCCTGTACAAGAATTTGGGTAACTGTGTAAGGATTCATATTCTTCAAGGGTTGACAGGTATGTTATGGCATCTTACCATCACGATTATTACTTGTACAGTCCACCACTTGCTCCAGCAATGTGCTGGACTACATGTGTGCATCGCCCACACCCCGAAGTATATGTTGTAGAAAGTTCATGTAAATGTCAACCTTTTGCTGTCTTCTCGATAAGTTTTGTACATTAGTCAATTTGTTCTTCAATTAGTAACTTCTTTTCAAAACATATTTTTAAAGAAACCACGTGAAAGCCCAGTGAAGTACACTATCTGTTATTCGACATGTGGATGTAAACATGCTTGTACTGCTGTGGGTAGCAGTGTTAAAGTAGGTGCACTCCACCACTCAGTGTTTATGTGAACCATAGTTTATAAAGTACTGCATTAAACTCGACACACTGCCTTGGTGTTTATTAAACAGATGGCGGTATTTTTTAACAGTTCTGCAGTGTCGTATTTGATCACTGTCATGTGTAGCAGCTGTGCCTTTCTGTGTCTGCATATATTGCAAAGTGCGTGTGTATGACGTTCTGTTTGTGGTGGTGTGCGCATGAGTCAGTTGCTACATGCGGCAGTATTGTTGGGCAATTAGCAACGCTGTTTGCCAGCCGATCCAATGAATTTCGCAATTAAAATTGACCAATCTCCGGAAGATTTTCCATGTCTATTGATATGTTGAAAACATGCAGTGGTGACCTAAAACCGATAATGTAGTGACTTTATTTTGGGAACAGGCAACAACATGACTGCAGTTTTTCAATTGCTGCAGATGTAATTTCAGTCACTTTGAGTGGAGTGGTGTTGTCGATAACAGCCTGCTACGCTATGAACCAAGCAACCTGAGTTTGATTTCTGGCCACGGATAACATCGGTGGGACACCCTTCTTCACTGACCAGCGAGGTGAAGTATGGTCAAACAATCCCCATGACCGACTCGGCCCCTGACGTGCGGCCCCCGACAATACGTAAATGTGAAAACACCCCCCACCATCGTGCTGTCAAACACCAATGGTTTCAAATGTGTGGCGACCCTCACGCTGATGATGTCTAATCGGCAAAAGTGGCCGCCCTCTGAAAATGAGTGAAGAACACTGCAGTAGTGGATTAACAATGAGCTGTAAATTATTGAGAATACGTTTTTCTCCTTTTATCTGGCAGCAAAACAGGTGTTAAGTTGTTAAAGCACCAAACTGAAACTTTTTGCAAGGAATCATGTCTGCATTAACCACAATACGTGTAGTCAAAATGCAAAAAAACACATGCGCTGATAATAAAGGCATTGTCTTCAAAACTGATTGGTCCACACCATAGGCAGCTTTCTTTTGAGCCTCGTCTCAAACGGTGTTAGACCAGAGGACGCCAAATTATTATAACAGACGTGACTTCGTTTTCAGTTGTTAGATGACTGCTGGGAAGACCCTCATCCGGTTCGCACGGTTAGCATCGTACGGTGCAAAAGAAGTCCGACATACAGTACATCCATACATAACGTGCTGAAACGTGAAAATAAATACGAATTGCGCATAATCGGCTCCGGCGCAAGTGGCATGGGGTCCCCCTGAAGGGTCTGCGTGTTTGACTGCATCCTCTGGTCACAAGCCCTTCTCGACGTCTTTCTCGAACGCAGTCACAACCCCCCCCTAAGTCACAGCCCACGCTCAATGGGTCCACTGTACCACAAGGGTGGGTGGCAGCACAGCCAGAAGGGAGAGAGGGGGGGGCCCATTTTTTTCTCAAGATGCTTTCTTTCCATCGCCATCCCTGCTATATTTTCCAGACTCCTTGCAGCTTGTGCATGTTCCTGACCTTTAGGATGGAAACTTGGACATTGTTGTTACCAAGTTATGCATTTAGTAATACAAAAAAATGCAGCGAGGCAGGGTACATTGATGCATTATGCCAATATAACATTACAGGAAGCTAACGCTCTCGAATGTTGCCGAGGTTCATGCTGTAATTGCTCATGGTGATGGACACTGAAACACACTTTAATTATTTACAAACCTATTCATAACGGCGATTAAGTTTTTTAAAATATATTTTTTCGGATTTTAATTTAGCATTTGTAAAATATACCCATGTGACTGCTATCCGTTGCTTTTCAATGTTGCTGTTCCGGTCTGTTGTTTTGCCAGAACATCCTGTTTCACAGGCAGCCCATTAGCTCCAGAACTGTTGTCAAAGTACTGCATTTATCACCGTTTAGTAGGTTGTCGTGCCACTGCAGCACTGCTGCAGCCTTCATTGTATCCTATAGGCTACATAAGGTCTTGCTGCTCAACAGCTGTTCTGATGCACGTCAGATAGGCCACCAGCATGTGTGAGGCTGAGTGTTCATTATTAGCACTGTGTGTGCTTTTGGCATTATCTCTATAACACATCAGAGTCATCTTGTTGCCTGTTCTCAAAATTCTTCTCACTGAAACCAGATTGTAGTTGGTATGTTCTGCTATGTGATCAAAAAAGAATTGACATTCACTTGCAATGTGCTGATTCACTTGTTCTTTGGACTTTGTACATGTACAACCCTTTGTCAATCCACTGCTGGACCAGAGCTTCTCCACACCATGTGGGTCATCGAGGTTATCTGACCATACTTCACTGCGCTAGTCAATGTTGGTTGGTGAAGGCAGGGAGCATAGACATGGGTGCAATGAAGTGTGCACAACATTTTGCTCGTCTGCTGTCCACCGCACATCTTCATACTAGTGGCCGCCCATACAAGCACGATCCAGGCTCAATTCTGCTTGGATTATAGAATATACCAGGACAAAACATTTAATTGAAAATAGAGCTTTATGTTCTTGACTCTCAAGCAGATTTAGAATCTTTATTTAGACTGCCAAGCCTACTCCAGTTTGAGTACAGTTTTGTGGTTTCACAGGCGATATCACAGAAAAATATGTTTTGGACAGTACCAAAATAAACCTCTTCTTGGCTCTAGATGGCTATTTAAACAGACACACCAAAGATTGCAGGATGTGGTCTGCAAAGAGCTTCTGTAGTCTCGCATCGCCAAAATAAGCACATGTCATTTTTATCCATAGTTGCCGACATACACAAGTCCAATTATGTGAAGGAGTTGGCTCTTGGTAAGTTCTTTTCCCAAGTACAGAATGATCTGGTGGAGCAAGTTATTAGAAAACCGAGGGTTGTTTTAAATGTCCCTGGCTTAACACCGCTGTCTTGAATGGGTATGTGTTGAGTTGTCTTTGATGCACATGTTCAATGCCTATGTCCAAATCACTCATAAATGTGCCCGGGCTTTTCAGATATCAGAAGCAAAGCTTGGATAGTGCTTAAATAAGTGACCACCATGCACAACAGGTACACACTCCCTCACCTTGTATACAGGAGGTCGTGGGTTCGATCCCGACCCTGACGCCTGTATATTTGGAGTGTGCATGTTCTCCCCGTGGTCTGGTGGATTTTTCTCCGGGTCCTCCGGTTTTTCCCTCCACATTTAAAATCAACACGCGTCTGTTTCTAAATATATAAATTTCCACGTGATAAGCCACTTAATTGGGCTATCATTTGCGGCCAGGTCGCTTCTGAAAAAGCTATATAGATCAGTGGGCCTTACCATGTAAATTTCTGTTTGTTTTAGTACAGTTTAGTTTTTTTGTGGTAAAAATCAATTATATACGTTATGCTCCCACGGTACATCCCCTGCCTTGACCAACGCACACTGGCCAGCACGTGATGAAAGATGGTTAAATAAACCTTTTGACTTGTGCGGCGTGGGGAGGCCCTCATCCAGCAGTGTGCTGCGTTGTGTATATTAATAATACATTTAATGCATCCGCTACCTGTGAAATGGATGTCTTTGCCAGTGTTGTGCACCGATGCCCTGCCTCTCTTGTCTCCGTGCATATTGAATGTCATCTCATGCCTTCCATTCAGAGCCATTGTTGTCAAGCTGAATGTTGCTACAATGTGGTTGTTATCCTGGTTATTTATTTAAGCATGTACAGTATCTATATTATGTATTCATCTGTTTATACACAGACATTGAGCATTGCATCCTCGGCAGATGTGAAAGTTGTTTTTAAATACCCTGAAACGGCTCATTACCTTTGTGATTTGTATGCTTCAATTAAACCTCGGCAGATAATGTTGTGCTCGCTTTAAGAAAATAAGTAACATTTTAAAAAAACAAAAAAACTTTTATGAAATGTACTAGTAATGGCAGAACTCCACGACTCCATGAAGTGGCCCCGAAGCTTGCCATAACGTAAGGGACCGTGGCCAATTACAGCCAACGTCAGTAGGCCGTGGGCAATTAGACCCAAGCCGAAACATAACATATAAAAAAAGAATGTTTAAAAATAATGTATACCAAGTTTGCAGTCGATACCACATTGGGAAGTGGGTTAAAATTGAGTTTAATTTGAGGATACGACGACGACAAGAACAACAGACAGAGTGAGTTAATAAAAAGCGTGTTTAAAGGTTATTTATAAGAGCTGGTAGAGTCCTTAGTTTGTTGAAGCACTTGAATAGGTGTATTTTGCTGTGAACCAGTTAATTCCTTCTGCATCTCACATTGTGTTATCTCCTTCTGCAATTCTGTGTTCTCTGCAGTTGAACGGCTTCATTTACATAACATGCTTCTCTCCCAGTGGAGCTTGACTTTAATCATGTACAAAGTAAACACACTTGTATCAATATAATTTAGGAAACTGTCGCGGTGAGTGTTACTGGTCTCCGGGTTATTTGGTTAGAAAAACTATCCTTTACTCTCAATTATGTGCTATTAGCTTACAAGCGAAAATTAAAGTGAACCTACAAAAAGTCGCGATTGAAATACAATCTTAAAACAAACACTGGACTATTCGTTATTTAGTGTGTATTGAAATTGAACACCCCACCTCCCCCCCCACTGTGCTAAGTTTACAATCTGGCCAAGTGGCACAGTGACACATTTGATAGGTCGTGAATTTAATTTCTCGCCCTTCATGCCTCTGGGTGCCCTTAAATTGAGAAACATCTTGTGGGTAGTCATGACAAGTTTTTTAAATGAAGATATTGGATTTTGCCATAGCAATGTGCAATTTATTGTCCTCTCTCAGGGCTGCAATTGATATGAGCTTTGTTCCACACGAGTTCGAGCATGGGAACATTTATTTATGTTGTGCTCGCTTTCAGGACAGTAACCCATGATGCTTGGTAATGATTATTGGAGCTGTGAAAACGGTCGTGGTTAAATAGCCTCGTGGGTTTCAAGTGGAGTTCGTTGATGGCCTCGGTCAGTGACCAGTGACTGCGCAAAAACACATGCCCATTAAATTGGTTCTGCACATAATTTAGCTTAATTCCATATCTGAGAATTAAAATAATGGGACTTGACTGGAACACAATGAACATTAGTCTCGGTGAGGGGGAGGGGATGTGGGAAAGCATTGTTCCCCACCTTCTGCACCTGCACCAGAAGCCACTTGCTCTGTGGTGTCCACTTTCCTAGGTTATTCTCTAGCACGAAGAGTTTTGCTGAAATTATGCTTTTCCCTGACTGACAGTCGGGATAAAATTATTTTTTAAATACATGTATGTATGCATATATGTTGAACCTCTTTCGCACCGTACGTAGCGAACCATGTTAATCGGAGGTGCGGGGAAGGGACAACAAACTAAACACAAAAAATAGTTTTAAAGAAATTAGTTCTTCATCTAGATTTAAAAGTGCATAGCTCCAGTGGCTTCCTAGTATCGGAAGCAAGAGCGTTCCAGACAGCAGCAGAAGAGCATCCATCTGAAAGTGTGCGATACGGTGACCGTCTTTGTTTGATGGCTAGCCAAACGATGATCCGAGGGTGACCGGAGTTCGCGTGATGATTTATGCTCCTTGACGAGATCGGCATGGTATTGTCGTTCATTTGTGGGAGAAAGCACTTTTATGTGTAATGAGTGCGACCTCGTAAAAATGTAGAAAAAGGGGAGGCTCATCGGCATGTTGCTGCTGCTGTGTGTGCATGCGCACAGGTGGATGGAAGCGTGCCTCAATGAGGAGCTCCCCCCGACCACCGAACTGGAGGAGGGTCTCATGAATGGCGTCTTCCTCTCCAAGCTGGGGAACTTCTTCGCTCCGGAAGTCGTGTCGCTGAGGAAGATCTACGACAAAGAGCAGACGCGCTACAAGGCACCTCTTCCACCGCACCGTCGTCTGCTTCAGAATATTTATTCAGAGCAGACTTGTTGTGTCACATCAAAACCTAACGGTGTATATATTGTGACATTGTAAAGTCCCCAAGCTGTCTCTTACTTAGCCTGAAGTAAAAAAAGGATGCTTAACAACCTTTAGTTGAACCACGAGTCCAGAAGTTAAATCTATTATGTGGTGATGCTATGTTGGAAGTGGTGCACAAGCACAGTTTAAAAAAAATAACGCTTTCCTCAATACACCGCCTTAGATGAACACATTTCTATAATAGGCCAGGTTTTGGACCACTGGCCCTTCTTCATTGCATGTATGTTGAACTTCTGATACACCGTATGTACCCAACCGTGCCCATCACAATTAAATTGCAGGGCCAGAGAGAGAGAGAGTAAATACGTTTTGGAGACTGCACTTTACACCATGGGGCCTGATGAGAATTAAATGTACAAAATGTTTTCAGATGGCAATTTTTTTTGGCATGTGAATAGTTACTTGATAATAGCTATTGAGTCACAGTAAAGTTATAATGTTGCTTGGCGCATTGCATTGTGGGAATATAGGTTCCCTGTGAGAACAAGGCACAATCCACCTAGAAATGCATTCCTGGGCCAAATTATTAAGAATGTTCATAAGTCAACAAATACATAAACATTTACCCGATGAGGCATTTGTGATGTACAGAATGACAGTTGAGTAATTTACTAAGAGTTGATTAAATGCGTTGTGGAATGTCAACATTGGTTGTTTTGTGGATAGACTGGTCCCCGCCACGGCAATGTGGAGTTTCACCACCAGCTCTGGTTTACCAAGAACACCATCCTATGCTAATTTGCGTGTGGGGATACTTGAACATTTATTAATTTATATGTCAAATGTAGTTGGAGTACAACATTGAACAAGACTAACCTTACATTTTATTCAACTAAAGAGAGCCTACCTTATTAACCTGTAGTGATCGAGCACTTGCAATAATCAGTTCAGGGGATGCTTGTTATGCACTTAAAAAGAAAATTGCTCATATTGAAGATTGTATTTGCCTAAGTATGTCACTTAAAACCCTCTTGGCTCGAGGCCAATGCCCGAGACACATTTTCTGCCGGAAATCCCCCCCTTGGCTGACTGTAATTGGAGGATACTTGTGATGGGCACAATGGTGTCATTGTAAAGCTCTGGGCACTGCTCATCTATTGGGATGAAACACACATTGCCATTTATCTACAGGATGATATTTCAAAACAAACAATTTTGTACCCAAATTGGCTCAATCGCTGTGGGTACTGCGGGAATATGCCCTGCGATTTGCCATCTTAAGGAAGAGGCACACCGTTTGCTTGGAAGAAGGCACTCACAAATTAGCCAAAAACACTGTCTGAACAGGAAAATTATAAAATAGATGTTTCAGGCAATGACTCTTCTTCATATCATGTAAATAGAATATGTATCCTGAAGGCAGTCCTCTTCACAAATGTTGAGTTTTTTGTTATTTGTGCTTGTGTGCCACTGCCAACGCAGCATCGCCAGATAATGAGCATAATTCAAGACAATAACAACCTGAGGATTGTGGCAGTGTGGAAAGCACTGGCTGCGGTTATCCTGTTTTTTGCTAAATGAACCCCCTCGGTGGCACGTACAGAAGCCACAAGAGCTTAATTGTGCGACTGCCTGTGCTTGCCTTATATTGCATGCAGGCCATGGGACTGCATTTTCGACACACTGACAACATCATCCACTGGCTTCGAGCCATGGAAGCCATCGGTCTGCCCAAGGTGAGCGACGGGAAAGTTGACCCTTGCCCCAACAACACCCTGAGAGAGCCAATCCACTTGCTTGCACAGCTGTCTGCTGTGGGTGTGTGTGATGGGCCGTGCCTCTAATGTGTTGTTCAGAGCACATGGAAGAGAGAGATGAGGCTGCATTATGTTTTTCATCCTGTGCTCAGCATTATGTAAACTAGAATATGAAAAAAAAGCCACCATTCATGGGTAATTATTTTTTATTCATGAAATATAGTCACTCTTATTAATACCTGTCAATTGAAATTGTAATTTTGCCTTTGTGCAGCTGCTAAAATGTGACGTAAGACTATTTTGCATGTGTTATGCCAGTATTGCTTCAGTAGAAAAATGTATTCATGGTCTTACTGTAAGAGTTCAAAATAATCTGATTTAAATTGCAATCAAATTAGAAGCATTTTGTTATAATTAGGGGGATTATCTTTCCCCATGACCAAAACGCTCTACTTGTGCCTTCAGCAATGTCTAAGGTTTTTTTAGCTAACAATACTGTGCTTTGATGTGTGTACCATTCACTTGATCTTGTTGAATTGCCAACTACACGATGCATATATATGTGTTTTATGCACATATTTAAATGGTCTGCTTAACCTACTAAGTTACCATTCAACATTGTTATTCAGTGACTTTATAGCTTTAAATTTTCACTAGGATCTTATAAATACAGGAATGGAAGCGCAAACTTCCTTCAAGAGGTTAAACATGTTAATATAGATAAACCCAGATTCGGCAACATCGTGCACTGAATAGTGGCAATATATCATATCCACTTGTTTTTTTGTGCATAACTCTTATCTTATGCGGAATAAAATTGTTGGCAAGTATCTTACTGCTGAACGCTTGCTTCACCATTATACATTTTTGTGAATGTGTGTGTGTTTTTTTTACCCAGATCTTCTACCCCGAGACGACAGACATATACGACCGGAAAAACATGCCACGGTCTATCTACTGCATCCATGCGCTCAGGTGAAGAAGGCTGGCACAAAAAAAGCCATACTTTGCAGAAGCATAAATCCACAGCATTCTTTGCATTCGTCTTGCCTGTTTTTTTCCAAGTGCACATTTGCATGACCTGAAGATGAATCCCTGCAGTCACGAAAGCTTTAAATCGAAACATCGTGGAGGTCACTGACCGATCTATAGGTTTTGAGTGTGATATCCTTGTTTGTGTGGCTTTTCTTTGGAAAAAGTTTGTTCTCCTGCTTTCAAAATACTTAAGCATTCTAAACAGAACTTTGGTTAAAAAATAACATGGACTTATTTATTGATAATCCTCTTTAATCTGGCTCTCATGTTCTGTTTTCTAGCCTGTATTTGTTCAAGCTGGGCATTGCACCCCAGATACAAGACCTGTATGGGAAAGTAAATTTCACCGGTAAGTGAAACAAGGCTGGCAATTGTGTCTCTTGAACCTGCGTGCTCGGCACCAAGTACATTCCCAACTCGTTTGGTGTGTGTGGTGTGTCCACTGAACAATCTGATGCATGCACACAAATGCTGTAGTAAGATTTAAGTGTGTACACGCAGCACAGATGAAGAAATTCATACCCTTGCCCCAGTAACCCAAGGATGCCTTCCGTGCCAAATCTTGTCCTCATTTATAAGTGGTCCCTCGAAAGTCATGGCCAATACCATTCGACGTGTATTCATAAGAGAATCATACGTGTTGACGTGGATACATATTTTTTAGAAGCAGATGAGAAGCCGTTGAGATTAAAAAGTGTCCGTCATGTGAGAGCCAGCCAGTAAGATGTATGTAGAACTTCTTTCGCACCGTACGTAGCCAATCGTGATAATCGGAGGCGTGGTACATGTGTACATTTTGAGCTCATTTATTAGTCCACTGTTGCATGAGGGCCTCCCGAATATTGTTTTACGTGCAGGTTGGTAAATGCCAGGAGTATCAACATGGAAGCTGCTACGTCGACCTGTAAAAATTTAGAACACCTGTTTTATATGTATGCTTGTTACCCATCCAAGCACTATCCAGGCTCAATCCTGTGTTTGTCTTCAAAGAGCTGATGAGATTGGGCACGTTCAAGGCGATTTGGTCATTGGCTTGGTGATACAAGGAGACAGATCATAAAACGTTGTTGCATATACAAATTAAACCCAAGCAAAAGAGTACGCAGATATAACGGTGTTCACAACAATCATCTTTGCGTAACTGAACCGATTAACACTTTAAAATAATAGGTTTCTGTAATGAGGCTCTGTATAAATAGATTGTTTTCTGAGAAATTGTGACTGCTCATAGATTTAGGATATTTACGTATTACGGAACACGTGCAGAGTTTCAGTGCAAGGAATCCAAACAAAGTACTTTGTCGTGGGTCAACAGACATATTTACTTAAACCGTGAACCATTGTATTCACCAAATTGCTCATTGTGTGTCTTTGGCACATTTATCTCCACAGGTGGGGAGTAAACATGAAGTGGACTACAGTATTTCAATGATAAAAGCATCACATTGATGAAAACAATCGTGTGAATATTGGATGTATATGCACCCCATCTTATGTAATGGGTGAGGCCAAGTCAGTGTTTCCCTGCTCAAAATAAGCCAAGGAGCAGTGCTGTTTTTTCTTCGTGGTCTCGAGTTGTGGAAATTCCGCATTCCCATGGCTGACGTCATTTCATAGGACAACCACGTGACAAGTTGATAAATGATCGTATATTAGAGTTACTAGCAGGAACCCGCGGAACTTTTGCTTTAAAAGGATGGCTAATATGTTGTATGTTTAAACATCACTCTTCTACACCTCACCAATGTCTCGTAGTTATTTGTCGTGTAATTGGTGCTATTATATAATTCGGTGAATGCGTATAAGCAATAATTTTAACGATTGCGAGTTAGCATTGGTATGAACAAAATACTTTGATGTGGTTACCCTGACCTGACCCCCCTCTACAGTAGTGCAGAGGCTTTATTTAGTCTGGAGTGTCAAAGGGCATGATGTGTTGCTCTGGGCGCCTATTGACAAAAAGCATTTGCAAGTGCAGCTGATCGTTTTTTTTCTGGATGGGATCTGCTCAATCCTGCTGTAACCGGGTTCAGCCCTGCCCAGGATACACCGTGCCTTTCATGTTACCTCTGCCAAGTCATCACTGGCTGGCTTCTGGGTGTCCTTGATCCGGGTCTAATCCAAGCTAGGCTCTTTATTGCTGAGGTGTTAGGCAATTGAAATAAAACGTTAGTTATTCAATCCAAGCAAAACATACTTTTCCTACGCCATTTTATGTTTGTAAAGCGCTTGTACGTAACCTGTGTGTGTGTCTACAGCATAGATACATCGATGCACATGTAACGGAGAAGACATTTGTACAGCTGGCAAACGTTCATATTAAATATTGATACCTTCGCACAGACCTTGGCTTGGGGAGAGTGTTACACGTTTTAGTTAATTCCTTTATTACGTGCTTGTTGTTTGTCATTCGTAACTCCACAATATAAAAAATAATACTGTAATTAATACGAGCAGTAGAAAATAGTTACCTATTCACAAATGTACTGCAGCTGTGGCAAAAAGCCCATCGTGGCACACGGCCCACAAAAGCGACAATCTGTAAGTCTGTAATGCCGGTGACATCACCGTTTGCTGCCCCACATAGATACACGTCTGGAGTTGAGCCTGGTTAGACTCAAGGAAGGAATTAAGTTAGACAGAGCCGCACTCCCCTCCCACACCCATGGCTACTACCACCCACACATACTGGGGGTGGCTTCCTGCCACAGCAAAAGCACTGGGTGTATGAATGTTACTTAGTCACTGGCAATTTACCATTAATAGAATGACGGTTGCAAGGGCTAAGCAGTTAGCTTGGGACATTTTTTTTTATTTCGTTGTCAAATTGGATTGTTGAATTGCTAACATATTCAGCAGTGGGGGGGTGGGGGCATGAGGGCGTGAAAATACATTTCGCTTAAATTGTGCATGAGGACAACTTAATATTTTTATTCCTGAGTTGAAATTTTTTTTCTTTAGTGTTCGCGAGCCTTTAAAACACATTTTCATACAATTTTAATGCAGCTGTTGAAGGCACATCCATTGTCTCATCTTGTTATGAACAGATAACACAGTTGTGCTCACAGCTTCTTTTTCATCGGCATGTTTTAATACATTCATTCATATTTTACTCCTACTGCTTACAATAGTTTCTAACATGATTTATAATTTGTACAGTACTGTACTTTATGAATACAGTACTTAGTGAATTCTTCATGCACCACTTTGAGAACACTCTGAATGCACTTACTGCAACAACTTGACTTCTCTATGGAGACATAAACTCCCAAGTTGCCCGATTTCCCAATGCTGTATGTTTTTTTACTGGTATACAGTATGTGCCATTAATGCATCAACCCAGCCTTGGGTAGCGATCGTAAATATTTAGAGCTTTGAGCTCGATAAAGACAACAGGATTGGTGGTGTTGGATTTAAAATGATTTGAACGATACCTTCAGTGGACTAATTATGTATTGAACTTCAAACATCTCATTGATTAAACATACAGCTATTTTCTTGGTTCTTTCGGTAAAGTCTCATAGAATGGAGTCAGACGCTGTCTTTCCGACAGCCCTGTTCTTCACCTGAGGACGGCTGCTATTTCCCTTCTACGTGACTTTACCGAAAGAACCAAGAAGATGAATCCCTGCAGTCACGAAAGCTTTAAATCGAAATTCATACAGCTATTGTCACGAGCATTTTTTTTTTAATATACGGAATTGTTGATAGTTCTTCAAATTAAAATTGTACATTGTCACATCATAGTTCTGCTCATTTGAACAAAAATTTGTATTCCCACGTGGGTCATGTGATGAGATGAACACGCTATCAGAATTCTCAGTCTGCAGGTTAATACATTACTAAGTAATCAGCTCTGGACGATGGCAAACTAATCCCAAGTGTCACTTCAAGAGGCTAGCCACCCAACACTCGAGATTGCACTTCTTCATACCTTTCAGGAAGAGGTTCCACTGCATGCCAGTAAACCAACAAAAACCTTTAATACCCGCAGCTGAAATGCACGAAATAAAGTGAACGACATTTTACGCGATTGGTATTTTTCACGCGCTCATTTGTGACTGGGATGATACCGTGGGCTCGCTACACTTGAAATCACGGTGCGAACGTGAGTGGCATTCAGAATTCGAACCCCGAGTCACCTCTGTCCATAATGGACAGCCTGTTTATTTACTAACATTCGTGTGTCGCATTGTAATTGGGTATGCGAAAATGACAGCTTTGACGTGGCGAGACAGGTGACATTTACACTTGCATGGTGGTTGCACTGGATGTGCGTGCTTGTCTTCAAATGAGCACATGCGCAATTTCCACAATCTGGCGGCAGCTGATAATGTCATGTGACACTTGTATGAGTTACCCAGCTTAGTTTGGCTAGAGCCAGTTTGGACCCGAAATTGTGAGGTGTCACTCCTTCTTGCCATGTTATTTTCTATGCAGTTTGTAGACACACGTTACTGTGAGACTGGTCTAAAATTACAAAATGTTTTAAAAGCAAGTATTCGAAAAGAGAATGCCTTTATTATGCACAAATTATAGCCTTACAAATCCCATCCCACAACAAATTTCTGTTTTAATACCCTTGAAATTCGTTTTCATATGTTAGTTTTTCAGCTGTTGTTGCTGTGTTCTTAGTGTGAAGCTGGCTATTGTAAGAATCAGTATTTACATCGCATTGTTCTAAAGTATCATTGAAAGGGTATATCTCTGGCATTATTTGAAAGACTTTGTATTCGGATGATGACTGATCATATCGTCCTCATTGCCATGATCAATCCACTGCTGGATGAGAAGACCCCTCTAAGCCATCGTCATCCCTCACTGTCCCATGAATGAATGAACAATTCATCCAGCACCTGGACACAATCTCATCACTCCATCTCCATGGTGGACATCCTCTTGGATGTATTTTCCTTCTTTGACTGTCACTCATTATTTAGTCTCCCTCACTGGCTCGCATCACTTCTAAGCGACATGTCCTGCACAAGCCCACTTGATCAGATATCGCATATCATAAAAACTCGTCTGAATGCCTCATAACAAACGTGTATATTGTATATAATCGGCGGATATTTCAAGCAATGGCCCAAATTTCAATTGAGCAATTATATGGTTGTGCGCGTGCGCGCACGGTGTGTGTAATTTCAGAGCTCTGTGCTTATGGCCATGACCGTTGTGTTCACAGAGGAGGAGATCAACAACATGCGCAAGGAGCTGGAAAAGTACGGCATTCAAATGCCGGCATTCAGCAAGATCGGCGGAATCCTGGCGAACGAGCTGTCTGTGGACGAGGCTGCACGTACGTGTCTCCCGCCACTGGCACAGTTGTCTTACAGGGACTGTTTCCTCGTGCATTTCAGAAGTCTTTGCAAATGTATTTTGTTGTATGTCGAGTTTTGTTATTCAGAGTGTTCGTTTGTCAGTTATGTTTCTGTTTTAATGCTGGGCAGTCGTGCATTTAATCCTTTCAGTTTTCATTTATTTTCAGTCGGTGGTTATGGAAATCAGTGCTTTTGCAGTGACTCACCCACTAAATACTGCCAAATGCCAACGTGCACATTATCAGTCTGGCAATCCAGACTATTTTTCGGAGCCCTCCGTTGTGTTAGGGTGATGACTACGAGATTAAGAACTTGCAAGGAGGTGAACGCATACAAGCACTTCCAAAGATACACTTCGTCAGCGTGTAACAAATGAGCAATGGCGCTCTCTGTGGTTAATGGGGGCATTGCATGTGCGTTAATTGCGCCGCACGTATCCATTTCATTTCAAATGAAAGAAACATGTTTTTGTGAATAATCTCCCCATCCATATTTTCAGCAGTGTGGTAGGCTGTGCATTATTGGTTTATGGATTCTATAGTTTTTTTTTAATGCGAGTTGTGCTTGGATAGATGGACACAATCTTTCCTAAGCATAGTAATACGTAGCTTACCGGTTCCCTTAAAATTGTCTACTGATGCATTTGTAAAATCCAAATGAGAATAGAAATACAGAAAAAGCCATGAATTTGTGCCATGCTTAAAAATAAAAAAACGTGTACATACACAATATGCCCACGCAATTATTCTGATTGAACGCAAATGTATAACGTGTTAGTTCATCATTATGGGACCTTCTTTGCCAGTACCAAAATATGATAATAGGTTTTCCCCTTTATTCTGACAACAAAGCAGGTGTTGAGATGTTAAAACACCAAACTGAAACCTTTTACAAAGAATCATATCTGCATTAACCAACCGCAATACTTCTGGTCAGAATGAAAACAAAAAACATACTCTGCTAATATATGCATTGTCTTTTCAACGGATTGGTCCATACCAGAGCTTTATTTTGAGCCTAGTCTCAAACGGTGTTAGACCAGAGGACACCAAAAGGCGTACAGCACAAAGCCAAGTAATATCAGAGTAATGAGAGCTTAGGGTGAGCAGCTACATCATGGGACCTCCTTTGCCTTAGACCAGAGGATGCCTTTTGGCGTCCTCTGGTCGAGCACCGTTTGGGACTAGGCTCAAAAGAAAGCTGTCTGGTGTGGACCAATCGGTTTCAAAGACAATGCATTATCAGAGTAGGTTTTTTGTTTTGCATTCTGACCACAAGTATTGTGGTTAATGCAGACATGATTCCTTGTCAAAGGTTTCAGTTTAGTGTTTTTAACATCTCAACACCTGATTTGTTGCCAGAAAAAAGGGAAAACCTATTCTTGTGTTCGTTCATCGGTAATCTTTTAAATATACTGAATATCAGACCTTTTGATGGTAGATACTTGCTTGAGCTCAGTTTAGATCGCTCGTCCCCGCAACCCAGTTGCTGGAATATAATACACGAAGGAACATTTGCTCAGCACATGTGTTCATACACGGACACGCACAAACGGTGCGTCTGGTGTCTGCTTGCAGTGCACGCGGCCGTGATTGCCATTAACGAGGCGATCGATCATGGCGTGGCCAAGGAGACCATGGTGGCACTGCGCAACCCCAATGCCATGCTGGTTAACCTGAACGAGCCGCTGTCACCGGTCTACCAGGAGACGCTGTTGCATGCCAAGCAGGACAAGGCCACCAACGCCCGCAATAAGGTGATGCGCTCTTCTAAGCCATCCGTGCTGTCAACCTGCACGGTTCGCCCACTTGTGTATAGCCTCTGTTCAATGAGAGTGGTACTACGATGGCTTACCCTACACTTAGGAAAAATGTTCTGCGACCTAACACACTTTATGGCGTCAACATTTTTTGTGGTTTGAAAAATTTTTGAAAAGTGAAAATGTTTTGACAACGTACTTGTAACATTGTTGATATAAGAATCGCTTAGTAATTACGGAGACGCAATAGCGGTTCACATCCAGTGTTAATGGGGAAATAAAATTAGAGGTAATGGAGAGTGGGGGAAGAAGGAAAGGGAAGGAGTGAAAGAGTAACAATCTTGTATCCTGTAACCTGTTAACCTGTTGCCGAGGTTCAGTGCCACTATGTAGTTAAATAAACGCTGTTCTGATTTATCAAATCATATTTTAAGTAGGCAGTGACCCCCTTTCCAGTTCTTGTATTGTATAGCTTTAACAAATGACTTTGCATGGATTGAGAACCAAGGCCTTGTCCACGTTATTCAGTGTGAGGCAGCAACAGCTTCTGCATGCAATGTGTGTGACATCACTTCCTGTATTTACTGGTACAGTTGGTACAGACAAATGGGGTTTACATAACTAAATCAACAATATGTAACAGGGATGGTCAAATCGGCAGCTTGAGAGCTGCATGTGGCTCCTGTGCATTTCTAGTGTAGCTCAATAGGGATGTGGCCATTTTTTTACTTTTCAACATAAATTTAGTTGTAGATGCCCACAGCATGCTGCAAAAAACGAATGTGTAATGTACGTATGTTCACGCCGGACATAGCCAACCGTGCTAATTGGAGGTGCGGGGGAAGGACAACAACACTAAATAAAACGCAGTTCTAAAGAAATGCATTTTCAATATAGAATGAGTTTTCAATGTAGATGATAAAGTTTGAGTTTTAATTTTTAGTGTCACTATGCTACACATGACATTTTGACGAAAGATTTAAAATGGTACGGTAATTATCTATGACCATGATGGGGTAGGCATTTGTGTAGGAATTTATAGCTGTCTTGTTGGCAGAGAGATAGTCATGTGACCAGGTTTCTTGCATGCTTGCAAACTGCTTTTGACAAAACCCATCCGGTGCGATGTGTGCAATTGAACGCAACTCTCACGCACTTGCTATGCCATGCTGGACCATATAAATATAGGTGATGTCACATGCATGTTGCATGCACTGAATTTCTGTATAGGACTGCTTTACGGTAACAATACCTTGAGGGAAAATTAAAGATGTTGTGGCTTGTAGTTTTGGTTTTAGCAGGCCAGCATCCAGGCCACAAATGAGCATATACGACAGATTATATTCCGCGAGTGTAGAATGTGATTCCAACTCACATGCTGTTTTCTTCATTGGTTCAATCAACTAACGGATTGTGAATGTGAAAAAACAGCTCTCCATTTGAGGTTATAAGATAATTGGTATTTTGGCTAATCAGACCACCTCATTGGTCAATCAAAAGACTGCACTTAGAAATTCGCTACTTAACTTATTAATGATGCTATTAATAATTGGTTTGCAGTCGATGTCGGATGCCTCCAGCAAAGAGAGAGATGTATACGAGGAACTGCTGACTCAAGCCGAAATCCAGGGCAACATCAACAAAGTCAACAGTGAGTAGATAACTTCGAGGTTTACGCGCGGGATGTGTAGTAACTCCAACTAACAATCAAGATGCCGTATATAGACATGTTAAGTGCCTACTTGGGTATAATAAAACAAGTGTACAAACATTGAAATGTATCCAAGTGAACTGACAAGGATTGGAATCGGGAATATCGAGTGATACTGGACGAATCCGATGAGCTATGAGCACCTTTTCACAGATGTCCATTCCGGGGCACAGGGTCAGAATGTTACAGCAGAACGTGACGGTGAAATGGCTCCATGGACATAGCACGTGGTTAGATTATACCAATGCACCTAATACATGCTGGCCCTGTGCGGCGGGGTGAAGAAAATTGCAGTGGATTATTCCATCGTGAGTTAAACAGAACCAAGCTAATGTTTTACAGCTGCGGCGTTGTGTTACTCCAACGCCGCCGTGCTAGACTGTGAACGGAAAGGTCGGTCAGAAATCTGGTCCGTGCTGGTCTGGCTGCAGGCATCTGCTGTGCCGATGGCGAGCGGTGTGCCTGCATAGGCATACGCGCACACCTGTGGTGCATTGTTTACTGCTGCGATGTGCCGATAGGTGTGTTTTTGTAATAAGCTCACGTGGGAAGCACTCTACAAAACTCTTTGAGTGAAACGAATTACTGCGGGTAAGCAAAAGTTTACGCATTCTCTAAGGGGAGCAGTTGGTGGCTCTATCCATCGCACAGATTAACGATGCTTTTACATCTTGGGAGACGAATGATAATTTAATTTGATGGTTAATATTGTCCCATTTCTTGGTTGACGGAGTTCTCTCTTTGTATTGTGACCGGCTTTTGTTGGGTTTCTTGTGGAGTTCGCGTTGACCTTGGTGGTGGCGTTTGCCTGATAACACAGGCGGCCATTTCTCCATTAACGCTCATCGTTAAAGTTATTTGGCTTTAACTTTCGGGATACATTTTCATCTGTAAAGATACAATTTACTTTCAAAATCTCGCACGTTTCCATTGTCATCTGCTTACAAGTTATTGAGACAGGTGGTTAAATATGCATTCATCGTGATTGCTTTTCGCGTGTTTTGTCAAAGCTGATGTGCACCTTGTTGTTCTGCCTAAGCAGAAGGACTATAATTAGATTACTCTCACTTTCACTGGTGCTGCTGTGCGACTGTTGCGCCATCGTGTACGTGGCCGATTCGAGCACCCACATGCGAGTGTGCGCAGTTTTCCGCTACAACGCAATAGACTTATTAGGTTACTTTGTTACACATTTATTGCGTGCATTTCATCCGAGAGAGCAGCGGCGTCGTCGTGAGACAAGTCACTGTTGTTGACGACCACTCCCTTGCTCCCCGTGCCCTTCTGCACGTACGCACTCGCGCGCGCGACCCTTCAGTGCAAGCCGCTTTGGAGCAGGTGGACGAAGCCTTGGAGAAGCGAGACGAGGAAGCCATGATCCTAGCGCTCAAACTGCAGGCACTGGCCCTCACTGGGGTCCAGTCCCAGAACTCGCCCTGGTACCTGGAGCAACTGAGCAGTGATCGTCAGCTGAAAGGGCAGGTGCGTGCCGGTTTTCCCGTGCACTTTCGCCAGCGCGTCTTGTTAAACCGTTCTATTCCAGTTGTTTTGGTGGCGGCAGCAGCACTTCCTGTTGTTGCCGAAATGTTTTGTTTCTTGCGTGGGAGTTGGACAAACAGATTATGCATTCTGCATCAAAGTGACCATTAGATTGTTGTCCTTCCCCGCAAATCCGATAAGCACGGTAAGCTGCGTACGGTGCGAAAGAAGTTCAACATACATACAAATTACTTATCCATTTTACCCAGGTTTGATTGATGCCTTCTTCCGAATGTATTTGCATCTCAAAGGATTTGCCCCTTTAATTGCTTTAAAGGTCGTGTTTAACCAAAACGACGAATGCTGTAACGGTGCATGTTCCAAGTGAACGTAAAAATTACGTGTTTAAAGTTGGTTGTACAAACAGAACGAAATTATTGCGGCATTATATTTGCAACAGCAGCTGTGTTAAAAACTGTGTTTTAATTCGTAATCATATTTGCCATCTGATTGCAGGAGTCGGGTTCTTTCGAACCCCTGAGCAAGGATGAGCTGCAATCTGGAGTCAGAATTGCCAATGAGGAGTCATCTCGCCACAAGCAAAGTGAGTCCCTCTCCCAACCTTCCTGTTCCACTTAGCATTGGAATAGCACGAGCGTGTAATCCATTATCTGTATGTATCTATTACGTTTTATGTGGCGAGCCTTTGACGTTTCACGTGGCCTCAGACCGAGTACCTCAGGCCTTGCTATTAGCGCCGTGGTGACGTCACTACCTCTAAGTGGCTAATGGATGTTGTGGTTGGTCTTGAATTTTTATTCCTTCCCGTTGTTAGAGAGACCTGTGTTTTGTTCCCCCCGGGCATGTGTGCAAGTGCATTTAGACATGATGGGTAGGAGTGACCTGGCAGTGCACACTACATCCCGTGTGTTTGCTGCCGAGAATTGCTCATTAGTCATTTGCATCAGTGTTTATCTGTACCACACGTGTGAGAAAACTAACATTCTAGTGCAGTATGTAAAAAAAACACAAATGCTGGGAGACAGCTGTCTGAGTATTTTTAATATCCCCCAAACCTCCTCGTTTGCTCTTTGCAAGTTTACCAAGAATCCTTTCGAATGGAAAAAGTACTAAGACCCCAGAGATCCAATCCCAGCCATGGATACCATTGGTGGGAAAGTGGTGTCTGCTCCTGTTCTGGACCTCCACTAGGTTGACTCCAGCTTAATTGCGAACCTTGTGTGGCATGTAAAGCATGAGCAGTGCGGGGAAGGCAAGAGCCAACTTCGTGTGGTCCTGACCCCACACCCCACCCCGTCATCTACTGAACCTTAACAGTTGGTCACTTGTATTGTTGCCCTGGAGACCGGGAGATCGACGTTCGCTCGCCACGTCGATTGCATTCATGGTGAATTGTCACTTAACAGAGGGGGCCACGTGAAGGCTGCCATCATCCACTCACATCTCGGCGAGTCACTCCACTGCTCCTGATGGGGTTATCTGGCTTGACCACTTGAATGTGAAATTGTAGTTGTTGCTCTGCATCTACATCAGCCTTATGAATGAAGAACAAGTTGCTTGCTTAACAGTCCTTGCTCCAACGATCTATGAAGCTTAACGGGGAGTGGGGATCTTCGTGTTTGTGTGTTTATGTGCTGCACTCTGCAGAGCTGAAGGCCATATCTCACTGCAACGAGGTGATCCGGCGTGGTGTGGCGGCCGACACCGTCGTCGCGCTCATGCAGTCGGAGGCACAGCTGCCCGACGTGCATCCCTTTGCCGCCGACCTCTACCAGAGCGAGCTGGCCGCGCTGCAGACACAGAGCCCCTCCGTGAGCAGGACGCACGCACCGCCACAGCACAGCCATCCCCGGATGGCCATGCAGGACACGCAGCTCAAAGTACAGCGATCCCTACGGTGGTGGCGAGAAAGGTGCCACGGTGGCTACATGTTAACTTCCAAGCCCGGTATACAGGAGGTTGTGGGTTTCAATCACGACCCTGACGCCTGTATATTTGGAGCTTGCGGTGTCTCTCCCCGTGGTCGTGTGGATTTTTCCTCGGGTCCTCTGTTTTTTCCTTACATATTTAGGAACATGCGTTTTGAGTATCTGGCTGCTGTATATGTCTTCATGAAGCCACTTCATTGAGCTATCATTTGTGGCCAGGTCTCTTCTGGGCCTTACCTGTTAAAATAAAAAAATAGTTTAGTTTAAAAATAGTTTACGTTTCACCAGGAATTACATCTAGCATAATCAGGTGACAGCCTGATAATTCAAAACGTCGTACTGGAATTGTAAATGTTGTGAATATACTCTCCAGCATACCAGTGTGTGCTGTATTAGTAACGCGTTTACATCTTTTGTTTACGTGACAAACCTTTCGAATTGGCTGTGTCAGGTGGTGGCAGGTTTAGCGACATTTATATTTACACGATCGAACCCAAAATCCTCTGATGGATTATAGGAAAAGAGGACATTCTTGAGCTTCTACTCAAAGGGGGGCAGAGACCGGGGGAGACATACGGATGAGAAATGGGGGTTCTTGAAAGTTCAGTCGTCTTAAAGTTCAAGGGAGCCGATTGTGGCTAAATATTTTAATTACAAATTTGCCTCCACACAGTTGTATTCTTAGGGCAAATAAGGAGCAACAATGCATATCAGTGTCCCCTATTGTACCTCTTGCCTGATCGTGGGGAATAAAGGGATTGATCGAGTGAGATGGCAGTTCGAGTAACGTGTAAGCAACACGTGATACCACATGAAAACTGCAGAATCCTGAAGCTCAAGTTGCTGCTTTTGTTGAACAAGAATGTAGTTCAGACAACGAGGGCTTTTATGTAATCTGCATTGATGGTTACTGATTAGTTTTGCACTATTCAGACTGCCGTATGACAGTAAACCCTTGTGCGTCTGTGTCAGGGACACATAATAACCCAATTAAGTTTTGGACAGTTTGTGCTTTTGTCATTGTTTCGCCTACATGTGTGAATAATTGCCAAGTAATGTTTTCCATCGCGTAAAACTGGAGACAAATGTTCCAGACCCGCATAACCTGACACTCCATGGTGTTCTTCGGGCGCTTACATGTAGGTGAACTAATTAAAATGCGGAAAATGTTGAGTGGAAAGTATACTACTGATATAATATGTAACTGAGAATTAACCAATTCATTTGTGTAATTGTGCACATTTTGCCAACAGAGTAATTGATACCAATGCTGTCACTTGCATGTACGTAGTGTTTTTAAAAGATGTCATGAATGTTCGTGGGTAGCTCTGGGAGGTAACATTTTATCAGGAAACTGCACTAGCACTGCTTGACTACTGGGTTCTCGAGGATAATGAGTTGGTCTTAACGCAGTCAACAATAACTACAACCCACTATATTAGTCTGTTGACGAACAAAACATCTTCAGAGTGATTGGCATGCAACAGATAACCTGTGTAGTGAGTGAGAAGGTTTCCTCCCGAGTATAGATATTAGCCAGTTGATGGGACCTGAGAAGTATAGACCTTTATCTAACATGGGGGATAGGCTGTTGATTTTGTAAGAGTTTTGAATTTATTAAATCCTTCTGTGACATGACTCTGATGGCTCAATTTGAAAATGTACATGTCAAGTCCTTTTGTCAGTGCACTGCTCAATGAGGGTATCCTTCATGCCTCGTGGGTCATGAGGTTATTTTTTTTTACCAAACTTAATTGAACTGGTCAGCCTGGGTTGGTCAAGGGTGGGTAGCATAGACGTTTGAAGCATAGAATTACAAAACAAAGCACTACACTCCTCTGCTGCCCACTGCATATCCCCGCACGCATCTCTATGACAATTGTCATGGTGATGGTTCATCCAAGCGCCTTCCAGGCCCAAATTCTGCTTATTTTTTTCGATCTCATGAGATGGATTTCATTTTAGGAAATTGGAATATAAGTGCGTAGGGGTCACATGATAAAACAGCAACCTTGTTTCCTCCCTTAACATTGTAAATGTTCCTTGCAAACGTGATTTGTAACTTTGATCATTACCTGTTTCTCGGTAGTGCAATGTTAATGTGCCATTTCATTGAGGGACTACTGTGGTGTTATCTTGGTGTGGTCTTGGACTGTTTTGTTGTTGTTGTTGTTTTTGCTGCCATTCTCAATCTTGATAAATCGGGCTTACACAATTAATTCATGATTTATTTGTATTTAGTGACTTGCTTACCATTTTCTCTTTTGCACTCTTATAGTGTGTTTTTGTATTGTTTGCTGTTGTAACTTACTGACCTGCCCATACGAGGCATCTGTGAAAAGAGCTTCATTAGCTCATCGGATTCCTCTTCCAGTCTAAATAAAAGTTCCGATTCTGACAACAGTGTGAATGTGTGCCGCCGGCGCAGGGCGAGCTGGCCCACGAGGAGATGTACGTGGCAGTGGAGATGCTGTCAGCGGTGGCACTCATCAACCAAGCTCTGTCGTCGGGCGACAGGCCAGGCGTGTGGAAAGGCCTCACCAGTCCCGCCGCCGGCCTGGCCAACTTGGAGGATGAAAACACACAGAAGTACTCGCCTGCACTCACCACCTGCGCTCCCCACCCGCGCTCCCCACTTCCCCACTACCTCAACTCCCCATCGCGCATGCACCTGATCCCACCTTCCATATGTTGAATCTGTCCAAGGAGTTTTTTTCTTCTGAGTCACGAAACTGACTCCGATATAGGGTGCTGTTCATAAGCGTCGTTAGTCATTTTGAAAATGTCTTGTACATTCGTAAATGCGAGCACCTGAATAATATTGTTGCGCCTCGTGATATGTAGAAGTATGAAACGCATCGTGTATTATTCCAGGACTCCCTTGGATGGAGATATACCAGTGTTCTTCACACATTTTCAGAGGGGGGCCCACTTTCGCCGATATGACGTCCCGTGTGAGGGCCGCCACATCGCCTGCAAGGGGTGTTTTTCAGCATTTGTGTTTTGTCGGGGTCCGCACATCAGGGGCCACGCCAGAGGTCGCAACCGGGTACCCGTACCCTACCCGATACCCGGCTACCCGTACCCGGCTGGGTACGGGTAGCCGTTTGCGACCCTGGTGCGGCCGGGTACGGGTAAGGAAACAAAACCCATTTGCGACCTCTGGGCCACGCTAAAGGTCCTTGGCCCTCTCGTGCCTTGCAGTGAAGAACACTGAGATGTACTCTACTGTGTTACATCTCGATGGGCTCTCATTTACAATTTTTCATATTTCTTTTCAATAATTTGACCATTATGGGGAAGTTGTTTAGATCATGCTTGGCTACATTTAATGTCATGTGTCATGTTTTTAAAGAAGACCAGACTACAGCCGTCCCAATAACTCCATGCGATAGAAGTTCAACATACACCCTATGTGAATATTACCAGTAGAATATTTATTCCACAATATTTATATAGCCTAACCTCTGAAGCAGGGTGTGCTGTTATGTTTTTGGCAATAACCAGTTCCCCAGTTCGACGTACTTAAATAGTGTTTTTGTCTTGAAGCATTGAGTCATTGCTCTTTGGCTGTGGGAATTGGCTTGGATGGTGCCCCTCCGACTTAGCTGGATGAAGAATAACGAGGAATTAATGGGGGTTAATTCGCTGATGGATTGCTGCGCAGTCGGGGGGGGGGAAAGGATTTGCCTACTGTGCCTAGAATGGGCGGAGGAGGAGTGAAACTGTTGTTAATTATTTACAGGCATTCAAAAGCAAGTTCCAACAGGATAATTAAAGACTGTAGTATTGGTGCAGGTGTATGATTGTAAGTTAATTTACAATAAAAATGTTGAAGCTAGTTAACTCTTGAGAATATATATCTATCATTAGCTTGGGTTCATCTTCAGAGATGAAATATGCCCCATTATCATTTGATGATAGAAACACCAGCTTTTTGAAATATATATTTTTGCAAGTCAGAATTGGGTAAATATGTAAGGAAGCAACTGGTGTTTTATTATATTTTTTATTTTGCATTCCATCATTGCGTATTGACTTAAATTGCAACCTCGGGAGGGAAGTCTAAGAAATTAAACTTTATTAAAGCACTGATCTAAAATAAGCCTGTGCACATTATTCATGCCGTGTAGTGATGCCATATGATGCGCGAGGCATAATGAATCTGAATAGGAATATTTATTTAAACTGGAGGAATCCGATGAGCTGTAAAGCAGAGGTCACAATCGGGTACCCGATACTTGTACCCCACCCGATAACCGGCTTCCCGTACCCAGCCGGGCACGGGTACCCGTTTGCGACCCTGGTGCGGCCGGGTACGGGTAAGGAATCAAAACCCGTTTGCGACCTCTGCTGTAAAGCTCTTTTTCACAGAGGGTGCACCAAGCCACTGTGGGTGGACCAAGCCGCTGATCACAATTGAGCCTTTTGCTGTTTGTAAATCACACGTTGCATTATTTTTTGTATCCTCATTTCCATCCTGCACACGTATTTTTGGTCTGAGTTTCTCATCGTTTACAGAAAGTGTTAGAGAATTAGTTGAATGTATGGTTTTACTGCCGCTACGATGCAAGCTATTGTCACGTGAAGATGCGGGGGGCACCCACGCCAGGGTTAAGCGTGTTCTCCGCTGCTGGGCAGGTACATTGACTCGCTGCTCATTCAGAAGACTCAGTCGGCAGCCCAAGGCAAAGAGTTCCTCACGTGGAACGACATCCAGAGCGGCGTGGAGGACGTCAACGGCACCGTGCAGCAGGAGCACGAACGTGAGCCCCCCCCCCCCCCCCACACTCGCCTATCCCCCAGCAGCAGCAGCAACGTCCTTGTTGATCAATGCATTTATAGCCCTTATGACATAGTACATATCTAGTCGGTCAGGTGACATTGTCAGTTTAACACGTAGGCTTTCGCGATCAATATCATCCATAATGAAGGTTTTTTGGGTTAGATTGCGTAAATATATAAATATGTTGTTAAAACCCGCCACCACCTGACACGGCCAACTAGTAAGGGTTGTCACGTAAACAGAACATGGCCTTGGCTCTCCAACACACCGGTGTGCTGTACTAGTGACGAATTGGCATGTTTGCGGTGTCAGATGGTGGTGAGTTTTAACGACACATTTATGCATTTCCACGATATAACCCCAAAAACCTCTATTATGGAGATGACATTGTGGTGGGAAGTTTTCAACTTACATTTGTAAGGTAGCTAGTTCGAATTCATCGTACATATGGAGTTGATAAAATCGTTAACACTTTGTCAGAGGTAAACAGTGCGTCCCCTGGATAGACTGATCCCTGCATGGAAATGTGGAATTTACAGCACTGTCAAAGGTGCCACTAAATGAGACAACACCTCCAGCATTGCTTCCGTGAGCAAGGAGACACGTTAACTCTATTTCTGGGCCAAACGTCTGCAAGGAAATGATAATGATATGATTTACGATAGGGTATTGCTTGAGTGTACAACTACACACCTAAAATATTCTAAAATCGTCAATCGCCAAAATCACACTGGCTCAATAAATAAATAGCACAGCCCACCGCTTATGTATGTATGTATGTTGAACTTCTTTCAACATACATACGTACGTAAGAAAGAGGTGGTAGCGGTGAAATGCTGATTGGGCTGACTGGAGCGTGCATCGCGTGGCAGGGATCGTGGCGATCGGCCTCATCAACGACGCCCTTGACAGCGAGGACCCCCAGAAGATACTGAAGGCGCTGCAACACCCAGCCGCCAAACTGCTTGGCGTGGACCCGTCGCTCGCGCGCCACTACCAAAACGTGCTGCGGCAGGCCAAGGCCAACAAGGCTAAGGTGAGGGACTCGGCGCTGCAGGCCTTGTCTTGTATTATCACCGAGTTTTGTTTTACAAAGTGGGCATTGCCGACTGCTGTTCTCGTGTTTGGTTATTACGCTGGGATATGTCAACACTATGCCAGCCTTGGATGGAGATTGTTTTGACGCAGTGTCTGTCCTTGTAAGTGAGAGGAATCTTGTGAGCTTTTTATGATAACAATTACTGAGTCTATGATCTAGTCACAATATGTTTTGGGGAGGAAGATTTGATGTCACGGACAGGATTCCCAGTCATGTATCATCATGTCTACATTGAGAGGTATACAGAGAGACCTTGCTGGAGACACACAAGCTCAGCTTAAATGATGCAACATGCAGTTAAACTAAACAAACACATTCCAGAAAACATAACATTAATTGAACAAAATATGCTTTCTCACTGTACCAGTTTTCTTTGAACGTATGTCATTGCACTGTAGAATAACACTTAAACACTTGCCGAGTAAGCTCGATGGAATCCCATTTAGTTCTTCTTCTTGGGCAAAGCTTTAACAAATAGAAGTGGTGGCTGTACAGCAACGTATTCAACTCCATGGTAACATTCTAATTGAATTCGAGAAATGGTGCAGCCGATTAATGGTTATGTGTTCATGTAACAACTAATTCGTTCACTGTGGCCCTGTTGTTTATGTTTCTAATCTTACCGGGAGATCGACGTTTTGACATGCAGTGGACACTTGACGACACTCGTGTTGATGAGCAAGCGCGTAGCACGCAGGCACAGAAACACTCAATAGGAGCTCAGCATTAATCGTGGCTACTGGTCCCCCCAATGTAAGAGCTGATTGTTTTTGGTACTTTGAGTAAATTGGTTTCCCTTTTTGAATTATTTATTGTTGCCTACTAGCATAGGTTGCTGTCAATAATTATTTCAACATTTTTAAATAATCAAATTTGGTAGCAGATGGGTCGTGTTGATGACGTAGTAGTCCTTCTGCAAGGATGTATCAGTTTCAAGCAGATTTTTTTTATAAACTCCCAACGGTACGTATCTGACAAGTCTTCTCCGGAATTTCAACTAAAATAGACGCTTTTTTTGTTTGTTTCAAAATGACATTCTTTTTTTTCATATACATGAGGATTGTTGTGTCTGCATTCTAGTTTTCAACAGGTACGACAGATACACTGAGATTGTCCTCCTGTTCTGTATTGAGTTAATAATCTAATGCTCATATGTCACAAGTCGGATCCACGTGTATGTGTTGTGTCTTAGGCAAATGGAGATCCCTCGGCTGTCCTTTGGCTGGAGGAGATTCAAGAAGCAATTTACAGGGCCAACAAGCAAAACGAAGAGACTCAGCGTTGTGAGTTGCTTTGTGTGTTCATTCCAAATGCCTAACCCCAGTCCACTGCGTCATGCTATGATAGCTGCGTTTGTTTTACTTCTTAAGGTTGCACAGGTCCAGAAAAAAATAATAATCCTAAAGTTCTAATAGCAGCCATCATTACATTTTACAGACTTCTTTGAACACTATACTTTTACTCCCTCAATCTAGATCAGATTGACAGCTAAGTATTTAACAAATGTATCTTAAGAATAATACTTAATGAGATGAAAATAAAATATATTTGCAATTGTTGCTATAATTGGCTTTATGATTAGTTACTAAAGCAAAGTACAGGTAGCCCTTTATGTATATAGGAAGAGTGTTTTTTTTATACACTGGTATTTTTATGAAGCCTTTATCACTCCCCCAGGTCTCCTTTGGAAATAGATTTTTGCCTCAATGGGCTTTCACCTAGTTATAAAGTTCACGCATCTTTGTGGTTAAAACAGGAGGACTGGATGTGCTACCACCCCATTGGTCCACTTCTTGTATTACAATATTACTAAAACTTTCATGGTTGTGCTGTGGAGCTTTGATGTGTCTTTAAGTTGTACATCATGCTGAACAACACACATTGTACAACTTGGTAATGCTGCAGGGAGCTACGCTACTTTCCATTTGGTATGATATTTGAATGCAATGGACCAACGTTTATATCTGTACGTTGAGTTTCGAAAGCCATTGGATGGTATCTTGGATCACAACTTGGATTTTTTCCCTCCTGCAATGGCGTGTTTTCGGTGGAGATGGGTGATGCGAGTAGTGGATTGCACCTCGCCTTACAAAAAGTGGTCTACCTTGCCTTCGCAAGCGACTGTGTGTGTGCGAGTACCATAGATTGACTGTTTGCGTGAGTTCCATTGTGACTGTGTGAGTACGATTGAGTGACTGTGTGTGTGTGAGTACCATGGAGTGACTGTCTGTGTATCCATCCTACAGTGGCGGTGGCGGTGGCAGCTATCAACATCGCGGTGGATGAAGGCGATGCGTCACAGACGTTTTCTATGTTGCGTTCACAAGACGTGGGTCTGCGTGGCGTCGTGGAGGAATGCAGTGACACCTATCAGTCTGAGCTGTACGATGCCAAGCAGGAGAAGATGGTGCAAGGTGGGGGATTGGCACCTGGCACAGGCGCAGGAAAACCATCTGTCATTTCATCACTTGGATTTGTCATCATGGCAAAGTCATCTCCAGTTTTAATATCGACTGTCATTTCTATGCTGATGACCAAAGTAAACTATCCACTCCCACATCCTACCTTGACGAAGTCTCATCTGGAATTGGTTATAACTTTTGCCAAATGTTGCTAAATTTGAGGCACACTTATATGGCAAAAAGCCCACACTCGCACAAGAGTCCAATTTGAGCATGAACTTCCTAAAAACTTTGGAGTTGTCATTGATCTCGAGGTCTCTCTCAACCCTACAAGTCCTCATACCGTCAACCGTGTAACATCACTCACATCTTCCATTCCTTTCCCCAGCTGCCGCTGAGACCTTATTCTCTATCTTCTTCACATCCCAACTCGGCAACGGCAACTCTCCTACGGCCTCCCAAAATGCCTCTCTACCAAATACCAATTGGTTCAAAATGCTGCTGCCAGACTCTTTACCCGCACCCGTATTTGAGATCAGATCATCCCGACACTTCAATTCCTCCATCGACTCCAAATCCAATCTTGGATCTGTTTCCAAATGTGCGATCACCATCTTCATTATCATCTATGGACTTGCTCCTGCCTATTTCTACCCTGTCATCTTACTCCCCTCTACACATTCACCGCTCCAGCAACCAAGACTGGGGAGATAGAGGTCGTGGGTTCGAGCCCGACCTCGATGCCTTTATATTTGGAGTTTGCATGTTTTCCCCGTGGTGGCGTGGATTTTTCTCCAGGTCCTCCGTTTTTCCCTCTGCATTTACAAAAATGCTTTTAGAGTATTTAGCTGCTATAAATTTCCACATGATGAGCCACTTCTTTGAGCTATCATTTGTGGCCAGGTTGCTTCTCAAAAAGAGCTTCATAGCTCAGTGAACCTGACTTGGTAAAGGAAAGACCTTCTTCTGAAACCTCTCTGTCAAAACGTTGCTCAGTGGGGGGGGGTTGCTCTCCTCTGCTGCTCTCGCAGGCTAAAACTCCCTTCCGACCGACATCTGTGCTGTGGACTCCCTCGCCCTGTTCAAGTGCACAATCAATAGTTTCCTTTTTTTCCCTCTGGTTATGGCTTTTTCTGTCTATAATATAAATCTGCCCATCTTTTCTCTGCTGTGTCTTGAGATGCCGTCGCATTCAGACGTTACATATAGATACAAATTGTATTATAATTGTATTGTGGTTTGCATGCAGCACAAAGTTCCCGGTGCGATTTTCGTCCCCTGCAGGGGACAATGGGAGCCAGTGGGTTCAGCACCGCACCAGGGAAGGTTTCGACTATTACTTCAACCTCCAGGAGCTTCACGGCACGTGGGAGCAGCCCAAGGGATTTGTGCAGAACAACACGCAGCTGAACCGTGAAGACATCCAGGTGCCGTAGCCTCTGCCGTCCTTATGACTTTGTTGAACCTGGAGGCCAGGAAATCGTGTTGGCAAGTGTTCTTGAGCCTCGATGCTGCTGACATCCTTTATTCGCTAGCTAATCAATCAGTTATGGCTGGAATATATTGACAACAAATAAAAGTAGGCAAACAAATTGCCCAATGCATAATAACACTTCGTTCAATACCATTGTAAACATGTCTCAGGACGTTTTCAGGAGATCTTTGGCTTATGTGGTCATACGTTATTGTGAACTATTACCATCTTGTCCACATTCACCACCGACCACCTCACCGCTTTGCAAATTCTTGCCAGAAGCTACAGATAAGTGACGGTAACATCTTGTTGCTGCTGTCTGTGGATAAAATTCACTCAACTCCACTTAAATGTTTTTTTCCAAAGGCTAATTCAACGTGACACCAGGCTGACATTCTGTCATTGCTTCCCCTCGGTAATGCCTTAACGGCCCCGGCTGGTGCGCATTTGTCCGCATCCCACCCTCCCTCCCCCCCACCCCAGAACTCGGTGAGCCAAGTGACGGCAGCGTACAACCGCGAGCAGATGTGGCTGGCTCACGAGCCAACCATCGTGAAGCTGCAGGCGCAATGCCGCGGGTTCCTTGCGCGCCGCAGTTTCCAAGCCAAGCGGGACTTCTTCCAAGAGCAGGTCCCGGCCATCACCAAGATACAGGTACGGCACGGCGCGCTGACTTCCATACACACGCTCGTGCGCCACTCCGCAGCCTGTTGCCAGATTTACCATGATTCGGCTTTGCGCACGAACTACCGTTGCAGATTAACTGCACGACTGTCGTAAAACGTGGTGGAAATTACCTTCCACTATTGCAATCGTCACATACTTGCTGAATCAATTTCTTCATCATAATAAGTCATGATCTATCCACTGCTAAATGATGGTTTCCCAAAGCGGTCACCATCTCTTATAGCCTTGTGATGCAACAATGTGCTAACACCTGAAAATGAGCTGCTGTCATTGTTAGATCTTCATGGTAGATGTATCCTCGGTTGTGTTTTGTTATTTTGTTAACACTTGCAGAGTGTATTAAGATAACAACAGCCTTTTAATGCAGAGTTAGGAAAGAGGACAGATTGATGGTACTTACGGTTCTGAGAGCGTTGTGTAATTTAGAGTTATTAAAACGCAGTTTCTTGAATAGGTTTTAATTCTATCAGGTCAACAAACATTCACTCAAAAATTAGCAATGCATTTCTTAGTGTAATTTAGCTTCAATGCACTCTAAAATAATGTTTCTTAAAATGCAACTTTGTTGTGGTTATGGTTCATTCACAAGTTGATTCCAAAATAAATTAATTTTTTGTCAATGTGGTACTTGTAGAATGTATAGTGGCAGTCGGATGTCCTTGTTCCTGTGAGGTCGATGCGCAATGACCGGTCTCCAGTTGATGCTCAATAACCACACGTCTCATTGTGACTGAATAATCTTGACCGACGGGACATATTTCATTGGGTGTCTACTGGTTGGTGCGTGTCAAGGGCAGCTCGAGAAACTAAGCTACTTTAATCGACGAGTTTCGTATTCTAACACGATTGGATGGTTTTGTGAAGTGTAAATATTCTTAAAGTGTTTGACCATTACTTGCTCATATCTGAAATAATTTATCAGGCTCTTTTTTATTATTGCAAAACCAGTGCACATTATATTACCTTTTCGCGAATTTGTAGAGTATGAATTTTATCACGATTATCCTCGTTTACTGAGGAAAGCCTCACTGAAATAGTGTGCATTTTAAAAGGGCGTGTGTGTATTTACACGACACACGGTTAGTGCGCTGCGCTACGAACCTGGTAACCTAAGTTAGATTTTTGCTCACGGTCACCAACACCAGTGACGAATATCTGAACCAGTCATGGGCCTCTCCTAGCTTGACTCAGCAGCAAATGAGTACCTTGTGTGGTGTGTAAACATCACCACTGGGGAGACAAAGGTGGTCGGGCTTGGTGCTGGTCACCCACCCCCTCGTGTGCCACATTTCAGCCATCATAGGTGCTACTCGCTAACAGCACTTGCCCAACAGTCTCTTAAGGCTATAGGGAGGATTTTGTCTTCATTGTATTGACACTACAGAGTGGTATTGACAAAGGGGCTTTGTTTAAACTTGTTGTACTGGCCCTTGGATGTCTTGCAGGCTACCTGGAGGGGGTTCAAGCAGAAAAAAGCTTATCAAAACCGACTGAAAGAATTGCACAGTGATGTCCCGTCTGTTGTCAAGGTAACCTGTTTATTTGTTTTCCAGCATTTCCTTCATTCCCAAAATAATGCATCTTCGTAGTGAGGTTCAATCGCATATGGGGGGACTACGAGGAGGGTCATTTATGGTCTCGGTTTAAGCTGGACGGCCTCAGGCCCGTGTCACAAGCAGGGCCAGGTCGCATGAAGCGACTAAAGTGAATGTATCCATTCGCTGCCTCTCTAAATGGATGTAAATGATTCGGGGACATGTTTTGAATTGAGGAGTTTAGTGCAACCCGGACGAAGTAACTTTGATGAATGAAATAAAAAGCGGGGAAATTAGACAAAGTTGGGACAAAAGAGCCAAGGAAGCTGCAGTGGCCAGCTACGCTCGATGCTGCTACCGCATATTACGCTGAAGATAAGTTGTAAATCGCGCAGAAATGTATTACACATTGCGTGAATCGTAGTATTTTGATTCATTGACATTTTATCTCATGATGATCGCAGGTTTATGTCTTGTAAATTTCTATATTTTCCGAAAGGTCGTCTGATTTAAAGTAAATGTGTCATTGAGCATAAGGTTGTAATACCTAAACCACAGCGGCAGTTGTAATTTTCTGCAATAGAATGAGAATTATAACTCAGAATGCAAAGACGCAAGCTGCTCGGGAATTCCAACAGATTACCGAAGAGCGTAGGTCATAAGTGGTGATCGTTGTGGTATTTTTACTGCAGCTGCAGTCGTTGGTACGCATGTGGAGGGATCGCAAGAAGTACCAGGAGAGAAAGAAGTACTACCGGGACAATGTAAGTTATTTTTTGTTCTTCACGACAACTGTAGATGCATCATTTCCCATACGCATTTATATTAGAACTGTCAACAAATACACTGAAACTTCTCTGGACTTTGGAACAATAACTTTTTTGCTGTCCTGTTAACTCTTTTTGGGCGGTATTCAAGACTGTTGAGAAAAAATATTTTTTGTCGTAAATTAAAAGTGGCGGCCAATACTGAAATATTATCGCTTGTTTTGGACAGACATTGCATACATTTTTTTTTAAAAGGAAGACTTTCTCGCTGTATATAAAGACTGGCCAAGGTGTCCATCCGCTGTAGTCTTTGTTCAGCAATCATGATCCAGCATAGTTCCATACTGAAACTTGTCTTTCTTTTAAAAGCCATTTCTGTCTGTTGTATATGTTGGTTATCAAAATTTGTTATGTTGTATGCGTGCGTGGGTGAAATTATTATGTTGTATATGTGGGTTATGAATATTCAGTGAAAATAATAATAATTAAATGAAATTTGGCCAAATGTAATTATCCGGAAATATGTTAATTTATGTAATTATGCACATTTTAATTATGCCAATTCGAGAGGTAATCGTATTAATTATGCGAGTGGGTGTAATTATGATAATGCAAGTCGTTATGATAACCAGACCCCGCCTCGGTGATGAGGGTGGGTTATCGATCGGAATAAGGCAATTAATCGTATGCAGTTATGCAGGTGTGGTGTAAGTATGCAAGATTGACTTAGATTAACTCGGCATCGTTGTCTAGGTTCGTCTCATTCTCGCTTTAACATTCCCAGAGTGTGTATTCGTGGTTATATTTTAGGTCCCCGGTTCACCCCGTTATCGCTTTAACATTTACTGAGTATGTATTAGTGTGTTTATTAAGGTCACCAAGTTCAGATCTCAACGCAGAAGCAGATCTTATGCATAGATTTCAGGAAAGAATCACACAACCACTTCTGTATTGATCAATTTATTACTAATTCAACCTTAACTATGATATAGTATGCGAACTCTCAATCCCGGAACGTCAACACGGCATCAATACAGTATCATCAACGATTGTCTGATTTCACTTTGACAACGGCACATGGATCCCGCATAACGCGATGGTTGTTAGTGAGAGAGAGAGTCGTTAAAATATGCAAATACTATGCTAAGAAAACCTTAACGTTAATGAATGATTATACTCAATATTGTTCACGCAGTACCGCACTCCTTATTGATCATATGCAACCCTTATCACGTTGTTAGCACCTTGGGTCACGGGACAGTTGAATATTCTGTAGAGGATGCGAGTACGTGCGGCGATTATGACTGAAAGATACTTGAAAGATTATACGGCGATAAACAAAACACAATCAAAAACAGTTATTATTCTTAAAGGCATCAATCTCAACAGATACATCGGCAGGTTATCTGACAACAGAACGGCTCGGAGTAAGGGCCTGCGACGGTGCTCCTTTTCCGAAGATCGTTATCTTATACCAAGTTTACTAATTGGGGACCAGATCACCTGATAAGGATCCGGTGGGCCACCACTCCCCACGTGAGCGTGGCTCGGCGGAAGGAGGTGCCAAGAGTCAGTTCGTATTGATGGATCTGTTGGGAATTTATGCGATTAAGAGTACAGCCCACTAGATATTAAAGATAAAAATTACGAATACTTTTATAAACGACGGATGGCCATCACTCGGTCTCGTTGTGATGCCTTCCCAGCCACGGATGGCTTATGGGTTCGAGTGTGTTTGAGTGGTAAGAGTTGTCTTGAATAGTCAGTGTTCGGAGTCGATTCTTTATGTCAAACAGACGCCTGGTGGTCGTGTGGTGAGGGGGCGGTGCGCGTCATACGTATCAGTCGCTCCCCTGTCACCGTGGGGAACTGGTTCGGATGCCCGTTGATACGCTGTCGCAGTTCGGAACCCGGTCGGTAGGTGGCGCCCACAACTCGTTCGCAGCGTGCAGTGTCGGGTCGTCGTGTGCACGGAGCCTCGTCGCCAAACCGCGACCCTCACCACTCCGGCGGCAGCAGAGACCTCCGACTCGGCAGAGGTTGACCCACGCAGGCCGAGTTGAGCTGTCAAGCGGGTCTTGCCCGCCTGCAGAGGAGATGGGGAGCCGCTTGAGTCGAGCCCCGAGAGCCGGCTTTGGCAAGCCGATCGAACTCGGCTGAGTCCCAGACGAGCTGAAGATGAGTCGAGCCGACCCGCTCCTGAGTCGACCCTCCCGGTCGCACTCCCCACGTGAGCCGACCCGCTGGTCGCACTCCCCCGTGAGCCGACCCGCTGGTCGCACTCCCCCCGTGAGCCGACCCGCTGGTCGCACTGCTGAGTCGACCCGCAGGTCGCACTCGCTCCTGAGTCGACCCGCTGGTCGCACTAATTTCCAATGCTCAGGATCCTTTCTTTTATGCCGAAAAATCCCCCTGGATCCCGCCCACAAGGCGGGGCTTCTTTCGATTTTTGCTGTGTCAGGATCTGTCCGTAGGCAGGTGTGTCCATGTGTGTGTCCGTACGTCCGTATGTCCTTGTGTGCATCACTCACGGTATATTCCGTTGTCACCCTCCCTCCATAAAACCCACGAGCAAACAATCAGATGTTACAAATTGCCTCGAAGTCGTCTCTCTGTCTGCGTGCAATATTATCTCTTGTCTGGCCTTCTTCATGAACCCAAAACACAGACGTTACAAATCGTCTCATAGGCGTCTTTGTTCGTGTTGCACAACCTGGAGGGAGGGGCAACACTCTCTCCGACCCGGCGCACAAAGAAATGGTTAAAAAGTTTTAAGTTAACATTTGTCCCTTACTATTTCACAGTTATGATTCTGTATGTAACCTAAGGTCTGTCGTTTCCCATCGTGGTGCTTGACTCAAGTGGAGGTGTTTCCCCGAGCGTATACACACTCCTATCCCGCGCTGCGGGGATACAAAGACGGCCGGGATCTCCCTTTCTCTCCGACCCTGGGTTTAACATCGTTTTTTTTTATTATGTATTTATATTCGACCTGGTGGTGATTCATCCCGTTATCCTGGCTTTTCCATAAGTTTTACTTTTGTCTTTTCATGCATATGCTTAGTACTATTAATTTATTTCCGATATCTTAGGTTAAGGGGTAAGTTTCTTGATCCTAGGAATTCGTATTCCTTGGTGTCTGCATGGTTATATAAGCGGAATATAGTTTACGGTGAATAGCGTTAACATTGATGTTATGTACGATATTATGTATTGTGATGTCTTTAACTTAACTTGTTTGTCAGGGCTTTACTGACACGAAGTTGCATTCCATAGCCCCGCAGTCTTTGCCCCACCCTATCTCTGCTCGCCGTGGTAGTTGCTGTCCTAGCTGACGCCGTTAACTCAAGGCCTCATTAATTTCCGTCACTCCTTGTGTGTGAGGGCGGTTGAACCTTGGAGTCAGTTCTGGTTTTTGTCTGCCTGCTTCTTCTTGTGTCCCCTGACCTCGGGAGTTATTATTTCTACTTTTTATGGCCTGTCGAAGCCCGACTCGCTGTTGCTGGGCTGGTCGTTCCCGGCTTTTTGCTTACGTTTGCAGTTCGCCGTGCTCTTAATTTCCTTCCCTCTTCAACCTTATCGACTATTCGCTCCTGTCTGGGTGTGATTCAATTTTAACTTAGGAAGGTTCTGATTGTCATATGCTTCGGGTCGAGTTGTATAGAAAGTATTAAAGTATGGAAATAACATTTCATATTGACTTAATGATGGTGATGGTTCAGTAGGCGTAACTTGTGGCCTGGTTTAATTGGAGTGGGTGTAAATATCAATAACTTTAGCCTACCCTGTTGTTAAATTCCGACTTTAACGTTACTTTAATAGCAATACAGAATAATTGAGCTTTTTGTCTTAACTAGGCGAACGCGAACTTCTGGTGACCCCCGCAGCCTTGTTGTTCAGCTGGGTCTGCCTCCTTGAGAGATATACACCACTCTTATTCTTGTCTCACTGTGGCCACCCAACCTTCTGCTCTGGGAGTGTTATTCTTAATTTCAGGTCAAAGGCCCCCTCACGTTCAGACGTGCAGGGTTGTTTAAATCAGCTCCCTCCCCTGTGCACACAGCCTTGAGCTGACCCACTTATTTTCGTTCCCTCAGCTGCAGGAGGACAAGGCGTACTTCTACCTCCCCCCCTGTGTGCACGTGTTCTAACTAGCTCGGAATCCCTAAACACACAATCAGTGATGATTCCTGGCTTTCTGTGGTTGTGATTTAGACAAAGGCCCTCTGCTTTCTTCCATTGCCTTTGAGTCGACACTGCCCTATTATTTGCCCATGTGCTGAGGTCATAGAATTCGTTTTGACTTCGGTAATATTAACATTCAGTATTGGATTAGCAAATGGCAATGGTTCATTGATGTAGCTCGCAGCCTGGTCTCCAATTTGAGCGAGCGCGAGGATCGATACTTTAGCCTACTCTGTTGTTGAATTTCGAATTTTGACGTTACTTTAAAACCATGCAGGATGGTTGGGCTTTTTGCCTTAACTATGTCTGGCTGACACTCCCACTGTCTCTGCCGCCTGCACGGGTGACATGTGCCCGTTCATCAGGCCTTATCTTTCCTTGAAGCAAGGTTGCAAATTCTGCCATCCTAGCCCTCCTCCAGTTCATTACTTAACAACACCTGGTGTTTTGCAGTTTGCTGCGCTTTTGGTGTGTTTCATTCATTAAAAAACAAGTAAAAAGATAATATATAAAAATATCATCAAATATTATTAATCTCAATTTTGGAAGAAGGGTTAGTATACAACATGTCGACACGGTGAAATGTGTAAATGTGCAATGGTCGCAACTGCGTTTATACCGTGAGCATTAATCAATGCACACTTCTCTCTTTTTCGCCTGAAGATGGAGTCCATTGTCAAGATCCAAGCCTTTTTGAGGGCAAACAAGGCCAGAGAGGATTACAGAACACTGAGTAAGTGACTAACCAGCAAGGCTGTGTTTAATGATACATGCACATGGGGTTGTAGTTTACAGCATTTGCTTGTCGAGGGTACAGGGCTTTGTGGGTGTCAAATGTTTACACGCGTCAGTGATGTGTGAATTTGCAACATGTTGCTATGGGTATGGAAAGTTGTGTGTGTGTGCACATGCATATACAGCTTTATCTGTGGTGAGTAGTTATGGATAGTGGTTAACAAACATTACCACACCATGAGAGTGATGCAGGGAAGCCTTCATCCAACTGTGGATTCACAAGGGGGCTGCAAATGTTGATAGTTTTTTTCACATGTAAAACTTAGTGGTCAGCACTTTGTGCTATGATCTACATTGCCAGTGGTTTTTTCCCTGCCATAAACATCAGTGGCATTGGCATCTGAATCTGGTCTTCAGGAAGTTTGTTCTTGCTGTGTGTGAAAATCAGCACCCGGGAACTGAAGGTGGTGGCTTTGCATGATGTTGGTTATACGACACCCTAGTGTGCCATGTTGGCCTTAATTGGAATCGTCTCCCGTACAATCTGGGTTGGTCCCATCCTCAGCTTTCACAGACCTGATTGGCCCTCAGGGTTCTTTTTTTTCCCTATTATTATTTTACCAGGTAAGGCCCACTGAGCTATATAGCTCTTTTTCAGAAGTGACCTGGCCTCAGATGATAGCGCAACGAAGTGGCATATCATGTAGCAATTTAGAGCAGCCAAATACTCTAAACCAGGCCTGAACCATGGACCATGGCGTGACATCACCACTATATAATAATTTCTGCGTGCAACAACATCTCACAAAGGAACCTCTCCATCCCCCGATGCTCTGTGTGTTGCGCAGTCAGCGCGGAGGACGCACCGGTCAACGTGGTGCGCAAGTTCGTGCACCTCCTGGAGCAGAACGACCTGGACTTTCACGAGGAGCTGGAGGTGATGCGTTGCCGCGAGGAGGTGATGACCAACATCCGCTCGAACCAGCAGCTGGAGCAGGACCTCAACACGATGGACATCAAGATTGGGCTGCTCGTCAAGAACCGAATTACTCTCGAGGTGATTTCTCCCCCACTCATTAAATCGGGTCCCTTTTTTTTTAGTGAGCCATCGGGGCGGTGAGCCGATGGCATGGCTATAAATAGATGTGTGAGCTGTTTGTAATGCAGTCCTAGCCATTCTCGCTTGTTGAATCTTCAGCTCTTGGTAGCATTGATCTCAGATTTCCTGGGTATGTTGTGCAGTGTGCAAACCACAGCACCACCTCTCCCCACATATATACAAAGATTCCCGTTATAGCCTTAACAGACTGTAGGGGCAAGTGCTGTTAGCGAGCACCTATAAAGGCTGGCACGACACACGAGGGGGTGGGTGGCCAACACCACGCCCGGCCGCCTTTGTCTCTCCAGTGGCGATGTTTACACACCGCACCAGGTACTCATTTGAGGCTGAGTCGACCTATGGCAGGCCCAGGACCTGTTCAGATAATCGTCACTGGGTGTTGGCCGTGAGCTGGAATCGAACTCAGGTCGCCAGGTTCGTAGCGCAGCTTGCTAACTTCTACATTGCCATATATACACACACATACAGAGACACATGGTAATTTGTTTGTTATCTTAGGGAAGATTATATGGGTTGCAGATTAACAGTGTTTGCAGAGAAGTAAGATCAACAATCTTTCAGTGTGCAGCTGATTCTATTATTAGCTGCTACATACTTTATGAGTCTGACTCGGCACCCACGTGAACATAAAACAAGTGAAGACATTTTTTTACAATTCTTGAAAAACGGATAGTACACACAGATCTCCCGTGTAGTCATAAAATATAGCAGCAGTGCAGTGATTCTTGCATTGACAGCGACGTCTTTAATATTTTATTGGAAATCTCTTTCATGTCTGTCTTCTTACGAATCTCAGGCAGTTAGGAAGAAGAATACACATATATACGGAAATTAATTAATATCAGGAGAAATTGCCAATCAAAATGCTTCTGATGGTGCTCCCTTGGTTGGGTCCTGAGTCATTGGTGGAAATTCCACATTCCCATGGCAAAGACTACGTTATATGTGTGAGACAAGTGAGACTGAGGTGTGTGTGGCTCTCTCCTTCTGCAGGACGTGGTGTCGCACAGCACCAAACTGAAGAAAAAGAACAAGGAGCAGGTGGCGGGCATGATGGTGGCAGACAAGCAGAAGGGCCTCAAGTCGCTCAGCAAAGAGAAGCGGCAGAAGCTGGAGGCCTACCAGCACCTCTTCTACCTCCTGCAGGTGTGTGCACCCATCCAACTCTGACGCAGCTCTCAAGTAGTGACTAATCCCATATCTGCATTTCCCATAAATATGCTAATTCCTCTTGATATGCAAATTTCCTTGTCAAGGCACCCCTTCCCCCCTCCAACCCAGCTTAAATATACGCTGCCAAGCCTGGTGGTGCCAATTCAGACGCTGTCTTTCCGATAGTCCTGTTCTTCACCCGAGGACAGCTGCTTGCGTTGTTGTGGCCGAAACGTCGTGAGAATTATTTTATTATGTTTTATTTTTATTATTTTATTACTTCCCTTCTACGTGACTTTACCGAAAGAACCAAGAAGTTCTCACAAGCAATGTGTGTGTGTGGGCTCACGGCCAACAACGGTGACAAATATCTGAACCAGTCCTGCACCTCCCCTAGGTCGACTCGGCCTCAAATGAGTACCTAGTGTGGTATGTAAACATCGTCACTTGAAAGACAAAGGCAGCCGGGCGGGGTGCTGGCCACCCACGCCCTCGTGTGCCGTGTGCCGGCCTTCGTAGGTGCTCGCTATAACAGCGCTTGTCCCAACAGTCTGTTTAGGCTATACAGGAGATCTTTGTCTTTTGTGTGTAATTGTGACGGTGGCCTACATAGTGTGTGCATTTGATTAACTAATATTCCTGTGCACGTGCAATTGATTGAATGCGCTCCATAGCTTGCAGAAAAGTTTCCTTTCCCCCTCGCCTCTAAATCAGTTTTCTCATGTTGCACACTTAAATGAAATGTTATTTACTACAGAATATTTCAATTGTATGCGAGTTGTTGATCTTAGTGCATATAAAATATTCGAATGTTTCTATCATTAAATGTCAATGTGTGCTTGTATCCCATGGTGTGTGCATGTTTTGTTCTCTGCAGTATTAGTACATTAAAAACTAAATCTAACCTACACAATTGAAATGAGAATAAATGCAACCACATCGTGATGATGAGAAGGTGGCTTCGGCCAGAATGCCGAGACAATTCTGGGTTTGCTTATGGCCAGCTGCCTGTGATTAAACCAAGCGTGGCGAGTTGATGATCTTAGCCTGGTTAACAATGACTCTACAAAAACACTCCTATACAGTATTACATTATGTTTTGTGCTTGATGGTTAAATTCCAGCTCTTGGGTGACAATCTGATTGCAAAGCATATGGAAAAGTGCACCCCCTCCTGTGTAAATGATAACTAGGCCACTGGAACATTTTTTTTCGGAGAATTTCTGTATACAAATTTTTCCTACAGACTCTTGATTGACACAGAGGGGCATATTGCTTTCAGAGATTTCTGAATAGATTATTCATCTCATGATGTGATGCTGAGATAGTATGATTGAAATGAATTGGGGAAAGTCTTTAAAAAATATATCACAACTCTCTTCAATAGCCGCCGGTCTGTTTTTGAATAGCCACAATTAAAATCTCATCGTTTCCCGTGGCAGACAAACCCGACGTACCTGGCCAAGCTCATCTTCCAGATGCCTCAGAACCGATCGACCAAGTTCATGGACGCGGTGATCTTTTCCCTGTACAATTACGGCTCCAATCTGCGCGAGGAGTACCTTCTCCTGAAGCTCTTCAAGACGGCCCTGGAGGAGGAGATCAAGTCAGTGCTCGTCATACGCTAGCATCGGCCTCAAATGGGTCCAAGTCTGACTGTATGAGATCATGTGTAGCGGTCTTATGGACGCGTTTACATGCGTAGAGTCGTGCTTCGTGATGCGCTGTGGGATTGTAGACTCAGACGGGTTGAATATTCAGGGCTGCTTGAATATTCACGCCAACATCCGCACACTCTTTGTTCCGTCGCGGGTACTCACTACTCCCCGTCTCTTAGCCCTCTATCCCGACTCCCTCGACCTTCGTCCAGGCTACCTCGTACTCCCCCACCCGTAGCCTCCTTTGTCTCTCCAGCCCAGGAGCCTTTCTACCTGCTACCTGGCTCCTCTTTCTCTCTTACTCTCCTTTGTCTCTGACCCCTCCCCTTCCATCCAGGTTCCCCTTTTGTCCGCTTAGCCCAGGCTCCTCCCTTTTACCTGGCTCCCCTCCTCCTACCTGGCTCCCTCACTAGCAGACGTCTCACTCTCTCTACTTGCCCTCCTCTCTCTCGCCCTTCTGGCACTCCCCTTTCTGCTTGGACCCCTTCCTGTGGTTGCCCCTCCTTGGGTCCCCGCAGTAGTCCTCTACACAGGTATTGTTGTTCATCCACCGCTGGCTGAGGGACTACCCACACCATGCGTGTCGTGGAGGAATATTGTACGAGGTATTGAACAATACGACAATTGATTATACTACTCTGCTACCTACCACGTAGCTCTACAGCCCTATGACAAGCTCTATGTATTGTGGACGCCCATCCCAGCACTCTTCAGGCTCAGCACCTGCTTAGCTCCCGCGAACTGATGGTATCGGGCGCATTCCCGGTGATTTGGTTAAAGGCGGTCTTGTGTAAACCTTATTAAACAGACTGTTCGGTCTCATTTTAGTCATAAACCGCCTACACAGTGTGCAAGTGAGAGGTAATGCTGTGGCATCTGTTCCTTGGCGTCCAAACTGCGTTTAAGCACATGATGAGAAAAAAACACATTAACTTGAAGTCGTAAAGGTCAACTGAGTAGAATTGCTCATTAATTCTGGTGAACCCTCTGCCTTTCCCACAATCTACAAAACTCTCTTTGCATATTCTTGGTTCTTTCGGTAAAGTCACGTAAATAACCCACGGCGCTTCGATCGCCTGATGCAGACCGCTTGTGTTGCGATCGAAACGTCGTGGGTTATCTACGTGACTTTACCGAAAGAACCAAGAATATTAATTCCTGTAGTCACGAAAATTTTAAGTCCCCTTTGCATAGTCCACATTTGTATGTATGTTGAAGTTCTTTCGCACTGTTTGAATTGTATATCTCACTTATGTTATACTTTTTATGATCTTTTTCATGATTTCTTAGGAGTGTTTCAGAGTAAGTATTGTTTATTATTCGCCTGCTGTGCTTGTTTGGCGTGTGACGTTGGGAAATGCTTTGTAAAACCACATGCATAACAGAACATTAAAAACAGTGGTGCTGTTTAATCTGAGCGAATCATTATATTCTTGCACCGTACATATTTTTCAAAACCAAATGTTAGAGCCCAGCGTCTAAAATGAGGCGTTACGCATCCCCCCCCCCCCCCCGCAGGTCCAAGGTGGACCAGATGCAGGACATTGTGACGGGAAACCCGACCGTCATCAAGATGGTGGTGAGCTTCAACCGTGGCACGCGAGGGCAGAATGCCCTACGGCAGCTGCTGGGACCTCTGGTGAAGGAGGTCATCGAGGACAAGGCCCTGAACATCAACACGAACCCTGTGGAGGTCTACAAGGCCTGGGTCAACCAGATGGAGAGTCAAACGGGAGAGGCCAGGTACGTGACATGCGTTACGCAACCCTAAAAAAGCAAACATCTTGCCCTTGTTGGAGAGGTGTGCCGGTCTCGTGTTCTCCGAGCGGTCCAGCAGGAGTTTGTTCTCTTTCAATGAGAGAAAAGACGTTAAAATCTCCAGTCAGGTAGAGCCACTCTGGCGACTTAACTGCATTCCCATATGGAAACGGAAGGCAATCACATGACTTGAGTGTTAAAATTGGAATGTTTACCACTGACTAGCTGTTGCCAACAGAAATGAGCACGACACAATGATTTTTTGAGCATGGAGAAACTCAGATTTTGTGAATAATTTTTACACCGATTGGCAATACCCATCTTGAATTGGTATTACAATATAAGATGTATACATCAAATTGGTAAATGCAAAAGGCTGGTCAGTTGCCGTTTGTGGACCAGTATTTGAGATTTCCTGCCATAATGCGAGTTGTATATATTGATTGCCTGCTACAATGCCTAATGCGGGGAAGGCAATGCAGACACATTCCAGCATGTTCCTTAAGGCCAAGTTGCTGCCTGCCTTTCAGCTTTAACATGAAACATGTTTTGTGATTGGCCAAGTTACAAACTCTACATCCCTTGTAGTTCATTGTATACTCATATAATGTAGTTGCCAGCATCTCGGAGGACAGCTTACAAAGGCTAGTATTAGATACACATCAGGATGTAAAAATTACTTTCATTACATGCATCACTGGTGTGTTCACATTTTTTGTTCCAATAATGTATTATGTAGAGTGATTTCTTTTTAAATAAAACTGAACCACCACTTGCTTAAAACAGCTTTTCTATTAACTTGATGGTTTTTTTGTGCATCAACCTTCGACTCAGGTTTAATCACAGTCTGTGGGTGCTAGATTAAAACCTAGAGTCACAGTCGTGTCAGCTCAGCACTGGTCTCTGAGCCGCCCAGCCGGCCACCTCCCCTTGATCCTACATCACAATGAGCTTCATTGATGACCTCCTCATGAGCTCCTTTGATTCAAATACTTGAGGAGTTATTCGTCCCAACATTAGACATCAAGCACGTGCATGCAATCAAACAACATGTGTATAAATTTCGATTTAAAGCTTTCGTGACTGCAGGGATTCATATTCATGGTTCTTTCGGTAAAGTCACGTAGAAGGGAAATAATGAAATAATATAATATGAAACAATAAAAATTATCACGACGTTTCGACCGCAACACAAGCAATCATCATCAGGTGTGAAATCCACAGCAAAAAAAATTGAAAAAAATGCTGTGGATTTTACACCTGATGATGATCGCTTGTGTTGCGGTCGAAACGTCGTGAGAATTTTTATTGTTTTATATTTATATTATTTTACTGTTTCCCTTCTACGTGACTTTACCGAAAGAACCAAGAATAACATGTGTATAGCTTTAGAGCAGGGGTTGCCAACCAAATTAACAAGACGAGCCTTTTTTTTGGTTAAGAATATAAATATATTTTAAGAGCCGCGATGCATGTTATTACGAGACGGTGGTCCTTCATAAGTAACGTCACGAAGCAGCCCTTTTAAGGAGCCGCATGCGACTCCGGAGACGCAGGTTTGCCGACCCCTGACCTCGAGGAACGTGACGTGCACGGCTGTAATCGCGCCGCGTTGTCGTTTCTCAGCAACCTGCCGTACGACGTGGCTCCCGAGCAAGCGCTGGCGCACGACGATGTCAAGAAGAGGATGGAGACGTCGATCCGCAACCTCCGCATGGCCACCGACAAATTCCTCGTTTCCATTTTCAACTCCCTCGACAACATCCCGTACGTGTGCCTGGTCACGCTGTGTGCGCGCATGAAGAGTCGGGCAGAAAGGGCGTGCGACGAAGAAACGAGCCGGTGTTAAATTGCCGAGCGATACGAAATGTTATCTTTGATAGACTTGCCGTAATGGTAAAGTCTCGATGGTTAAAACACTTCGTTTTGTGTGGGTATATGGGCGCCTGCGATAGCAAGTGGCAATTTTGGCAATTACTACCACAATGCTTGATTGAGCACGGTGACATTTTGAAGTAATTTTCTGGTTTTGTTAATTACCATTTAAACATGTTCTATATTACCTGCCTTCGAGTTCCATATCCAAAATGTTTGTCTTCTCCCTTTACTCATAATATGGGACAAACAATTTGTGCGTAACATAATAATCCTTCATCTTGTGGGATGCATGTCTTTCCATGCGGTAATTGTGACATAGTGACAACTATTGCCTTTCGTGGTGACGTGCAGAGTCGCATTGAATCTACACACCTTAAATTGTGTTCATTGCCATAATGAAATGCGGGCCATTAATATGAAACTAATCCTGGATCACAAAGCATCCAGAGGCATTAATTTAATCTCAGAATTTAGTGCATGAGTGCATTTACGTGTACATTACTTAATGGTTAGAATCCCCATGTGTTTTATGAGATGATGAATATTTGCACAAGGGTTGTATTATCCTTTATATCAAAGCTCCAAGTGAACAGGATGTCAATTGAGGGATGCATCTTATTATATTACCCGTACTGTGAATTACATTGACAAAGAAAACGCTTAACTGTAATTCCATTATTAAATAGTTTTGATAGTTTTTATGAACATTTAAAAATTACTTAACACCCAAGTATTTCTATATCAATATGTGATGTCATCTGGTATGCGCCTAATTATGGAGATGAGATATATTATCCAGCGATGCAGCTCTATAAACCAAACCATAGCACGCAGGCCTCACCACACTTCCCGACACCGCAGTCTTATCCCGTGGCGTTGACCAGCATGTGTCTGTGCACGTAGCTATGGCATGCGGTACATTGCCAAGGTGCTGAAGAACTCTCTGCGTGAGAAGTTCCCCGATGCCACAGACGATGAACTCCTCAAGGTAGAAAGGGTCGACGCCCCACCCCCACCGAGTGCTCGGCAATCTCCTCTTCCTCCTCTTCCTTCGCTCCCTGCGAAGCCTCAAGAAGCCTATCCTATCGTCTTATGCTTCCTCTTCGCCTGCTTGACCACAAGCTTTGGCCCTTCTATTCTTCGTAGCCGGCTTCTTCACCTCCTGGAAGTGTTTCCTTTATCAAGTTACAGTAGTTTAATACAGCATTTGCTGTATACAAATGTACCCGATCCTGCTGACAAGCTACTCTCATGGCCATGAGCAAGACCTGTCCACCAAGTTTCAAAAGGCCCATGTCGATGCATGTCCAATATTTTTGCATTTGGAAGAAAACTTGAGAACTAGGAGAAAACTCAAACATACGAGAGGATAACATATCCTGCCATAAATCTGCTTTTGATGGAGTGCTCCCTGCAAGTACTTATTTTCTCTGCAAGTCATGGCTTACCATTTTGGTGTCATCCACAACCCCGGCTGGATCACAGATGTGCATTATATCCCTTGCCAATTGAATTAACAGTATCCAGACATGACAACCCAATATCCTGCAATGCAAGTTGATAGTACATTTTGAACGACAGCTCAAACGTGTGAGAATTGTTCCTCAAACATTAAAGCGTGAATGTAATTAATTATTTAATTAATGTGTCTATGGAAAATCTCATTGGGTCTCAGGAATATTTTTCAGGATGGTCTTGTTATTGGCATCTTTGACCCATTCCATTACAAATCATTTTGCCTGGAGACTAAACCCGAAGTACCTGGAGAAAACCATTGCATACAAATGGATGGTCAAAGTTCCATGCAGATGGGTTCACAAACCACCACAACTGTCCTGCCACCTTCTTGCAACCTCACCGCCCGTGGGTTTGGGATCTTTACAAGTCTCTATGGTACTCTATCTCTTGGTTCCAAAGCACCGGATTGCACAAGTGCACCGCCGTGCTTGGCTTGGTGATTGAGTGAGGCTATGAACCTCGTTGATTGAAAACAATTCGCCTCGTGTGTTATTCTACGCCATTCAGCCGATTCGGAAGAGCATCACCGAAGACGCACCTTGGCTGTGTTTTTCATCACCGAAACTTCTCAACTGTGTGTGAACGCTTCATGCCTCAAAGGCCTAAGGGGGGGGGGGGCGATGCCCTTCCTCCCTACTGCTCTGCTGCCCCTTTCTGAATCCTGCTGTACAAATCTCTAGTGCAGTAGTTGAAGTGCTTTCCTTTATAGCAGCTTTGAATCTAAACATGCTAACCCCTAATAATCTGTCACTGCTGTTCTGAACTGCTATACTGTACTGTAAACAAAATTGGTTAGATATGAACGGTGTGCTTAGTTTTTCAAAATGTATTGGAAGATATATAGTATAATGATTATTAATATTTTTTGCATTTTGTTACATTTATGTGTTTCATCTTCATACTCCAAACACGCTGTCTCTTGCAGATATTTGGGGAAGATATTTATATACGAAATGTCAACTTTTTTTACTTGTATAGTTAAAAGCACGCGTACACGAATCTCTTAATTATGAATTTGCAAAGTTGTTCTTGATTTATAGCCATATGATGACCTTCCAGTCAAGTCTAATCGAGTCCACTGTGATATTTCCACATCATCATAACATCTTTTAGTAGCTGTCGTATCCACGTCCCGCACACGCTGAATAAATCCCAGGCATTTTTATTTTTCGGCAATCTGCTGCGCGCGTACGCTTGGCTCCGTGACCTCTGTGGTGCGGCACGTGACCCCGCGCTGCTCGTTGGGTGCTTTCCGCAGATCGTCGGCAACCTGCTCTACTACCGCTACATGAACCCGGCCATCGTCGCCCCCGACGGCTTCGACATCATCGACATGTCGGCGGGCGGGCAGCTGCACAGTGATCAGCGCCGCAACCTGGGCTCCGTGGCCAAGGTGCTGCAGTTCGCTGCCTCCAACAAGATTTTCGAGGGCGACAGCGCGCACCTGGCCTCCATGAATGCCTACTTGTCCGAGGCCAGCCAAAAGTTCAGGTGGGTGGCTTGGGGTGGGTGCGGGCAGATTGGCGGCTTTTAATAACAGCTGGACATCTTCTTCTTGGTTCTTTCGGTTAAGTCGCGGAAAATGGAAATAATAAAATAATAAAAATAAAACATAATAAAATCATTCTCACGACGTTTCGGCCATAACGCAAGCAGCCGTCCTCAGGTGAAGAACAGGTCTATTTTATTATTTCCATTCTACGTGACTTTACCGAAAGAACCAAGAAGATGAATCCCTGCAGTCACGAAAGCTTTAAATCGAAATTTAAGTTGGACATTTGCGAAAAAGAGCGTCATAGCTCAATGGATCCCTACAGTGTAAATAAATATGCTGATTCTGAAATGTTCTGAATACTCACGAGTGAAGAGCTGTGCTCCTACAAGAGGTTGATAGTACGGTATAACAATCTAATATTCTGTAATAATATACAGCATATTAAATTACTTAGAAATTAAAACAACATGAACAAGAGTTTTTAACCTAAATGTTGTGTATACATGTGTGTGTAGTGGGGAGCGGTAGTGTAGCGGTTAGCGCGCTGCGCTACGAACCTGGCGGCCCGGGTTCGATTCCCGCTCACGGCCATCACCAGTGACGATTATCTGAACCGGTCCTGGCCCTCCCCTTAGGTCGACTCAGTCCTCAAATGAGTACCTGGTGCGATGTGTAAACATCGCCACTGGGAAGACAGGCGGTCGGGCTTTGTGCTGACCATCCACACTTCCGTGCCGTGCCGGCCTTCATAGGTGTTCGCTAACAGCACTTGCCTCAAAAGTCTGCTAAGGCTATACGGGGGATATAACTATATATATACAGAGACCGTATATATTTATTGTAAATGCAGCATGAGTGTAGAAGAGGTACACAGGAGGTGGCGCACACACGAGAAACCCATCTCTCTGCTGCTGCTACAGGAAGTTTTTCCAGGCGGCGTGCGAGGTTCCCGAGCCCGAGGACAAGTTCAGCATCGACGAGTACTCGGACCTGGTGACCGTGTCCAAGCCCGTGATCTACACCACCGTGGGCGAGCTCATCAACACGCACTCGGTGAGGCCGCCCTCCCCCCCCGCCGACCGCCAGCCTCCTGGCCATTGTCGCCTCTCTTACGACGACGAGGAGTCTTCAAGTCAATATTGTTTAGAATTATTCCGTGGCACATTTCGGGTGCGTAGATCCGCCATCCAAGGTGCCGTTTCGCCGAACGCAAATAATAATGTAGTGGAGCTGGGCGGTCCACTTCATTACTTAAATGATCACCCTAAAATTAGTTGGAGGAAAAAAAAAGTCTCGCCCCTCTGTTCCCACGTGTGCTGCCGGACGGAAGGTGATGACACTCACGCCATACAGTCGCGATCAGCACCGTCGTTACAGCTGCATCCCGTGCGTTTTGTGCAGTTGCCGCACATCGGCAGCCCTTTTGTCATTCCAGTGCCGGATGGGGCTTTCTCCCCAAGCCGTGCAGGTTGGTCATGGGCCGTATCTCATCAGATTTCAGAAGCTGAGCGGAGGTGAACCTAGACAGCGAATGGATGGGTGACAACCATGCATAGACAGGTCTTCATAGGCTTGCAGGGCTACGGAGTGGGCAGCAGAGGGCAGAGCAGCATATTTTTACGCGCTTGCATTTCCCTCCGCAACTTCGCCAATCCTCACTGGCCAGAGTAGTAAACAAAATGAACCTGCATAGTGTGAGGTGGTCCTCATCCGGCAGTGGATTGATCAGAGGGCTTTACGTACTTTTATGCACAGAGTTGCACAGAGCCAGCTGAAGCTCTGACGTGCCCCCCCCCCCGTGTTTTGTGTACCCGCGCAGTTACTGCTGGAACACGAGGACGCGATCGCTCCGGATCACAACGACCCCCTGCATGAGCTGCTGCTGGACCTGGGGGAGGTTCCCAACCTGCAGGCGCTCATCGGTGAGCGCGCTGCGAGAAGCCAACGGGGGGCAGCTGCCCGTGATCGCACCACCGGCATCGTGTAGTGACACGCGCTCACGATTCGTATCATGCGGACAGGGCTTTTTCTAAGGGGTTAAAATCAACTGTTACGCTTACAACAAGACACTTCATAAATCGTGCAATGGAAATTACTACATTATTTTAGGTTAACGAAAAAGGGAGAAGGGAAAATAAAACCCAGTTTAAATAGAGGGCATAAATGAGGCAGGAAAAAAATAGATTGAAAAAGAATCTATCCCAATTAAAATATTGACCTTTAACCTTGACAATACTCGAACCTTACCTAATATTGTCACACATAATTGCAGTGTTTCATGCTAACAATAAAAACCCCACTGATTTACATTCCTTTTTCAACCTCCTGCGTGACAGTCCTCCCACACTGTGTCAGTCATGGGGATTGGTTGACCATACTTCACCACGCTGGTCAGTGCGGGTTGGTGCAAGTTGGGCCTTGGCGCCGCACAGATATTGCAAACTACCGATGCCATCACCTGAGAAATCGAACTCGGTGGCGTGCAGACGTCACCGCGGCAGGGTTTTGTCACCCATTGAGCCCGGCACGGCGCGAGCTGCTACTGTTTGTGCCACCTCTTGCCATGCAGGCGAGGGTGGGGGAGACGCTTCTGACCCCAACAAGGAGGCGCAGCTGGCCAAGACAGAGATGTCTCTCACTCTGACCAGCAAGTTTGAGGTGCCAGAAGGAGATGACAGCAACATGAAGAGCCTGCTGCTCAAGTAAGCCTGGGGGCAGCTTCCCTGCACAACTCTCCTCTCCCTACTGGATAAGAACGCACTTGCGACTACTGGCCTGCGAGTCGTTGTATGCACGTGCGAGGAGTGGTTCTTGCACTCGGCAAACATGGGTTTGATTTTCAGGTGTCGTACAAAATCAATGGCATGTGGATGTAAACCTGTCCTTTACCGTCTCCTAGATTGACTCAGCCTTGGTTATATTTGTGGTGTTGCGTGTAAACATTAGCACTGGGGAGACCGGTAGCAGGGAGAGGTGCTGGCTATATCACATGTGCTGTGTGTTAGCAATGGGTAGTTACTAACGCAGGTCCCGATGCCGTATAAGGCTAAACGAGGGATGTTTGTGTGTGTGTGTGGCTGCAGGACCAAAAGGCTCATTGTGGACGTCATCCGTGTGCAGCCTGGAGACACTCTCGCCGAGATCCTGAAGACTCCAGCCACATCTGAGCAGGTGGGAGGATTATGGATGAAGTAGCACAAGACAGGACACGAGAGATAGAACACGAGAGGGAGACCATTACTATACTCTTTGGTTCTTTCGGTAAAGATTATGATGTAATCGTGAGTTGCCATTCTATAATGTCTGCTAGGGGTATGGACAACTACATTTTTTATGTAAATAAAAATAGTGACTGGCTCACTCAAAACTCACTTATCTTCCCTCGCCCCACGACCTCTTAATTCCCCCCTCATAACCACCACCATTACTGTTCCCTCTTCATATTCTCATTATATGGCAATTATTCATTCATTCCATTCATCATTATCTACCGTCATCAATTTCGCTTTCACCGAATTCACACATCGCAGATTGTTCCCCATAGCTTCCTCTAATTAATTTCATTCACCTCATGTCCATTACATTCATGTGAACCGTTCTTAATTCTTTGCAAATCGCCTTAGTTAAGGCGTGATATAAATTATGTAAAGATAAGATATCCTGGACATGAACAAGGGGAGGGAAGCAGTCAGAAGTGCAGGCGGCCAGGGCGAGGGTATTCCAGACAGCGTTCGGGGCTGCAGAGAAAACTGGTGATGACCTCCCATTGAGCGGAGGTTGTCTGGGATGGGGCTGTCATCATATAAGGCCTTGCATATAAAAGCGCTCCACTCAGTCCCAGTGAGACAAACCAGGCTGACTTGCATGCGAACACACACGTGCGGCGATGAGTGCAGGAGGTGGAGCATGCGATGATGATCCAGAGGCGGACCATCATGGCGGCGAAGACGCCAGAGAAGATGAAAGGCGGCCAGGTGCTGGCCGAGGCCGACCAGCCGCTGGATAAGAAGAAGCGCACCATCGCCAAGAACCTGAAGATCCTGGAGTCGGCTTCCCTCGTCTCGTCGGCCGCCAACTACCAGCAGCTCATCAATGACATCGCCAAGGTCTCTCAAGCTTCACGCCATACCGATCCCTCATCGGTGTTTCATTACGTTCATGTTTTTTGTTTGTTGCGGTTGCACCCGATTCAAGAGTCGAATGGCTCACAGGGCTATACCTAATAAATGAAACTTGAAATTACGGATCTTGGTAATATACGTCAGCTGTTGCTTATCTAGGGTAATGGTGGCCTAAGGAGAGGGTTAACCGGAGAAAAACAAAAACACACGTCATGCAAAATGTATGTAAATTAGGGTATGCAAATGAATTGTTTACCGACATGGGGGGGGGGGGGGCGTCAATTGTCTGTTCGTATTGCTCCTCCAAGTAATTGATTGCTTGCCAACGTGTTTGACATGTTGATTGAGGCCACGTGAGCCGGCCCTCTGAGTGAGGAGCGGCTAATAATTAAGTCAGCAGTGCACGTAAAGTTTTTTTTTCTTTTTCCACCAGCTCTGTTAATCTGCAACTGGGCTATCTGTCCATGAATAATCGAGGGTTACCCATAAAAGCCTTACCTGCGTTTGAAGGTTATTTCTCAGGAGTGTCCTGAAAAGGTGTCTGTAGCAACAAAAACATTGCATACAAGGCGATAGATATCACTCTCCTGCCGTCTCCTTGACACCGTGTAGTCTTTCAGGTTGGTGTCTTGTGCACAGTATATATTGACGCTTCACAGTTTAAGCAGGGCAACCGGAAGAAGCGAGTTGAAAGACGAATGCGCTGCCCCGTGGCGTAATTTGTTTACCAGAATTATTTTTGTTTTACGTGCAGGACATCCGCAATCAGCGTCGCTACCGGCAGAGGCGTAAGGCGGAGCTGGTGAAGCTGCAGCAGACTCTGAATGCCCTCAACTCCAAAACGACCTTCTACGAGGAGCAAATCGACTACTACAACAAGTACATCAAGACCTGCCTCGACAACCTGGCCCGCAGTGGCAAGTGCGTAATCTCACGACATTGCAGAACCCTGTATCTCGGACTGTGTTGTCCCCTCTGCTGGTGGTTTGGTTTATCTCTTCTTGTGAATGCTCCCTTGACCCAAATACACGAATTTGCATTCTGTAAGTTGCCAGCGAGACTGATTCAAGGGAGCTGAATCCATATTGGATCCCAGCGCAGGGAGAGGCGATGGAGCCCCTGTCCTGGCAATGTCCACGTTAACCCGTTACCGTTCCGAGGCATCTGCAAGTTACAGGGTGGGGTCCCGTTCACCGCCGAATCTCGTAGCGTGCAAGCGGTTCGCGTTAAATTCATTTCGAGAGGCGTAGCACTTGCTGTTTTTAAAGACATTGTACTGTACACGCCGCAGAGAACTGTAACGACACGACCGCACTCTAAGATCGCTGACGCCAAACTGTGCCACACGCCCCTCCCGCTGGCCCTTTACTTCCGATTCCGTTCAGAATCAGTTTAATTCCATTTGGAATCGAATTCCATTCCGTACGTGGACGTCATCGGATCAGAAAAGGATTAAAAGCAGTTAAGTCCGTACTTAACACTTAAATTGATCCGGTAGATTTAGCCGTTGGTCAAATAAAATAGAGATCCCAAATCTCTTCCATTCCTGTTATGAATGTAACTTCACTTGCTCTGAAGATATTTGTGAAAGGTGCTGCCTTTAAAAATGTACTTCGTAATCTGACCATGTGCTGTGAGCATGTTGAATGTGTTTGCTAACGATTGCTTTTAATTGACAACGCAAAATAACGTAGGCATGTCTGCTTTGTGTATTTAATAGCTATTAACTTGGTACTTGAGTTCGATTCCTGGCCATGGCTAACGACAGTGACGAGTGATATCTGAGCTGGCCCTTGGCTCCTCCTTCACCAACTCGCTCTGACCAGCGTGGTGAAGTATGGTTAAATAACATCCATGACTGACACAGCATTAGGCCTTTATCCTGCAGTAAGGGTTGTAAATCTGTTTTTAAAGCAATTTAAACTGCTCCCCCCCATAATTTAACAATGCGTTCTGTGAACATTATGTTTTTCCTACTTAACAGCCGTATTTGCGTTTTGTAAGCCTGCGGCTAATAGTCGCGCGCACGTCCGTTTTTTCTTTTAAGGAACTCGCGGCGATCGGTGCATCAAGGCAGCAGCGCCAAGGGTAGTTCAGGCAAGAAGGTGAAGCAGACGAACCTGCGCTACACGGCAGCGCGGCTGCACGAGAAAGGAGTGCTGCTGGAGATCGAAGGGCTTCAGCCCAGCCAGTACGTGTGTTTCGGTTTCCACTACGCACGGGGCAACTTGGCGAGAGTGCCGTGACCGAATTCTGTGCGTTTTCCGATGCATTGGCCCAAGTGACTCAGAATTCATCCGGTCTCGTCAGGTCTCAGAAAGCTAAGTTGAGCCTGGGTAGTACTCGGATGGGCAACTACAAGTGGACGGTGCAGTGCAGAAGAATCTACCCACCCTCTACCTGTTATGATCAGCATGGTGAAGTAGGGTCAAACAACCCCTCCCATGTAATGAGGCCTAAAATTCAGCAGTGGATTGACAAAAGGGTGTACGTAATAATTATTTTCTCTTGTTATTTTCGTGTTCAAGGTTGTTTAAATACACTCAAAATGTACGGGATTTGTAAGGTTATGTATATACGTCATTGAGGACCCACGTGCTAATGCTGGACTGATGTTGCAGGTTCAAGAATGTGCTCTTTGACATCAGCCCCTCGGACGAGGTGGGCGATTTCGATGTGAGAGCAAAGTTCATGGGAGTGGAGATGGAGAAAGTACAGCTGCATTTCCAGGTGACTGTGTACCCAGCTCACACAATTCCACTCAATCCCCAGAGGATAACTGAAGTTCATTTCAAAAAGCCCAGTTGATAAATTTCCTAATATTTCATAAAATGTCTTCATGCAGATCCTTTAATATGATAGCTTGTCATGTATGTCAACGTATAGATGCTTGAATTGACTTAGCCTAGTCAACTGGTCAATCTATGGAGACTGTTCACAATAGGAATGTAGAATTCCCATGGTTGAATTGGGGGTCCCCCAAGACTGCTGCTCTATTCCTCATGGATCAGGGAGAGGCAGATTGGTTTACTTTTCAGTTTGCATAGCCACACTGTCCAATTGGCAGTGCAGCATGCATCCTAATCGCAAGGTTGTGGTGTTAGCATCCTGACCACAAATGAATGAACCTTTGATCCCACGGATTGCGGAACCTCAACAAGTGAGAGTCAAATCACTGGAAGGTGTGTGTGTGTGTGGTCCCTGTCTGAAGACTTTGTAATTTCCACCACAGGCTTAGAACTGCCAATGGAGCCAAGTGCTTTCCCAGTGTACGGTGGTGTGGCACTGCCAGACACGCACGGTCCCTTCATGTATGGACCTGCCAATAACATCATTGTCCATCTTCCTTCCGCCAGGACCTGTTGCAGTTGCAGTACGAGGGGGTGGCCGTCATGAAGATCTTCGACAAGGCAAAGGTCAACGTCAACCTGCTCATCTTCCTGCTCAACAAGAAATTCTATGGAAAGTGAGGGGGTGCCCCCCTGTGGCAGGGTATGGGGGGGGATAAACGTCTTGGGCGAGTGGGTCCTTAGTTAGACCTTAGACCCCCCCCCCCTGCCGCCACCACCCTCTTCCCCAATATGACCCCAAGGTGTGCCTCCTTGTTTTTAAAAGCACACACTTTTTCCGTATGCTTCTGCCCCAAACCCTCCTCTCGCTCTCCTCCCACCCAGGTGAATGTACGTAGCGTTTGTGTATCCACGGCGGGGAAGGGAGCCGTGGCCGAAAATAAGATTAAATTCCACGCGTCACGATGTAATGAAATTAAGTGTGGGAGGTGGGGGGGCGGAAAACGCGCCGATTTTTTTTTAGTTTTCTAAATGCGGAGGCGCTACTGTTATTGTATTGAACCCTCTCACTCACGGAATGATGCACGTGCTCACAAACTTGGGGAAAGGAATGACAATTGGTGAACAGTTCTGTTTTTAACCTTTGCACAATGTACACGACAGCTAATTAAGCTGGCAGTAAGAATAAAAAATTTGTATAACCCGTTTATATACATATTTTGTTTTCCTTAAGTAAAAGTTAGAATGTTTGAACACTCTTTTGAACAGTACATAGATTACATTCTGCACTTACCATTTGACAATCACGTCTTGAAACACTTAGTTGTCATTTATAGGGTAATATTTATACATTACAAATTAATTAACACTATTCTCTTTACAGAGTATTTTAATTCACTGACAAACGTACAGTATATGGGTGTGCTTTGGATGGTGTAAAGCAGTCTTCTTAAGTGCCTTACATTGTCTTGTGATTATTCTGAAACTGTCATTGTCTGAATGAATCTTCTTACATTCCACTCTTCACTTATTCCTATTTTGCTTAATCGTCTGCATAGCATCATGTATAAACAGAGATGCTCCATGTAAGTGACTTCTCTTAGTTCATCCATTCTCTGATGTCTTTCAGAAGTGAAGTTCTGCTGTTCTTTGCTGTTTATGCAAAATAAAGTAGCTGGTACGCTGCGGTGGCTCGCCTGAGTTCTGAGTGCGCAACATCTATTTGGCAGAGTTGTGCCTTTTAACATTTTTTTTGAAAAACAAAGGGAGTTTTTTTTCCTGATATGGAGTGAATACTTACTCGAAGGAAGTTCTTTGTTGTGTGGTTAACACGAGTTTTGACATCTGTGTAATCCGTGATGATAGCAATCTCCCAGGCCCTCTGCTGACATGCATAACAATCCGAGCCGGGAACTTGCAAACTTAGTAAATAAAAACACTAACAATTAAATTCCTTATATTTCAGTTGATAAAATTATTACCAATTGGTGGGAAATCAAAGTTTGTTCTATATAAATGGCCTCTACCACACAAATGTGGAATTTCCACATGCAGAATTGGTTTAATACATGCGTTTGCTGGGTGTGGTGATGTTTGCCTGAAAATCCATCTTGAGACGGGGTTAGTGGATTGCATGGAGATCATGTGCACAAGATACTGACCTAACTTCAGGGCGTGTGTTGCTTGTGTGAGAATACAAGAGGTTATGTGGATTTGAGTGGCGGTCCTTGGTATGTGTCTATGGATACTTTACTTTCCTCCTGAAGGCACAAATGCTCAAGGAATTGTTGAAGCATGCCAAGGAGCCTCTTTCTGAAATTTTTTTTTCCCAAAGATTGGTCGATATTTTCTTGGTGGGGTTCCTTCGTGATGAAAAGCAAATGACTTTTAAACGTCAACAAACACTGCATGTCCGATCAAGTTGTTACCAATAGTAATGCTCATTTGTCTTTCAACCGATCTAGTGACTTTACCGAAAGACCCAAAGCATATGAATTCCTGCAGTCACGAAAGCATTACGTCAATATTTGCTCTGTGTTAAAGTCAAATGTAACAATCAAATGACGTTGCATGCAAATGGTGTAGTTGCATAATAAAAAATGCATATTCTTTCAAACCCATCACATTTGTGCATATTTTAACGGATTATTAAATAAAACCCAATTAATTTAGATTTAAGTTTCAACTTCACAAAGCCTTGTCACAGGTGGAAAATTACAGAACAGAATTGAAGTCGACAACATTTAAAATAATTTTGTTAATGCAATCATGATATGTGAAGGTTAAGGCTAAAGTGAACCATTCGTTCAATTGTTTTCCGATTGTAACATTTTATACTAAAATCAAAAATATAGAACGTCTTTCATGCATCAGTGACATGCATCACACGTAAATAAAGTGTTCACAAAATAATGTTGTTTTATTGCTTTAATTGAATTCAAAACCATTTATACAACTGTACAAAACCAACAATCATTTCAAAAAGCCTGAAAATGCAGTACACATGCACAACAAACCTCTTTGAACTTCATGCTGTGCAGTGTCTGCAGTCAAGGCATGGACAGAACAGTAAGGGTGTGCTCATGCTCACATGCAGACTCGTCTGCTGCCAGCTTGTGCGAGCTCCCTCTTGGGGAGAACACCCACCTTCCAATGCCCTTGTACTCCACTGGACTGCCCCCTTCACATCGAAAACAAAAGACTAAGGCATGTAAGGATTCAACCCACCAGTTTGTATTAATCATAATTACAATTGATGTATATTTACACATGCATTGCTGGTTCAATAATAATTTCAATGCTGCTGGGTACAGTTGAACTGCCAGTGAATTCATACTTTGTAGGCAATATGCCAATGGGTGCTTATGTGGAACCCTTGTCATTAAGCGCATTTTATGCCAACATTTTTAAAGCACTTATTATTCATGTTACTGTAGCGGTGAGTAGTTGTGTATATCGGCAAGGGAAGCTTTGGTTTTGGGATTGTACCTCAAGCAAACAGTGTTTGGATTCAGTTATTAAAAGTGACATAACCACCAAGATAACCATTTGATACAAATGGAATGAACCGAGGAAATTGACTTAACCTATTTTCTTACAAAATAAAACGTAACAGTTAGCTATTTCCAGTCAGTAAACGTAATGTCTTACATTCCAAAAAAAAGGTTGATTTTAAATCACCACATCACAGTTTTAACGACTTGCCCACACAGAGTCGTGTAAAGTTTTGTTTCAACACTCTTCATCCTCATGCGTCGCTGCCAGCCTTGTCGCCACCCCCCGCGCATTACCCCACCAGGCTTGGCCTCTAAGCGTCGTCGCCCGCAAACTCGTGCTGCGGCAAGATGGCAGCAGCGCAGCCCACTCCGGCAAACGACGCCGGGAAGTGCAAGTCCCTCTCCCACTCGTCCGTCTCGACGTTGTACACCTGCACCAGGCTCGTCACGTTGTTGAGCCGCCAGTTGTATCCGCCCACCACGTATATGCGGTCCCCCAGCAGGGCGCAGCCGGCCTCCGACTGGCCCGTCCGCATGGGCGTCACGGCCGTCCACTGGTCGGCCTCCGGCACGTAGCACTCTGCCGCCAGCACGTCGTAGCAGCGCTCCACCTGGTCGGCGCGCCCCCCCAGCGCGTACAAGCGTCCCCATGCCGCCGCCATGCAGTGCAGCACACGCGCCTCGCTCATGGGGGCGCGGAACTCCCAGGCGTCGCGCGACGGCTCGTAGTACTGGAGCGCGCGCCTGTCCTCGCCCGGGATGCCGTAGCCGCCCGCCACGTAGAGTCGCCCGCCCAGCGTGGCGCCCGCGTGGCCCCACGTGCGCCGCTTCAGCGCGCTCACGTACAGCCAGCGGTTGTCCTTGGGTGAGTAGCGCTCCACAGACGCCAGGCTGCCCGTGCGGTTGCGCCCGCCCACGGCGTACAGGGCGCCGTCGACCGCCCCCAGGTGGAATTGTATTCGGGCGTCCTGCATGGGCTGCAGGCGCAGCCACTTGCCGAGGTGCGGGTCGTAGCGGAAGCAGTCGCTGACGGCGCCCTCACCGCTGCGGTACTGCACCTGCTGCCCCCCGACCACAAACACAAAGTTGTCGAGCACGGCCACGCACGGGTGGCTGCAGCCCACCGCCATCTCTGAGAGCTCTGCAGTACAGACACGGGGCGCACAGCGGGTGCAAGCGGTCAGCAACTGTTCTGGAATGCGCGACGCTACCCAACAACTCATGTGAAGCCCCGGAGTGAACGTGCCGCACATGGCTGCGCTACTTTAACGAACGAGTTGGCGAATTGGAGCCACTGGGTGGAATTTCATGGAAATGTCCAAGCTGCACCCATAGCCAACTGGGTTAGCACTGAACTGAATTGTAGCAGTGCAAACAAATGCAGGTTGTATGTTCACTCCAGCCCGCACAAATATCAACACTTTCACAATTTAACAAAATAACGAAAATTTACGCAAACAACAGTTTCAAATGCGGCATCTTCTCCCACCCAAGTGCTTAAAGATAGCCCAGAAAACAAACCACTTAATTTGTACATATCCTCCTAGGCTGTGTCCTGAGCTCGCCAATGACAACGTTTATCAATTTAAAAAAGTAATATCACCATCAAGTCACATGCAGAAGCACTGCCAAAATGCCCTCTCATGGCATCGCTGCCATTAATTCCAACGTGAGACGGCAGGCTCGACACCATACGTCAACATCACAAAGTACAGCGCACGGTGGGAGCCGACCGAATTAAGCCAATGGAGCACAACGAGCGCTGGTAAATTTCCAACCCATGATGGTAGCCATCGATTTCACGAGCGTATCGGCCAGTTTTATTTTGCAGGAGCAAATTTAAATTATTGAAATGCTTTGCGTAGACCCTGCTCAGATAAGTTCAAAACAGCACTCAGTCGGCTTTTGGGCTGCATTCACAAAGTGTGGCTGGCCGTGAACGACGTAGCAACCGCGCTGCGATAATGGGTGGGGGGGGGGGGGAATTGCTCGCACCCTTGAAGTGTCGGGAGGAGCTGTCTGGGAGGAAGTGGACCTTGGTGCTCACTGAGCGGTCCAGGTCGATGTAGGGCGTCCCGCCCAGGGTGAGCAGCGAGACGTGGTCCGAGCGGATGGCTGTGCGCGGGCTCTGCATCTCGTGCTGTCTGAAGGGCAGCACCTGCATTCGCGCACAGAGGGATGGGGGCCTGCAAATTGGCTGCTGATGCAGAAGATCTTCATAGCAGTTTAACACGTACGCTGCCGCAACCAATATCCATAATGCAGGTTTTTTTTGGGTTGGATCACGTAAATATAAATGTCGTTAAACCCGACACAGCCAATTAATAATAATGGACTTTTTTCCCCTTTTTTCTGGCAACAAAAATCGGGAGAAATAAAACTGAAATTGCCCACATCACCAAATGCAGGGACAGACACGCACCGACTCCCACACATGAACATGGCTGGGTATCAATTCTAAAATAGTGGTGCCAAGTACAAGCCAGCAGGAACACTTATTTCCTGCCACATTAATTATCAGGCACGTAGAGATTGCATAAACTCACATGTGTGCATGTGGTGAGGACAACCCTGGCAAATAATGAACAAGTTGTGAAATACATCAATTAGCGCTGGCAGCAATTACCTAATTTTCCCCTCCACAAGCCTCATGTAGCACTCGTCACACAATGTCCTCTCATGGTGTCACTTGCAGTTGAATTGAAAAAAGCCACGCGAGCGCTGAACCATATCTCCACCTTGTGTTCACCCACTCTCAAACAGTAGTCTTGAGATGTGGTCAGATTAGGATACTTTAAAAATACCAAATTGTATAGTCCATGGAACAGAACAAATGATTACGCTTAAGCTGGCACAACATGAATCGTGATGATTCAATTGTGGTATGAAGTTGCGGTTTCATTTAAATTATACAAATTACAAATGTAAATGAATAACAGTATATCAATAAGAAAAATACCTCGACATGTCTGCTTATATTTTAAAGTGATAAATATTTCTTAATAAAAAAAAAAAAACTTTTTTTTCCCATCTCAGGTGAGACCAAGCAAATTATTTCATCTGCGTCCATAGACGAATAGAGGTGTGATTTACATCTCAGCAGAAGGGGGGGACATTCCCGCCTGAGGGAGCTGAGCATTGTGCCCATCAGCCGAGCCAGCATACAGCCCTCCCACCAGATATGCATAGCTACAGTGGCTTCCTAAAATCAGAAAATGCACCTTTAAATCGAGATTAAAAACTCATTACTTTAGAACTGATTTTGTGTTTATCCATGCATGAAGGTGAAACTGCTCTAAACGGTATCTATTTGGTGTTTGAACATCTTAACACCTGTTTTATTGGCAGCAAGGGTAAAACCTATTCTTATTTTTGATGCTTTTATACTGGCAAAAAGGTTCCAGTATATGTAGCTGCTCACCCCGAGCTATAAATGTTCTGATGCGTGTGGCATTGTCTTCGTACCGTTTACCTTTTGGCGTTCTCTGGTCTCATACCGGTGAGACCAGGCCATGAAGAAGGCTGTCTCTGGGTGTAGGCCAATAAGTTTAGAGGGCAATGCATATATTGTCAGAGCACGTTCGTTTGCATGTTCACAAGTACGAGTGGTGAATGCAAACTTGATTCCTTGCAACATCTATTTGGTTTTTAAGCATCTTAACACCTGTTTTATTGCCAGAAAGGGTAAAACACCTATTCTTATTTTTCTATCGCGCGAATCGCGGGACACATTCTCTCCACATCTAGCACGGGGCGCACGGACCTGGAAGTTGAAGGCCTCGAGTAGGAAGCTGCGGCAAGTGGGGTCCTCCATCATGATGTCCACGGGCTGCACGTGATCGACAAGCTGCACCGAGCTCATGAGCGGAAAGCGCACGTGGGCGAGGACATCGGGCGCCACGCGCCGCCGCCCCTCGCTGTGCCGGAGCCAGCGAATCGCCGCTTGGAAAAGATCCACCTGCCCCACGTCGCGGGCACAGCAACACACCCCACCCTATAAGCAGCCGCAAAGCACGATCCTTGAAAAAAAAGAGACCATGAATGTCCAAGTTTGGCCAGGGCAGTTACGGTTTTAGAAAGCCTGTTCCTCCCCCCCTCCCCCAGCGTACCGAAGCATTTGCTATCATTGGGATTTTGGATTATCATAGTAGTGGGCGGGGGCCTATGGGCAGTGGGTGGGGCCTATGAGCAGTCAGTGGGGCCAATGTCAGAAATCACCAGGCTTCTCTGGTGTGGGCAGGGATCGTGATGGAGTGGTCGTGACTTTGGGCTGTGAGCTCACCACCAGCTCCCGGTTGAGCCTCCCAGAAATGCGATAACCTTTGAGGTGCCCAGGCTGCTCAAGGGAATCGATGGCTGTCAGGGTAATATGCCCCCAACATTGGTAACAACACGCACTGTTGGCTACGTACGGTGAAAAAGAAGTTAAACATACATACAACACGTAACCACTTGAGTGGCCAGGTGGCATAGGGCACGACGCCCCACAGACCACCTTTTCTCGATGACCTCTTACATCTGTTTACAAATTGGGCCACTCCACTCTAGATGCATCCGATGGTTGGCAATCAAGGAAATCGGTATAGTGGGGGGGCTCACAAGGACCCAAGTCAAGAAACACTGGCTTAAAAGGGAACGCAGTGACTTTGTTTCAGTGGTACAGCCGAATAATCTCCCAAGCAAAACCAGGAGCCGAGCAGGAGGAGACGTCAGTGCTCAGCGCTCGATCTCTCACCTCGGAGCAGCACTGCAGCCGGTTGCTCCTCAGGAAGAAGACGAGGCGGTCGAGCGGCAAATGCAGGAAGTCATCTTCGGCGGCGATCTGCAGGAAGTGCGTGAAGGTGAACGCGTCGACCGACTCCTTGAGCGAGGCGAGGCTGAACGCTGTCGCCATCTGGCCCACGCCAAGGCACGTCTCCACGCTCATCGCCGACTTGAGGAAGTCCTCGCAGAGCCCCACGACGGGCGCCATCTGCAGGAAGACTGCGGCGCCCAGTACGTCCTCCACGCACTCCATGTCCAGCGTCACCTCGCCGCAGTAGGCGAAGTCCAGGATGTGCTGCAGCCCGCGCGCCGACAGCCCCTGCAGCTCGATCTCGCGCTGGCTCGCCTCGCGCATGCCGCCCGTGAACATGGCCCTGTGCACAGGAACAACAACAGTCTGTAATTTCAACCGTGATGAGGGTTACAAACTGAGTAATCATTGGAAAGATGTGATTAACCGTGCAAAAAAGATGTAACTACACTTATTTGGACCATCTTATTTGACAGACAACTATTACAGGTTATTGATAGCCAGTTTGTTGTTTTACCAGTTTTAGTTTTTAACTTGCTTTTCTTTTTTCACACTTTTCTTATGTATGCCATGTGTTAGTTACAAACCGCACCTCTCCATAACAAAGGCTCAGTTCTTTGTTATGCAGTCTACTCTTGGTCTTAAGCCTCACCTTACCATATTAATATTATACGGGTAGTATTTCTTGTGATCTCTCATTTACTTGATACAGCTGTCGTGGCTGTGATGGTTCCACCTGAAGACGGAGGCTTGTGTTGCTTCCGAAACGTCGTGAATTTTTAATTTGTTTAATTTTACTTTAATTAATTTAAATTTTTTACCTACGTGACTTTACCGAAAAAACCTAAGAGTAACAACCGTCTGTCTGGCTTACGAGAATGTCGACCATTCCACGTCGCCGCCGGTCATGTTTTATCCACTACTGGATGAAGGTTTTGCCAAGCAGTGACCGTCCCTCACGGTCATGCAACTATTAGGTTTTAAAATCGGCTCAGATGAATGTTCTGCGAACTTTCCATTATACTCGAAATAGTTAAACCAGTTTTCCTAAGATTTTAAACAAGATATGGAGATTTAAGAAGGGACTGCTAATTTGATGGGTTATTTGAATCCCCACCTTCGTGCAATGGACAGACATAAGCAAATTTCCTTTCAGTGGGTATTGAGTTGGAGCGTATTGACAAATTAAACAAAGGGTGCATTGGCGATGCAATAGCGCTGACGCCTATTTGTTTGAAATATTGGAGCAATGCCATGGGGTCCGACCGTATTGTTGGGGTTCATTTTAGTAAGAAATGTTTCTACTTCCCTTCGTCCAAATGTTCTCAAGGACAATCCAGAGACAGAATAATTATGGTCAGATGTGGCAGGATGAGCAACATTATTCGATGAAAGATTACTTATTTCAAAGGTATTTTACTGCTTGTACAGAACACTTGCTCGAATGCGTCAATAATATTCTTTCCACCAGAAATGTCAATGCCATTTATAGCCTATAAATCGGGCAGCCTTGAATTTCATGGCCGGTACGGCAAACGAGGGGGTAGGTGGCCAATACCACGCCTGGCCGCCTTTGTCTCCCCAGTGGTGATGTTTACACATCGCACCAGGTACTCATTTGAGACCGAGTCGACCTAGGGGAGGCCCAGGACCAGTTCAGGACTCGTCATTAGTGTTGGCCGCGAGCGGGAATCGAACTCGGTTCGCCGGGTTCGAAAGCTCGGCGTTTCGCACAAAAAGCTCCACGTCGCGCGCACACACACCCACATGCTGCTTTTCTCTCCCACACTCATCTCCAAAGCGGAGGGCCGCAGAGCGCTTGGGCACCTGAAGTAGTCGCTGCAGGCGGCGAGCACGGCGCGGTGCACGCGGAACGACGCGTTCTCCACCAGCAGCGTCACGTCCAGGAGATGCCCGTTGTCGCGCAACGCCGCCAGCCCGCGCAGCAGGCAGCCGCTGTACCCGGCCGCCGTGAACGTGCGGCGCAGCAGGCTCGGCCGCTCCGTCGCGCTGTCAGCGCGGGAGACGCCCGAGGGGACCCGGTGTGCGGAGGAGGGGCAAGAGATGCGTGAGGAGGGAAGTAGGGACGGGGGGTTGCGTCAGCTCTCAATGTCACAGGCGAGAGCGCGTAATGATCCAGCCCCGCATTGATTAGCGTCAACAAGCCAGCTACCCTCATGCGGGTTGATGGATTGTGCAGATATCGTGTGTTTTCAGTCTTGCCATTAGATGGGCTTGGGGGGGGGGGGGGCAAGAGAGCGCAGTACAGAAAGTAAGTTTACAACGTATCTATATGGAGTTCAGTGTTATCTGTCATTTGCGTAAGAGTTTTTTTCTTTCTGGGAGCACTAGTTTTCTTCCACTTGTGAAATAATTAATAAGGAATATACTGAGAAAGACCCATCTGAAAGAGCTCTGATATATGTTTAATAGCAAGTTAATAAAATATTGTCAGACGGTTTTTTTTACTCAGGGAAAATAAAGACTGCATTCCAGTCGATGAATAGACCTTAATAGAACTCATTAACTAATTATCCGAGATATTTCCTAAAATATACATACGAGAGAGGGCAACACTGAAACTTCTGAACTTGAACACCAGTTAGCCAGAACATTGGAATATTATTCATTGCATATGTTCACCAAAGCAGCAAAATTATAACTTAAGATTCAATCAAGACCATACAAAATAAATACAGGACATTATTAATAAATTGACAACATAGATCGAAACAAACTTCAGTTCATACAGAGTGACCTGTGTAGGGTAAGGCAAGGCATGCTTACCGAATCAAACACTGAACTTCCTCGTGCAAAACATCTCATTAAAAATTAGCATTACAATTGCGCTCTAAGAGGTATTGGCAGTTGAACACAGCAAAATTCTTAAACAGGCAATGTTCACACCAGCCACAACTCAAGTGGGTGTGCGTGGCATTAATTTTAGAGGCGTTTCTGACGAAGTGTTTATTCCCACCGTGTGTCATGCTGTCACCAACTCACTGGAAGTATCTTTCACAATGAATCTTCATTAAATAATGAAAAACACTGCAATGGCCAATAAACCATGTTCATCGCTCCAAGAAGTGTTCAACAAAAATGGCCATTCCACCACTAGCTTTGGGCTGTAAATGGGATAATGATCAACTCCCCATGCTCTTTGCAAAAACTCTTTTACAGCAATTTTTTTCTGCTGTATTTAAACCCACGTTTGTTAAACTGCGATGGCAACGTACTCCACCAACAACAATTTCCCTCTCGCAATCTGTCCTGTAAAGCAGGAGGTTTGCGTTGAGGCAGGGATGTCGTTACGTAAATTCCCCTCGACGTGATATAAGATATTCCGCGCACTATATTGACTTTCAAAATGCACAGCATATAGGTGTAGGGGATCTGCGAGCCACCCTCACGCACACGCAAATACGACGTCACCCGGACCAAGGCGTGCCAGACGGGGATGTGTATTGGAGATGGTTTAAAGGGCGCTGTGGGACGGATGTTCGAGGTTGGTTGTGGAACGAGTGTAGCTGTACATTGGTGAATTAAAGAAGTGCTTCAAAACATTCTTGACTCCTCTTCATAGGTGACAATGTGCCTGGAGGGCAGCTGGCTTTGTGTGAGCAAGACATTGATACTGGCCTCCAATGCATTCCCACGGTATAGATATACACGCGAATCTCCTATATAAAAATTGTATTTTAAAATTCTACGACTCGACATCATTTTTGATGCACAGAGTATAAATTAGTTTATAGGTCAAAAACATATCTCAACGAGCGAATTTTATCGAGAATTATATAACTTGTTTTTGGAAAGATTTTAAAAAAGCATTATTATTGTTGTCCTAATCTTTCATCCTTTACACGTTTTTAATGTGCAAGTATGCTTGCGTGCATGCCAATGCCTTTTCAAACATTAAACAAAAAGGCTTCAACTCTTTCCAAAAATGGGTGACCTTCCTAGGATGGTATCCACAAGGAGTGCTCCTTGTCCCAGTATGTACGGTTTGTCCTGGCACAGCATTAACAATCTCCTTAGAGATGTAACAAAGCATAATACAAATCAGTCCAAAATTATACTGAGGAAGGCTATGACCAAATCGGGTTTGAGGTTTTGCTAATGTTTTGATTGGCAAGCACCATGCATAACAGGTATTATAAGCAGTGAGGCTACTTTGTGGGCATTACAACATAATCAATTGTTGTACTACACTTCTATGCTTCCGCATCGATGCTGCCCGCCTTCACCAACCAGGGATACTGACCTGCAAGTATGTTATAAACAACCCCTTAAAATGCCAGCATGGTGCTGAGAGGCCCTCATCCAGCAGTGCATTGACAAGGGCTGTAACGTGTACACATTATACGTCTCCCACAGACACACACACTCGTGTAATCTGTGTGCTAATTCTCGGTAATGAGAGATGCTTAATGGTATTGGAGGAGCAGCTCAATGCCGGCTTACCACACCGGTGCTTGAATTATTCACGCAGAGTCGAGGGCGGGGAGTCCGCCGGGACAGCCATGAAAAGCGGAGCACAAACTCGTGCGGTGATGAGTGAGAGGTGACAGTCACAATCAACGCAATGGGCGCGAATGAGCAGTTTTGCACGGGTTAATGGGGCAATGCACACGGTAAGAGGGTGAAGTAGCCGCCACTCTGGGGGTCAGCGCAGGGGGTCGGCAAACCTGCGGGCTCTTCGTGATGTTATTTTATTCAAGGAGCACATTGCGGCTCTTGAAATATTGAATTTTTTTAAATCGAAATTGAAGGGGGAAAAAATGGCTCTTCTCGATATTTTGATCGCCGACCCCCGGACTTGACACACGGCCAGAATTGATTGTTGCGTCGACGTACGGGTACGTGTGTGCATGTATGTACGTTGAACTTCTTTCGCACCGTACGTAGCCAACGGCGCTAATCGAAGGTGCAGGGGGGGGGGGGTAAGGACAACAAAACTAAACACCAAAAAGCACTCTTTAAAGAAGTGAGCTGTCAATGTCGATGTAAAAGTGTTTAGCTCCAGCGGCTTCCACGTGCACGTGTAACTACGATGCCTCTCCATTGTACCCAACACCAACACACCGCCATTGGCCACTAAGTGACTGTGACATCACCACAGCGCCTGTGCCAGGCCATGTGCACTTCTGAGGCCACGTGAAGTGTCGAAGGCTCTCTAACACCAAAAACAACAAGTCACGCACTCGCTGACAGTAAGCGAGTAGGCAGAGTAAGGGGCCATCCATTGAGTAGGTAAGTCAAACATCTGTATGCACGCGGACTTTTTACACCCCCCCCCCCCGAATCCTATAGAACGGCCGATATTTAACCCACGCAGAAACGATCAAGGATTAATATTAACGTGCTTAAGCAAACAGTGCACCGCCAGACAATCTAACTCATTTGAAGGCCAATGCAGACATAATTATTGAGGCTTCACCCCCCCCCCCCCCGTTTCCTATGCGTACGTAACATTGTCAATAGACCCCCCCATACGCAAGCGAACGCATGTGGCTTGACCCCCCCCCCCCTCCATGCGAACGCACTAAATGGATGGCCCCTAACGCAATTGCACTGACCCACACGGGTGGCCGAGTAGGGCATTAATAAGTTAATGTTCATCTTCTTGGTTCTCTCGGTAAAGTCACGTAGAAGGAAAATAATAAAAATAAAACATAATAAAATAATTCTCACGACGTTTCGGCCACAACGCAAGCAGCAGTCCTCAGGTGAAGAATGAAACACCACCAAGCTTGGAGCGTATATTTAAGCTGCTGGGTTGGTGGGAGAAGAGCGCCTTGACAAAGGAATTTGCATATCCGGCTGCTTGCGTTGTGGCCGAAACGTCGTGAGAATTATTTTATTATGTTTTATTTTTTATTATTTTCCTTCTACGTGACTTTACCTAAAGAACCAAGAAGATGAATCCCTGCAGTCACGAAAGCTTTAAATCGAAATTTAAGTTAATGTTGTTTTAGTGTTGAGCCACAAGCGCATTCAAATCATGAGACCGTCAAAGTGGTTATTCCTGTGTCAGCATGCTGCTGCACGGGGTTGGTTGTTCGTTCGCGAATCAGTGGCCCCGTGTGTGCGCATTAGCGTGGTCGAAACTGTGCAATGCGTTCTTGTGGGGATTGGCAGTTCCTGTGGTACAAGCGATCTCCCCGTCAGAACATTAAGAGTTCGTAATGCATTATTGTACATGATGATAGCATGGCAGTAGAGTTGTCAATGCCATCGTTGATGATCACGTTGTGTGGTTATTGGCGTTACTAATACTCGTTTTTTTTATATAAATGAAAGTAATGTATTGTTATTGCTGTAGTTGTGGTACATAGCTATGTTAATATCCTTACTGCTTTATATTAAGTATTAATTTTTGCTATTATCGTATGACGATAGATTAGTTATAATTGCTATTTTCTTGTATTTAAAAATAAACATCTCTTAGTTGTGACTGTAATTGTTAACGTTGTTGTCATTGCTGCTCTGGTCTCTGCGGAACAACACAACTTCCTGGGTGGGCCGACTCACACAGTGCCAGCCTGGGGAACAACACCACCACCACCACCAACCCCACCACCACCTCCACCACCACCGTATCAACCCCACCACCACCTCCACCACCACCGTATCAACCCCACCACCACATCAACCCCACCACCACCACCACCATCATCAACCCCACCACCACCACCACCGTATCAACCCCACCACCACCTCCACCACCACCGTATCAACCCCACCACCACCTCCACCACCACCGTATCAACCCCACCACCACATCAACCCCACCACCACATCAACCCCACCACCACCACCACCATCATCAACCCCACCACCACCACCACCGTATCAACCCCACCACCACCTCCACCACCACCGTATCAACCCCACCACCACCTCCACCACCACCGTATCAACCCCACCACCACATCAACCCCACCACCACCACCACCATCATCAACCCCACCACCACCACCACCATCATATCAACCCCAACCCCACCACCACCTCAACCCCACCACCACCATCACCATATCAACCCCACCACCATCACCAACCCCACCACCACCACATCAACCCCACCACCACCATCAACCCCACCACCACCACCATAAACCCCACCACCAACATTCACAACTCACCACCAGTAAGCAGCACCCTATCACCACCAACCACCACTATTGCCCGATCACTACCGGCACCACGGAACCATGCGCACCACAAACACCATCATCAGCAGCAGCCTGCCACCACCAGCAACACAGCGAGCAGCAGCAGCACGAGACCGCCCTCCCCCGCCACCTGCTGCCGCCGCCGCCGCCTCCGAGGTCTGCGCAGCTCGGCTCCATCGCGAACTCCACTCCTCCTGCCCCAGACTCCGCCATCTTGCCCCGTCCGTGTCACGTGACTGAGAATGGGCTGCCCCCCTCCCTCTCACCTCGCCACCGTTGGTGTCAGTTACACCACGTGACTGAGAATGGGCTGCCCACCCCCTCTCACCTCGCCACCGTTGGTGTCAGTTACACCACGTGACTGAGAATGGGCTGCCCCCCCCTACCCCACCGTTGATGTCAGTTACACCACGTGACTGAGAATAGGCTGCCCCCCACCGTTGGTCTCAGTTACACCACGTGACTGAGAATGGGCTGCCCCCCCCTACCCCACCGTTGATATCATTTACACCGCACGACTGAGAATAGGCTGCACCCCCCACCCCACCGTTGATGTCAGTTACACCACGTGACTCGGTAGTGCCCCCCCCCCCCCCCCATGGCACACCTTGAAAGTGGCAAGGTGTTCAAACTCTCTCGTTTCTTGGTAGCCGGAGGAGAGTTTTGTGGGTTCGATCACCCACCCTGAAGGCCCGCCGTGCATATTCCCCCTCCACATTTGGACACGTGCGTGCGGAGTATTCGGCTGCTTGAAATGTCCACACGACGATAAGCCACTTCGGGGTGGGGGGCAGCCCATTCTCATGCACGTGGTGTAACTGACACCCTTCTGAAATAGACCTACATAGCTCAGTGGGTCTTACCTGGTAAAATTAAAAGTTTGGTCTAAGTGCTACCCCCCCCCCCCCCAATCCATGTGACTTGATCATGCCCCCCCCACAAGGAACTTAAGTGCCCCCCCCACCCAACCACTTGACTTGAGACACCAGTAGTACCCCAATCACCACAGGCAAATTACTCCGTTTGCAAATTGAATCGCATTTAATGTCACTTAACACTGTGATTGAGAATGTAAAATATCAATAACCCTGGCAACGTGCAGCTCCTATACCATTGGCTCAATGCTGTGAACAGCCCCGCTGTGGTTTTGGAGCCTGATGATTTTTCTGTACAATACCATGTTGTACTTCTTATTCTTGGGTCTTTCGGTAAAGTCACGTAGATAGGTTCAAAGAAAATTAGAAAATAACAAATATTTTATTTTAACCTATCTACATAACTTTACCGAAAGACCCAAGAATATTAATTCCTGCAGTCACGAAATCTTCAAGTTATGTTGGATTTCTTTCGCACCGTACGTCTTCAACCGATGAATAAAACTTTCTATGCGGATTCTGCTCAATTACTTGAGGACATTAGCTTGTGGGAGGGGGGGGGGGAGAATAACAACACCTGGAGAAAACCCTCATCACGCAATAATCCAATTGCAGAAAGCATAGGAGCATGCGTCAGCCACCTGAATTCTGTAAAAAAAGAGCTTTTATCACTCATCGGATTCACCAAGTATACATTCTAAATTCGAAAGGATAGAACAGGCTTTAAATATATTTTTTAGGAGAAAGCATTTTTACAGGCCCAAGACATCTATTTTCCCAAATGGATGTGTCGTTCCTCGATGTCAATAATTGGAACTGGGAAAGCCAAAACGAGCAACCTCTACTGCCATCTGCTGACTACGGCGATTGCCCCAGCAACTATCAACCTCTGCATCATCCACCAAACCTTCTGCAGAGTGCTTGGCCATGACGTTAAACCCTCCACTGCGATGCAATGAAACGTTAATCTGCGTAACCTTGTATCATGGATGCTGCCGTAATAAATTGGTTATCAAAATTTTATTTTCAAAGGCAGAGGTCACCAATTCGTTCTCACGACACCATACCTGTCAATCCCTTATCCGTGCCTACCTTATTAGACCAATTCATCCCTTATTGGTCACCCCGTGCCCTTATAAATCTCAACGCTTAACCTACAAAGTCCCATCACAAACAAAAACATGCCCGTATTGAACCGGCTGTACGCCGTACTGACCTGAAAACTCAATTTCCCTGTACAATACGGGTAAACCGTAAGGTTTGACAGGTATGCAACAGTGCGTAGTTGAAGCAATGAGCACTTTTTTCAAATCCTGTCTGTCAACATAATTTGTCGATCGAAAGATCACGTGGTGGGGAAGTGAGAGTACTCCGTCTGGCCTAGCCAGCGTGAAATCATAGGCCAAACACTCTCAATACGGGTTCTGGAGTTACCTCCAAGTGGAAGCTCTTCTGCCAGCAGTGGTATGAGCAAGCCATTGTAGGGCTGCATCATGAATCCCTTTCACCAAATTATAGCTTCCCACACATCCATTGGACGTGACCATTGGACGTGACTATCGTCCGTGCCTCCAGCCAGTACTTTTTTTTGCATGGTAAAAGTACACGTCGTTAAACGTAGCCCTGCGGCCACCCATGCGCCCCCTTCCCTCTGCGTGCTCGGTGGTGCATGGCCTTCCATTAGCACGTTTGTCTACGTACGGCGCAAAAGAAGTTCAACACACATATATAAAACGTGCGCTGGTTGGTGCGTGGCCAGCCAGAAGAAAAAAACACTTTTCGAAAAAAACTATGTTTAGTGAAAGTTATATTTCATTAGTTTCACAATTAATGAATTGCACTTAAATCAATTGACAAGGAACACAATTCAGCCATCATTTTTGACCATGTTGTATTCTCACTTGAACAGTTGTCATCTCTTTTGCAGTCATAACATGAGCATATAATTTATAAATTAGAATAGCAAGTACAGTAATTTAATCTTGCACTCAAAATTCCATTTGTATCGGGAGCGCAAGGATTGATTTGAATCAATTATTTAACCATATACATAAGTGCTGAGTTACCTTGCATGAAAGCTTCCTCAAACTTTTACTTGCATTGAACTCATTAAGCGGCAAGCCACCTGAATTGCTTTTTGCATGGATACAGCGAATAGCTCTCATGTTGACTTTCTAGACACCAAGGAGATCGGCGTTTCACACTTGAAAAAAGTAAAACGTCGGCAGACTGAAATATCCTCACGTTGTGTACAAAACACTTTTATTATTATAATTCAGAGGACACGTGTAAGCCGCAGAGTTGTGCATCGTTTTGTTCAGGCAGAAGTCAATCGTTGGTATCGCAGCAGTAAAAACTTGGCGCGGAGTGGCGGCGGCGGTGGCGGTGGGGCCAGCTTCAGCAGCAAAGCTGTCTGGTCCAGGTCTTCAGTTGGTCAGGGCAACAAGCGCCTCCACCACATTACCCATGTGCTCACGTAAACTCCTCTCAGCCGCAGTCCGCCCAATCTCCATTTCGTTCATCTACCCACACACCCGTGTGGCACAAAGACAAAAAACCACCATTCAGACTCGGAGCCTGTTTGGACAGAGTGATGTTAGCAAGGATAAATAAAACCAGTACAGCTCACAAGGGAGTGATGGTGGACCATACCACGTCCGTCCATATTAATTTATCCAGTGCTAATGGTCACAGACTGCACCAGGTACAAATTAAGTACCAAGTCAAATGAGTTCAGATGAGAGCAAAGAGCTTATACCGTACGTGTGAGTATAGATTACAGTACAATGGCATTTTCTGCACTGCCTTCTGCTGCCCACCACATAACCTCACAGCCTATAACAACAACCTGTTAATGCAAGGTGGTTGCCCAACCAAAAACTTTCCAGGCTGTTGATATGACCATCACACCACATATCACAGCCAATGATTAGTGATATTAAAGACACCATGAAGACACGAGGTGGAGGTGTGGTCAGTTGCATACATGCCTGGCTGCATTGGTCTTCCCCCTTGCTACCTTCACCACACCACACAAGGTGGTCATAATAAGCCAAGTTAACCTATGAAAGCCCGATGCCGAGTTCAATTTCCAATTTCTACTGATGTGCATGAACGGGAATAATACCTGCCAAATTATGATTGAGGCAGTGTGTCAATTAACCACCATGATACCACACTATCTGTACACATCAGCAGCCACTTGAGTGTAAGTGCATCAGTGTGACTGTGCCAAGGGCCTTCTGAAGCCACAAAACATGTGAAAACACAAATAAATCTAATTATTTTATTCTGAAGTTAACAGAAATGAATAACACATGACCATCATATAATTGACGAAAACCCTTTAATATCTATTATGTGTTTGTTTTAAATAAGTGAAAGCCTCGTCACTCACGATTAATTCTACATCTTCTTTCCTGATGGTAACCTTGGCAAGTTCATTCTCTCTGCAGAAAATATCATCAGGAAATTAATTCAATACAATGGACACACATTCATATGGGCCCTTGAATCAGTACCATTTTAGTACATACACAATGAATATAGTATTCATCACACAAAATCACTGCAAATCCACTTTAAATGAAGCCTCATGTGCATGACAACTGGTATCAACAATGTTGAGCAAGTGTTAACATTAACAAGCCTACATTTTCCGCACATTTTATGGGAATTTAACATTTGAGATGTGTATTGAGCTGGATATGATGGCGCATCCCTGTATCCACTGCATCACACAGATTTGTTGAAACTCCAAATCCACTGGATTGCAAGGTGGACAGATGGCAGTAAAGCAAATGAGTTCCCGAACTGGACATAGTTTTGAGCGTTATCTCCTCGTACGCATGGGTTTGCTGAAGGCAAAACAATGTCTTCTTATATGCAAAACACTCAAATGGAGTTGGACAAACATTCCATGGTGGGATTTTGCACAAAAAAAGGGATTTTGAGACTGAAGAAAGACTTCCTAGATAAAGGCCTATGTTATTATAACAATATAATTGGATACATTAAGTTTACCAGTGTCTTGGCCTGCACCCTATCAAAAACATATGGCTGCTAATTTATGAGCGACATTCACAAAATTCCATGTTACGAGTCATTTTTCACTCATGTAGATGTTTACATTACACTTGTACGTGTACAGCACTTTTTGCAAATCCACCGCTGGGGTATGCATGGTGGGGGGGGGGGTGTTATTTCACCATACTTTCACAAACTAAAGTTTAACATTAGTGCAGCGTAGTAACAAGGGATAATCTCTGCATTGTGTAACAATCGCAGCACTCACCTCTGTTGCTTGGCGGTCTGTTCCTTGGATCGCCTGTCACCGATCACTGACATGGCCTGCAAATGTGACAGCACACAAACCCCTTTAGTTAAAATTTAACCACCGACAATTGTGCATGTATGGCCCCGTGTAATGCCACTGCTGAACGAGAGCGACGCCGCAATGCGAGTCGTGAGGGTATAATGACCATACTTCACCACGCTAGTCAGTGCAGACTGGTGAAGACGGGGGGGGGGGGGCATATGGAACAATGGATCTTAATTCAATGTCTTTTGCCAACTTAAAATGTAACATTCAGAATTACCAGGAGCAACAAACAAATGCAGTCTTCCCACGTTCGCATCTCACTCTCCGCCGCTTTCCAATCGTCTTGTCCCTTGTCCAAGTCTTCTCTATCACGTGGACGCGTCTTCATAGCTCATCTCCACAAATGACCATTGGCTATTCCACAAAACCCCTCTCCTTAAGCACTTTTTACCCACTTCCTCCTCTCCCAATATCCACAAATCATCCTCCCAGTTCCCACGTATTCGCTTCTGACTTAATACCTCCCACTCAAACTAAACTATTTTTAAATTAAACTTTTTTTTTATTTTACCAGGTAAGGCCCACTGAAGTATGTAGCTCTTTTTCAAAAGTGACCTGGCCACAAATGATAGCTCGACGAAGTGGCTTATCACGTGGGAATTTATAGAGGCATACAAACTTCAAATATACAACAGGCGTCAGTGTCGGGATCGAAGCCAGGACCTCCCTCATACCAGGCGAGGTAGTTAACATCTCACCACCGCGCGACCCACCCTGTCCATCTCTGCCACTCATCCCCTCCCACTCACCTCGTCCATAGCCCCACTCACCCCCTCCTCATCCCACTCACCTCGTCCTTATCTCCCTCTCACCTCGTCCATATCTCCCACTCACCCCCTCCTCATCCCAACCCAACCTCGTCCATCTCTTCCCCCACTCCACTCATCACCACCCCACTCATCACCACCACCCCACTCACCACCACCCCACTCATCACCACCACCCCACTCACCACCACCACCCCACTCACCACCACCACCCCACTCACCACCCCACTCACCACCACCCCACTCATCACCACCACCTCACTCACCACCACCACCCCACTCACCACCACCACCCCACTCACCACCACCACCCCACCCATCACCACCACACCCATCACCACCACCACCCCACTCATCACCACCACCCCACTCACCACCACCACCCCACTCATCACCACCACCCCACTCATCACCACCACCCCACTCACCACCACCCCACTCATCATCACCACCCACTCATCACCACCACCCCACTCACCACCACCCCACTCACCACCACCCACTCATCACCACCACCCCACTCACCACCACCCCACTCATCACCACCCACTCATCACCACCACCCCACTCATCATCACCACCCACTCACCACCACCACCCCACTCATTACCACCACCCCACTCATTACCACCACCCCACTCATTACCACCACCCCACTCATTACCACCACCACCCCACTCACCACCACCACCCCACCCATCACCACCACCCCACTCATCACCACCACCCCTCCCATCACCACCACCCCACTCACCACCACCACCCCACTCATCACCACCACCCCACCCATCACCACCACCCCACTCACCACCCCACTCACCACCACCACCCCACTCACCACCACCACCCACTCACCACCACCCCACTCAGCACCACCACCCCACTCACCACCACCACCACCCCACTCAGCACCACCACCCCACTCATCATCACCACCCACTCACCACCACCACCCCACTCATCACCACCGACTCATCTCCACTCCCCACGTGCCCCACGTGCGCGCCTCCCGGATGCCACTCACGCTCTCGAGGCTGGACGCCGAGATCTCCTTGTCCTCGGCGTAGTCGGTGACCTTCTCGAGGTCCGCCGCGCCGCTGTCATGCTTGCGGGGCTTCTCCGCGGGCTTCTCGTCGTGACAGTTCTCCTCCGCGTCCAACTCCAGGTCCGCCTCGCCCTCCGCCATGCTGCCCATCGAGCTCGTGCCGAGAAAGGACTCGGTGACGTCACGCGAGCCGCCGCGTGACGTCACCTGCGCGCGGGACAGAGATAGGTGTGACGTCATCCGGCCCCGCGCGATGAAGGGGGTGGGGCTTCGTCACACACAAAGAGCCGTGGACGTGACGTCATGCAGATGGTCGATGTACTTGCAGGAGTTATTCTATGGTTCTTTCGGTAAAGTCACGTGGATAGAAATAAAAAATAGAAAAATTAAAGTAACTAAATAATACAAAAAATCAAGTGAATAAAAAATAATAAAACTATCACGACGTTTCAATCGCAACACGAAACGTCGCGATAGTTTTAATATTTTTTATTCACTTTATTTTCACTTTTATTATTTTATTGTTATATTTTTTTCTATCTACGTGACTTTACCGAAATAACCATAGAATATGAATTCCTGTAGTCAAGAAAGTTGTAATGTACTTGCAGTAGGTTAGTGTAGTTTAATGTTGATCTTTGGCTCTCCAACACGCCGGTGTGTTGTTGAACTCGCAACGAATTGGCATGTCCTGTTTACGTGACAAACCTGTGCCGGGTGGTGGCGGGTTTAACGACACAATATAGATTTACGCGATCTAACCCCCCCCCCCCCCCAAAAAAAAAACCTGCGTTATGGACAATATTGGTCGCGAAAGTCTACGTGTTAAACCGCTATGAAGTTACACCATTGGAACCTCATTTACTGGCAAATGAGGTTCCAATGGTGTAAATGCTGACCCCGAGCTCTCATACTCTGATGGTACATTGTCTTTGAGTTGTGCGCCTTTTGGCGTCATCTGGTCCAACACCATGTGAGACTAGGCTCTAAGGAAAGCTGTCTCGGGTGTGGACCAATCAACTTCAAGGACAGTGCATACATTATCAGAGTTATGCTTTTTGTTTGCATTATGACTGCAGGTATTGTGGTCTATGCAAACATGACTCCTTGTAAAAAAACGTGTCAGTTTTGTTGCCAGATAGAAGGGTAAACAACCAATTATCGCTATTAAGTTCTGCTGCCAAGTTGAGAGAGATGAGGTCGTCTCTGTGCACGAATGCGGTGCAGAACCACGCGTGGTTTTTAAATCCTTTATATTAAGTTCACTTACTTGCGCGCTTACGACCGTGCAAACCTTTCAGTCGTTTTTTAACCCACTTCCCGTGATCCAATCGAGCTGACATTTTGCACAGTCTCGTTGTGCGTGACAATTTATTTTCGTGAAAATTTTTTTCCTAAATTTTCCACTTTTTAGAAAAAAAAATTTTCATATTTTATTTAAAACATCAATGTGATAAAAATGAAACTCTTACTCAAGAAAAACAGAAATGAATAATAAAACCGATGCCATGCATATAAAGGATTTATAGTGAAAAACTTTGTTTTTACGGGTTAATTTTTTACGAATTAAAAAATCGCGTTTCCCCCCTCTCCACGCTGCCGCCCCCCTCTCTCCCTTCGCCTGCCGGGCACCCGTAGGCCCTTCCGTGCCCCCCCCCCCCACGACTCCTCCCACCCTCCTGCAGACGATCGGCGGCCGCTTTCGCGCGCCCCGGGAGCCCCCTCCGTGAGGCTTCTCAGCAGCAACAGCAACAGCGGCGGCCTCCATTTCACGGAACGACGACGACGTCGTTGTCGTCGCCACCGAGGAAGGCTTTTCATCGAAGAGCCCAAAAAAAATCGCTTCGCCAAGAACCAAGCGACGCCTCAGAGCGGTGGATTTGGGGAGCAACGCGAGGCGATTCTTGGCCCCGTTGCAGGCCACCGTGCTCGCGTTGTGGTTCGCGTCAGGCAGCAGCAACAACAGCAACAACAACAACAGCAGCAGCAGCAACAACAGCAGCAGCAACAACAACAACAGCAGCAGCAGCGATCCGTCGCTTGATTAGCGAGAACCATCCGCTTGGTCATCACCAACCCCCACCCGGTCTGGACTAAGGAAACCCTCGGCCCCCCGCGGAGGGAAAGGCCGAGCGAGCTGGGCCCCGGCGAACGGGAGTGTGGTGGGGCTTGGCGTACGCTTGTTGCGGCTCGAAGCGGACGAAGCGATGGCACGCGAGTACAAGCCCGGCGACCTGATCTTCGCCAAGATGAAGGGCTACCCGCACTGGCCGGCACGGGTGAGTTTGTGGCTTTTTCCCCCCGTGCGGATTGGTGGGCCACTCATTCCCCGTCAATGCACTGGGTCGGCCGCGTTTGCGATGAACGCGATGAACGCGAATGCACAAAGCGGACAAAACGATTCAGTGTCATGCCATGTCCCGTCACATCTCATCGCCTTCATCCATCCACCCCAGTCCTGAGGAGTTGTGGCTCTCACGCCACAACATCTCAATGTTGTAGGTTTTAGATTTGAGGGCTCGTATGTCGCAACGTTTGCATTTGTTTGCAGGAACGATTTTGAAATGTTGGTGGTGGTGATGGGGGTGGTATCATGAGGGCTCCTAAAAAGAATGTTCTTTAAAGGGGGGCACGTAGTATACTGAGCCGTTTGTTCCCACAACACGGGTGAAAAGTTGTGTTTTATTTTAAAAGTGTATTTCGTGCCGGCTTACTGCAACCTTGGTATTCCTTTCATTCAGATGATGATTGGAAGTCACGTACGCTTCTTGCGGAACTTTGTTTTCGCTCGTTTATCGATTGCACGAACGTGCCACTTGGAATGACCGATCTTAACAATCCCCTTGTTAGATACGCACCCAGACCGTGAACTCTAGGGCTGTGTCAGATACGAGTTGATTGTCTTGCGTTCATTGAGAATAAACGCACGTTAAAGTCACAAAGGCGTCCTGTGGATTGCGCCTGAACGTGACTCGTGTTTTTTTTCTTATTAACAGCTTCAAATTCTTGTTTGGACAGCCTCGCCGCCAACAAAAAATAAGATCTGTTTGCTCAGGGAGCATTGTAAAAGCTCCTTGTCAACCCACTGCTGCACGAGGTGCCCTCCCAATATTGAGTCGCGCGCGTTGCTTGACCATACTTCACCACGATGGTCATTGCAGTTTGGGGGGGGGGGGTGTGGACGGGAGGCTTGGGACAGAGGGACGGATTTTAGCCGTGGCCGGGAATTGGAAGTCAGGTAGCCGAATTCATCGTGAAGTGTGCAAGCTATTGCGCTAACCACTGCTGCTACCCGTTTGGAACGGTATCTCTTTTCAATATTGTATAGGGCAGCAGTGGAGACTGGGTTCGTTTTCACAGTCTCATCAGCAAGGCATGGCTGTGTTTATGAATGCACTTTGTACTGTTTATCAATCGGCTTTTTTTGCTGGCACAGAGAATTGTAATATAATTAATCGGCCTTTGAGCCTTCTTTCGGATTAAGGGTTTGCATTACCCTAGTTAAGAGTTTGGCCCGAGATTGATGTAGTTCTGCGGGAGATCTGTGAAAAAAGAAAGATTTATAGCTCATCGGATTCCTCCAGTAAAAATAAAAAAAAAATCATCCTGAGTTGATAAACACTCGGGGGCCCCATGTCCCCGTACTAAATTGAACAGGCGGTGCTGAGCCGATGGCTAAAATTCAATATTCCTTTCGTGGGGTACCATTGTCTCCTTTGGAAAACCACTGTCAAACGCCCAAAAAGTGAAACTCAATTCATCATTCTGTCCAAGTTTAATCCATAATACGGACCCATATCTCGCATGCGTTACCCTACCCTACACTGCGCATAGCAATGCATTCGGGCGTTTATATTCATCAAATGTCGCGATTGTGTATGCCTGTGTTGTATGCAACTACAGCCACATCTGCTGTACTGTTCTGCAATATATCAAATCAGCAGCGAGTGATACATTTGCATTGACAGTCTATATGCGTATATAGCAGTGTCCACAGTTCAAAATGCACAGGCTATGTGAATCATTTTAAACTCGTTTTGTCCAAGCGTAACTCGTCATGAACCCTTTACAAATACACGTGTGAGTGCGATGCACATTTGGGGAGTAGGATTGTCAATTGAAAGATGGATTAATGATGTGAAGTGCCAGACCGCGACGTCGAGTTTCATTCTCATGGTGGGGGAAGAGGCGCGGGGCCGTGATGCCAGTGAGCATAAGCTGGGAGGGGGGGGGGGTCCCACAATATGACGACGATATATCACGTGATGCAAGGTCCACGATAATCGAATCGTCCTCTTGTTTATATTGTGATCAGCATTGCTTGTGCGTTTTTTCCTTAAATATTTAATTTCAGGTCAAAATATGAAATAATGCTGGAAATAAAGTTCACAGTAATAGCTCACGTTCAGAAAAATAGCTATTCGCTATTAAATTCATATTGTATATATGTATGTTGAATTTCCTTTGCACGTAGTCAACCGTGCAAACCTGAGTAATTAGACTTGATTATGCTTATACGACGTAATACATTATATTAGTTAAATGTACTTATTGGTTCTTGTGTAACTTACGTTGTGCATGGTTATAAGCGTGATAGGTTTATGTTGAGTGAACCGCAGTTAAATAACGTTAAGTAACCTTGATTAGTCATAGATGTTCTGCAAAGGACAAACAAAACAATAACATTCTTAAATACAATTACATTTTAATGGCAATCGTGATTTCGTAAAAAAAATGCATATCTTATATCTTAAAAATTATAGTGTAAACATGAACATGGCAGTGACTCGTGCATTGTAGCAACTCCAGACATGACGTTTTAAGTTCGTGTTATGATCTAGAATGTTTACCAAAGTGGCACAGATTTAGAGCCATAAATACATTTGTGAAAGTATTGCCATACAAAGTGTGCTGTAGCCACGTGATAACACAGCAGGCTTTTGTTCAGTGCGTGCTCTTAGCTGTGTTGTGTGTGTGCGTGCGCACCGGCAGATCGATGAAGTGGCAGAGGGAGCGGTGAAGCCACCGTCCAGCAAGTACCCCATCTTCTTTTACGGCACTCATGAAACGTGCGTATTACCTGTTGGACTCGGAACATTTCTTTAATAATAAACACTCTCGTCACTAAATTTTGATTTAAAGCTTTCGTGACTGCAGGGATTCATCTTCTTGGTTCTTTCGGTAAAGTCACGTAGAAGGGAAGTAATAAAATAATAAAAATAAAACATAATAAAATTATTCTCACGACGTTTCGGCCACAACGGCTGCTTGCGTTGTGGCCGAAACGTCGTGAGAATCATTTTATTATGTTTTATTTTTATTATTTTATTACTCTCGTCACTCTCTCTCTCTCTCTTTACCCATCCAATATTTTGTTGAAATGGCAAGCCAGGAAAGATGATTAAAACCATATGTGTGTGACTCTAACTAACTTGACTGTTACTGTATAAAGCGCCTCGCTCTAAGTAGAGTAACTTTGTAATGCGGTCATATTTGGTAGCTAATTTGTGTGTGCTCAATCTGTGAGTGTGGGTGGGGAGAAAGTGTTGTGGTGAGTAGGGCGCCCCTGCAATATTCAACCACCGGGGTTCGATTCCTGGCCATTGACATCACTGGTAGAAGTATGTAAATTAAACTGGGCTGAGCTTCAACAACTTAAACTCGGCTTAAATTGATCACCCCTCTTGCGTTGTGCCAGCCTCAACAGACTCTCGCGAACCAGCACGTTTACTTGATCTATCCAAGCAACTAAAGGATTCCTACGTGTGTACGTATGTGTTCGCTAACAGCACTTGCCCCACAAGTCTGTTAAGGCTATATGGGGGATCTTTGTCTTTTTTGTATGTGTGAGACAGGGCCTTTCTAGGTGTGAAGGATATATTCCCATATATCCAGACCAAGAACAAGTATGGCAAGCCCAATAAGCGCAAGGGCTTTAACGAGGGCCTCTGGGAGATTGAGAATAACCCCAATGTCAAGTTTTCCACTCTCAAGGTTTGTAGCACGGTGTGAGTCATTTGTTGAAGGCAAAGGATGTGTGCCTATTTGTGTCTTTTTTTACTCAACTGTTTTATCGATAACCTTTATTTAATCAGGTTTCTTGTCAAATGTTTGTTTTTGTGAACACCATTCTTAACTCCCAACAAATGATGTTAGATAAAACACTTTTTTCGTATTTTTTATGCTTTCCACAAATTTGTTCAGTGCATTATTTCTTCTTGGGATTAAAGCCTTAGAACATTGATGTGCCAGGTTATTAGCATTACTTTGTATATCAGGCCAAACACTTTAATTTAAGCTGCTCATTGGTGCACCGTTATAGATGACAGTGTTATTACCAATGCAACCCTCTCCTCGACCCAGTGACGTAATTCCATCACGTGTTCCCTTGCATCTGCCAGCAGAGTTCAGCCCCGTCGGAGAGCGGTAGTGAGGCCAGCGAAGCGGAGGGCAGTGAGCCGTACGGGGGGCAGCCGTCCCCGCCGGTGAGAGACAGCAGCGAAGGAGAGAGGGCGCCATCGGACCTGGAGGAAGTGGACGATCCTGGCACTCAGGAAAAAGTCCCACCACCGCCTGCCAAGCGCAAAAAACCTGAAGTCGTCTTGGACGTGGTACGCGACACGTCTGACATCATCATTGGTCCTTGCTTATTATGGAATACTATGTACAATTGACCCAATATTTCAAGTAATGGCCTACCGTGTGAGTTGTATGTTTGAGTAGTACTGTTGTGCGTAATCACACATCTTTGTTATAAACCCGCATGAATGGTGAGTTTTGTGCTGTTCGCCGCTGCCAACGAAGTCACCTATTTATTTTTGCAAATTATTCTCCATTCGCGCCGTAAGTGCCATGTGGCAAGGCGAAAACATTGTCGTTTGGAATTTTCAAAGTAAGCAGTACACCTATTTTGTGACAATGAATGGCCCTACGAGATGTCATTGCTTCTTCATTTCATTCAATCTGGCTGTACACATGTGGTGTAGTGTGCTTCGAGTGATCTTCAATGCTAGTTGTTATATTACTAGAACATTTAAGTAAATAATGCTTCACAGTACACAAGTGAACATGTCGGAGCAAAGAGTCAGCACGGCTGTTAAATTACCCATCATTTGTGGCCAGGTCGCTTCTGACAAAGCTATATAGCTCAGTGGGACTTACCTGGTAAAATAAAAATAGTATAGTAGAAAATAAAGCTATGTGAAGTGTGGTCCAAAGGCCCTGGGTTTTGCCCGTTCATAATTTCACCGTGTCTGTGCGAGCGTCACTAAGCGAGCGTTCATTTGCACCTTCAGCCAGCCAAACGAGTGAGGCGCTCATCTAGCGAGGAGGCAGGAGCTGCGGAAAGCGGTGCGGAGATGGAGGAATTCCCCGTGGCTTCTCGGAGCCCCTCGGGCTCGGAGTACGAGGAGGAGAGCTCTCACGACTCGGACAAGGGCAGCGACGAGGTGGATATGCCCATTGCCCTCCTCGTGGTATCGCATTTTTATGTAAAGCTGCTTCAGCAATGCCACTTCTTCCAGCTGACCATATTCAAAGGAGCGTTCCAGCTGAGGTTTATAGCTTTCATGCATTCGCACTGTCCGTTTACCTGGAACAAGGGGGCATGATAACTTAAAGGTGATCTTCAAGGGACACATGGTGAATATAAACAAAACCTCAACATAATGTTGTGTTAAAACTGTCAAAATTGATCAAAAGGTGTTCCACGCCCTCCCCAGTAGAGCCGCTATCTGAGCCCACTGTTTCATCTTGGTCTACAGATGTCTTGCGCCTGGTGCGAGCTAGAATATTATTATAGTTAGTTATATGTTTCAGGACAACTGCATATTTTTTTAAAGCATTACAGGCGTGATACATTTGCAAGATTTTTCTTTCTTTTATTTTATAGATTTTGTTCATTGGATACAAATATATTTTGACATTACATATACACAAAAGTAATGTTTAATATTAACCTTGCCTTGCAGTCTACTTCCTTCATGATATGTATTACACCTAGTAGCCCTGAATGTTACGTGTGTCATGTACATGATTGACCCGTCAACCCCTCCTCAAAAAACAATGTACACGAGTTATATAGGTAAGCAAGGGGGGAGAGAGAGAGAGAGAGGAGGGGGGGGTGTGGAGCAGGGGAAAGGGGGCTGCGTGAGCGCTAGGGGGAGAAGAAGTGAGGCTGGGGGGAAGTAGGCAGGACTAGAAGTGGGAAGCGGAGTGTGGGACACGGGGGGAAATAACTCTGAAAAATCTACTAGTACCCGGAGGGTACGATGGAAACAACCACAACCAGTTAAGGCTTTACCTGGTTAATAGTGGTTATTTTCCCCCCGTGTCCCACACTCAGCTTCCCACTTCTAGCCCTGCCTACTTCCCCCCCAGCCTCACGTCTTCTCCCCCGAGCGCTCGCGCAGCCCCCTTCCCCTGCTCCACACCCCTTGCCCCTCCCCCCTTTCTTACCTATATAACCTCTTGCCACGGCAGATCTCTCGCCTATTTCAGTATTTTTTTCTTGCTGTGGTTGTTCCATCTGATGAAGATTGCTTGTGTTGCGATCAAAAGTCGTGATGTTTTATTTTACCTACGTGACTTTACCGAAAGAACCAAAGGAATATGTATTCCTTTATTCACGAAAGCTTCAAATCAAGATTAATGTACTGGAAGTGCGCGCCACTGCACTCCCAGTGTTCTACTCGAGGCAATTAACAAGTAGGCAATGTATTTCCTTTACAACCCCCGAGTCGGTTGTGGATATTCCTACTCGTTTTCAGGCGTTGCATTTTGGCGTAATGGTTTTGTGTTGTGTCCACCGCGCAGGACTTTTCCCCAGAGCGAGTGAAAGGGGCGACGCGGGGTGGCCGAGCGAGCAGCGGCCCAGCGCGTGGGGGAAGGAGGAAGGTACGGAACCGCACCCTTGCCTTCATCTCGCATCGTCGCGAGCTCTTGCTCGCCCGCCGTGTCGAGCGAGCTCGGTGTTGTTAAGCGTCCCCCTTTTTTCCGCAGAAGTCAAAGTCCGTGTCCGAATCTGAATCGGAGGAAGCAGACGATTCCAGCGCTCACGAAAAGGTTCCGTCGCCTGAGAAGTCTCCGAAACCTCGTCCAGCCAGCTCGGAGAGCGACTCGGCCGAAGAGCCGTCGCTCGAGGTTTTTACAAACCCCCCTGAGAAAGGTACCCAGCATTGCCGCGTCACTGATAAAGCACTGCACAGTGCCGCCGCAGTGTTACTGTGGCCAGCTTGTTGATGGTCTACCACAGGCACGGAATGCCGCCACGCTTGGGGTTGCGTGCAGTGGCACCATCGAGTTAACCGTCTTGTTTTTGTACAGTCGTCAAAGCGGAAGAAGCTCCATAGCTGCAACTGAACTCATTTACTATGCAGCCAGTAGAAAAAGGAGGCCATCACTTGTTGTATAGTAAGAATATGTATAAAAGAAATCCTTGAGGAATTGGAAAGCTTTTTCAGGAACATCATACATTGGGATGTTTTGACCCAATTCTTTGGTGGGTTATCTCCTCGATGAGATAATACTTAAACATGCACACACATGATGTGCTACCATCTGTTGGGTATCTAGTTTCACAAGTTGGGAGTCTTACAGCACGTGACCTTTAGGTGCCCCACCAAGGTTAATGTAAAATATCTGGATTACGCACACATGCGCCACCACGTCGACTCTATTTTACCACCTGCCTACCTTGCAACCCGAGGCACTCGGTTGGCATTCGCACTTAAAGTGGGCCAGTGTCATTGTGTGTTTTTTTGGGTGCTGAACACAAATACTCGCACTTTGTTATTGTCTTCCACAGTAGTTGAAAAGAAGGCTCCAGCAAAGCCTCGTCCCAGGAAGGTGGAGAAGCCGCCATCACCCGTCTCGTCTGACTCCAGCAGCGAGAGGTGAGAGCATCACCGTGTGATGGGACCTGTGACGCATTGTGGGAGCACTGCGAGCCGGGGAGAGTGAATATTTTGGTCAATCAAGTCACGCTTGCTCAGAGAAAACCGCATCTGTAATAGTTTTATGAGAAATTATCGGCATCATCATTATCATCGGACATTTGCATATCCGATTAGCATGGTCGGCTACGTACGATGCGAAAGAAGTTCAACATACGTAATTAATCCCACTGCGTATTGATGGTCTACCCAAGATGTTGCCACCTTTAATGTTTTTGCGATGTAATAATTCATCTAGCACCGCACATGAGGTGATTTCATTGCTCCATCTCGGTTCACTTACGATTGCCAGTGGGGAAACTATGGTTGGTGGTCAAGATTAACGTCGGGAGTGGCTGCCAACGTATGGAACACGCCCATGCTGAGGACCACTGCGGAGATGGAGCGATGAAATCGGCTCGTGTGCAGTAGCTAGATGGATTGTAGTATTGCAAACCGGGAGAGATGGTGATGGACTCGATGAGTTATTCATCCATAAGTGGCTCCATCGTGGCTGATGATGATGATGGTAACACATGCATAAGATGTGTTTGAGCATGCACTATGCCATGTTTGTATATCGAGTCTATATTTGTATTAATTTGCGGCTGCACCACCTACGTGTGCGTGCGCACGTTTGCGATCGGCACGTCCGCTCGCGTGCCAGCGACGACGGGGACCGCGTGAGCGAGTGGAAGCGGCGCGACGAGGCGCGGCGACGCGAGCTCGAGGAACGCCGGCGTCGCCAGGAGGAGGATGAGCTGCGCAGGATGCGCGAACGCGAGGAGGAGGACCGCCTCCACGAGGAGGAGGAGAAGAAGAAGGAGCGGGACGATGTCAAGAAGGACAAGAAGGGCAAAGAGGACAAGAAGGGCAAAGAGGACAAGAAGGGCAAAGAGGACAAGAAGGGCAAAGAGGACAAGAAGGAGAAGGAGCCCAGGAAGGGGAAGAAGGAGGAAGTGAAGAAGAAGCCAGTGGAGAAAAGTCGACCGAAGCCTTCCTCGTCCTCCTCCGACTCCGAGGTGGAGGTGGGTGCTGCGCTGTTACCGCTCGCAAGCAAAAGCGATCGTTATTTCACTCGAACAAGCAATGGGGATTCATCTTCTTGGTTCTTTCGGTAAAGTCACGTAGAAGGGAAATAATATAATAATAAAATAAAACATAACACGTGACTTTACCGAAATAACCAAGAAGATGAATCCCTGCAGTCACGAAAGCTTTAAATGGAAATTTAAGCAATGGGGAGTTGCAAATCGACCTATCCTCTTAATGGGTTCAACAAAATAAGTACTTTGGGGAATGTCAACTGTCCGTGACCTGTGGGGATAGACTGATGGCCAACGTGAGAATTTAGAATATCCATCACTGCCTCAAGGTCCACCTTTCGGGAAACAAATGTTGATATAACTTTGACAATTGTCCATTGTAATGTGTACACATTGCCCATTGCAATCATATTGTGCTGTGTTGAATGGGTTCTCGGTGTTAATGGAGCATTCTTTGCTTCACCTCAGGCAACCCTTGTTTTCACAAGTCACATTGGTCTATAAGAGGCTAATATGCTGGTGAACCTACATGCTTTTATTTGTTATGTTTCAGTGGTAGGACATATTCTTGCGTGGTTTTATGTACTTGGTAATTACAGTGTGTTGCCCCACTCGCATTGTTGCATGTGCCCACACTGACTCGTAGGCTCCCGAGCAATTTCTCTCGAATGCGTCTGCGGTGGTGGCAGTGAGCCAGTGGGTGGTGAGACCACAACCCGCATCTTGTCATTTCATCAATCAGCCCTTGTCAAGATGACAATATCACGTACAAATTGAGTATCAGAGTATCACGTTTAATTTTCTGAGTCAATAAAATATCAACTACTAATCAAGTAAATCCAGCCATTGACCCATTTTATACCATTACGGTGCTTGTGTGGTTTTATTCTCCTATTCTACCCCGTAGTCTTTAACTCCCTAACCCATAAATATTTCCCGTTTAATCCTTGCTCCTATTCAACCCCAGGCTCCCAATACCTTTTTTCCCTCTATCAATGACTGATTGCCTCTAAAAAATCCACTCGTTCTGTACAGCGTCTTGAAATGCAGATACTATATAAATAGTTTATTTGCCCGTCGGTAATTCCATCACCATTAACTCTATTTTCAGATTAGACGGTGCTCCTGCTACAAATAACCGCAGAAAGCAACGTAAATTGCCACTTTAATGACATCAGTTTTGAATACTTGAGAAACTTTTATTTGTGGATCTCGGTGGCTGGGGGTGGTGGGAGGTGGTATGGGCTATGAAGTGTTTGCCATTTCTCAGCGCCGTTCGGCTTGTGTCGCCGCTGCAGGTGAAGAAAGAGAAGAAAGAGAGCGCTCCTCGTAGGGCGCCGCCCAAAAGGCAGCCCGACCGCAAGCCGGCCAAGGAGAAGAAGTGAGCGGCCGTTGCCCGCTTACATTACACACAGTCGGCCAACAGCAGTAGATGTCGGTGTTCGTTTGCCCCATATACACCCGAGTAAAAACACGAGACTGTCAGTTGATTGAATGGTAGGAAACAAAGCTGTCATGCTATCTCTCACAAGCCCAGCCCATACCCTTTGCACTTGAAAGTCAAGTTCTTGCTCTAGTTTACAATACAAGCGTCCTCTGTATGATTATACTCTAACAAGCACAACGGTAACCCTAGCAAGTGCAGCTCTGTCCGTAACAAGCTTAGCCCTAAATCTGACTAAAAACACACACTGACATCTTAATTACCTTAACAAGAACAACTTTAACCACAACAAGGTCATCAGAATTAGCCGCATTCTTACAATGATAGCATTTTCCCGAACATACCAAGCCTAGGTTAATAATCCATAACTAAAACATGTGTTCTAACCCTAGCAAATACACAGCGTTCAAAGACCAGTTTTTACATAATTTCAACTCTTACACTCCCCCTTCACAAGTCTAGTCACTAACCAAGGCAATCGAATAATTGGGGAACAGCTGCATTTCTAGATATCGTGGCTCCGTATGTCCCCATTGCCAAGTGTTTTGAGAACCTGATCTGCAATGATGCGGAAACGCCCTGGCTGTCATAATGACGGCGCAAACTAAGGCTGCATCCTCCCGTCATGAGCTTCTCGCGCCTCCTCACTTCCTGCAGGCAGCTGAAGGAAGAGGAGAAGGAGCGCAAAAAGCAGGAGAAGCTGCAGCTAAAGAAGGTGGAGAAGAAACGAGGTTGGTGTTTGATTTTCACTCCCATCTTAGTTGCCTTGGCAGGTCATTTTGACCAGAGTGGTTACCCTGTGAGTTATTTGTTGATTGAATCAGGTTAAATCAGTCACATGGATTATTATGAGACAACATGATCCTTGATGCGTCGTGCCACACCATCGGCGATGTATTAAGTTGTACAAATGTAGAGTTGGAATGCTTAATGGTCGTGTATAGAGTAAAGTTCGCTGTGTCTCTGGACCCCTTCTTAAAAGAGTTCTGCAGTGACTTATTCAATAAATTACCTATATTTCCGAAAACAATGGACAACTACTTCAAAAAATAACACCCCATGTGATTAATTAAATTGATTTATATTTTTTTACTTGGAAGTCGCCTAATTTGTGGAACAACATAGGACTACATTAATGTTTATTGTTGGAGCTGCCCTTCAATACTTTTGCTCACTCCGCAGCACACTTAACCCCAAGCTCTCCTCCCCATGCTTCCAACAGAAATATCCATGGAGCAGCGGCTCAACAAGCTGCACGTGGAGATGAAGCTTTCGCTGAGCTACGCCAACCCCGTACGCAACACGTCACAGCGTCACAGCCGAGACTAACGTAGCCCTGGTGAACGATACTAGGCGCTGCTGGACTTGATTGCCTTCCACCAGACTTGGATACGCACCGAGGGATGGAATGATTCACCAACCCACCCCCTGTAGATTCGACAAATTGTTGCGATCCATGGTCGAAATTCAATTAAATGAAAAAAAATGTAAATAACATAGAGGTCATAAAAAATATGGCTTGCAAGGGTGACGTTATGTGAACCCATTGCATGCAGTATTAATGAATCTAAAATTATAATTTTTTACAAGTGCCAACTTAAGCTGTGACTAGATACTTGACGGTCTACCAATGGACACTTTTATAAATACCAATTCATGACTTTGCAGTGCACCACTAGGAACTTGGCTGTACACCAGCGGAGACTCTCTGCTATGCTCCGCTAGAGAATTGGCAATGTATCAACGGTGTGTACTGCAGAGGTCGTGAAAAAACCCACCATGCCGTACGTACTGGAGTCTGATAAATATGCATCTGGAAACTTTTCACTCGGGAGGGGTAATGCTTTACTGTCGCGCGTATTTCACCATGGCAGCTTGGGAAATCTCATTGAAATTTAACCATGCTGCTTATAAGTATCCTGAGCTTGTAGTAGAACAAAGTGTAGTGCACACTCCATGGGGTTGAGTAGTGGCACGATGGTTAGCTCACTGCGTTATATACCTCACGACCATTGGTAACGTCAGTGGCGAGTAAGATCTGAACCAGCCGTGGGCTCATCGCCACCAACTCGTACTGACCATCGCAATGGAGTAGTCAACCCCCATGACCGGCATGGCGTGGGGAGGCCTTAATCAAGTGGTGGATTGACAAAGGATTGCATTTTATTATTGTTGTACGCCACGTGCACTTTAAAAAAAGAACTAGCCTATTCTTTCAAGCAGTTGGGAAAGATGTATGTGATGTATTGCATTGGATACACTGGAAGTGGCTAATACGTCAAATCTTTTTTTCTGCAGGACATTGCCAAATGTTTACAATGCATGGATGAGCTGGGTTCCCTAAAGCTGACGGCCCAGTTGCTGCACAAACACCAGGACCTCGTCGCCACCCTGAAAAAAGTACGTGTCGTTTGCTAGTCCATATGAAAAACACCTCACCCACCCTCTTTTACTACGACTGGCTTTTAAGAAACCATGATGTAATGACGTGGCCAGGTGGCTATTGTTGGTTTCAGCCCGGTCACAAATGCAGAAATAATAACATGTTACGTAAAATTTGGTTTTATACTTCATTTGGCTAAATTCCAGCGCTAGGGATTAAAAATATCAGAATTAGAATATGTATTTATACTGGAGGAATCCAATGAGTTATAAAGCTCTTTTTCACAGTTTGTCACGTGGAAAATATTACTCCCAGTGACAGGGCAGGTTTGTGGATCAGAGGTCCCTTCAAGAGATTCAGAGGTTGTTCTGTGGTATCTGCTTTTGTGGGCTGTTTTCTAACACAAAGGGTTCCATTGGTCTGTGAAGGTTGCAAATGGATACCTAGTCTCGTGACGTGACACCGACAGCATGATCAGCAAAAATTTGTGCGAGGGACTTGACGAAATAGGCTTGATTCCCGACCACGGATAACATCGGTGACAAGTAATATCTGAACTGGTCCTGGGCACTGCCTTCATCAACCCATGTTGATCAGCATGGTGAAATAGAGTCAAACAGCCCCCATAACTGACATGGCGTGGGGAGGCCTTCAACCAACAGTGGATTGAAAAGGGTTGCAATTTATAATGTTTGCACACTACACATACATTTTAAAAGCATAGAAGACTAAGCTCGACCAAACTTGGATTATGCGTGACGGTGAAAAACCTGCATGCTAAAGGGTGTTTCTCGCAGTTCTATTCGTATCTTGCGTAACAGTCTTGACAGGTCATCATTAACAAGTATAACCTGTAAAAACAAAGTTTTTCACTATAAATCCTTTATATACGTGGCGGCTAGAGTCCTCTCGTCCTCTGGCTTGAGATGGCTGCCACCTATGGGTCAGATGATTGCATTGCACCATGAAGCAATTGGTAATTAAATATAATATTTTTGTCCTAAAAAGTGTAAAATTTTGGAAAAAAAATTTCACGAACATTAATTGTCACGCACAACGAGGCTGTGTGCAAAATGTCAGCTCGATTGGATCACGGGAAGTGGGTTAAAAAACGACCAAAAGATTTGCACGGTCGTAAGCAAGCAAGCAAGCGAACTTAATATAAAGGATTTAAAAATAAAGGATCGTTTCTAGGGAGATTGGATTTTCGTGCAGTGGCCACGTCTCACACCGTGATGGTCGCTCGCCCCTCCTCCCCCCCCCCCACCGGTACAGGCGCGGCGATATAAAGCGAACGAGGACGTCATGAAGAAGGCGACTTTCGTCTACAACAACCTGAAGAACGCGTTCGTGGGCCCCGGCGGTGGCGAGAGACCGCCGGGCCGACCCAGCGGGGATCGGCTCAGCACCGACACCGCTCCGACGGCGGCCGAGGACGGAGCGGAAACGCCGCAGAAGAAAAACGACGCCGGTCAGAAACTTAAGCCGGGCATGTGGCACCTTCACCACCACCACACCCTGCCACGCCTCACCCCTCGTCCTGCGTTCAGCAATCCTGCGTGTCACTTTTAATAGGGATGCAGGCTTACGATGATTCACCTGCTCGTGTTATTTGATCGGATTTGGGATGAGCACTTGATTATAGAATATTGTTTTTTTCGTGCGTGTGCTCTCTTGAAATGTATTCATTTTCTGTCTCTTTTGTACTGTCTCATGCGTACTTTTTTTGCGCTGTCTTGGCTTCTGCTATAGTGCCCATATGTTAAGCCCCATACCCTAAACACTGCCACACCTATTTCTGATTGAGTACAAACATAGGCTGGAATCGCGTGACTTCTCTTGTTAAGTTTCTCCTCTCTCACGGCCGGAGTGAGCGAAGTTGAGCGATGGACATTCAGCAGGCAGGCTTCCAGCACCGTTCTTTGGTTATATTTTGTTAGTCGCTCAACTTGGCGAGTTCCAGCGGAGAGAGGAAAGGTTCATAATAACGCCTCATTGATTTTGCATTTGATGTTGTTTCCGTCTTGAGGTGGAGAAGACCTGAGTGTGAACGGGGCAATACAGAAGCAAGACATGGATGCGAGGGAGGAACAGACCCAAGATGCGATGAAGTCGGAGCAGCCCAAGGAGAGGTGAGTGCGTTTAAAAGCCACTGCCAGGTTGGCACTCGAAAGACTCGCGCAGGAGATCAGCATCATTAACTCGCACCTTCATCGAATAAAACAATCCTGATCACAACTTGCACACGGGCAATTCATCGAACACATCTCCGTTGTAACGTGCGTACGTACGTTACATGCGTGTTCATTGCGGCAGACCACTGTTTGCCAGTGTCGCAGAAAGTATTGGATGGTTGGACATGATTGCTCAAGTTCCACTTATTCTATGCTTGTTGGGGCCAGATGCACCTCGTTGCAAAACTTGTCACTTAGGTTTTGATGAAGGATAAGGATAGCATTTCATTTAAATACTACTGGTCTTTTGAAGTAGTGAGTTTGCCCACATAGTTTATGCATGCAAGCCACTGTTTGATTTAACCCTTTGTTGAGTTTACAAAGCATGGGAGAAGTCCGTGGCCTTGCCCTTGAGTCTGTTATCTACAGTAAATGTAAGACAATACGGGAGCAATTTTTTAAATTTTAGTTTTAAGATTGTTGGCATTTTCAATGAGATTAAAAATATTTATTTGAAAGTGGAATTTTAGGTTTGACAGTAACATTCTTGGAATGGCTGAAATGAACCAAAACATCTTAAGTATTGTTAACTGACATTACACATAACTGTATACTTATGTCATACTTTATATTTATACATTTTCTTTAAATATAAATTTTAATAAATTGCCAGACACAAGTGCTATATTTTAGGTCTACTGCATGTGTACCCGTTAAGTATTCCATATTCCACTACGTTATCGGCATATCTTACAGAATCTGTGGTATAGTTCCAGCCACACTGCACTGCAATCCCAGCAACTCTGGACGTGTTCATTTGTTACAATTGGACTAAATTTAGCCTGGGCACCTTTAAGGTCAACTCGGTCTAAAACAACCGTTTAAAATGATTCGGTCATGGACGTGAGCACTGTGAAGAAAAGGGTGGTCAAGCGTGCCGTAGGATTTACCACCTCCTTGTTGCCATGCTGGCTTTACTATGTGCTTTCAAACAGAACTTTCATATCTCTGTGTGCCTCGGTGTCAGGGGTGGCTTACTTGTGCCCCACAGCAAGAAGGGCCTGGTTTCGACTTGTTTTAGTTGATATTCTCCCCTCTTCTTGCATGGGTTTTCTCTGGATAGTCTGGTGTTCTCACTCAACAAAAGTAAATCAATTACAATGCAACTACTACTGGCCAAACATCCAATAACTGAAATATTACCTGCATACTACTCAATTGGGATGACACCACAGCAACATCCCCCCCTACTGCAAATTATTCACAGGACCCTCGTGAAAAAGTATTGAGATTCGGTGAGGCCATCCTGGCTAAACACGCATAATAATAATGATGTGTGCGTGTTTGTGTCTTTCATATGGCAGCGCCCATCCAACACCAGCAGGCCCTGTCGAGAAGTCACCTCCCGTTGGCCCAGATGTCGCCACATCGACGGAACCTGCGAACGGGAGCTGAGAAAACCGTGTCGTCTGCATTGCAACATTTGGCTTCGTCGCAGTTCCCTTGACATCACGCAAATCGCACGCAGTCATGCGCACAACACTCGCGCGGTATACGCGCACGTGACGCACACACCTGCTCGCCGCTCTCCAGCCTCAACCTTAATGCTAGGTGTGCGCTGCGCGATAATGACAAGCACTGTGGCAGGCAATGTTGCTACCATGGTCCTGTGCAGGGTGGGGGGTGGGTGGGCACCATTGTACAGCCACATGGTCTTTGGAAAAAAAAGTGTAGATTTTCCATTGAGAACACAATTATGCAGATTGTGGGTTTATTGTACTCGCCTCTTATCATTGTGGGGAACTTGTTGTCCATTGTCCTTCTGCAGGCATTGTCAAAAAGCCAGCTTCTCCCACGTGTGCAGCAGTGGTTACTAATTCCCAAGGAGCTGCTCTCCACTAATGGCAACTGTGGTCCCACATGTACAGGAGGGCAGGTTTAGCGCATTTGTTGGCAGTCAAGAGTCAAGTTGCTACTGTAGTTTGTAGTCCGTCTTTAATTCTACCCATTACCGTTATTTCGTCGGTACTTATATGAAGTGCGCCTTAAGAAGTGTGGACGTGGGTATTTAGAAGCCACTGCTGTGACTAGACAATAGAGAGACAGAGCGGGCCGAGAATATAGAAGGAGGCTTCTTCAATGTGCTTCATTAGCCCAGCTGTGACGTGTGGTGGGTTTTTTGCAACCTGTGTTAAAGTGGAATGTCGCTGAGCTGATTACTGTGCAGTCTCCACCTCTCCTTGCATTGGGAGAGCCCCCCTACATCTTTAGTGGCTTCCCAACTCGTGAAAAAGTTCCATCAAAGCACAAGTGTGTGATCAAATAGCGCTAAAAGTTGGGCTGTAAACTGTGGATTGTTCACACCTCTGCGAACCAACAGGTGCCATTTATGACCCTTTTTTAATACCTTATGTATTTGATAACTCTTTGGACAAGTAAAATTTAGTCTTTAACGGTTTTAAAAGCGTACACATTTAAAATTGTGAGTGGGGTGTGTCGCAATGCCGGGGGCAAAGTGAGGCTGTGGCGGCTGGCCATTGAGTTGTGCCGTTTAACATCGGTACAGGCTTCTATGGAAGTGGCTGATGCAGAAAATAATCTTCGTAAAGCATCCGCCAATGCTGGAATTAAAGCCAGTTAGTCTGGTAGAGACAGACTGACAGGGCGACCTGTGTGATATCTCCTGGAATTCATCGGAATCCCAGGCTTGTCGAAGTGAATTGTTGCAGCAGCTTAGCCAGTGAGTCCAGGATTTCCCGCTCGCTACCGTGTGTATCCTTGCCAAGGCCACCAGCTTCTCTAGTTTAGAATTGCAGTTATTGTAGGCACCTCGGACTGGCATTTCAGGTCTCCCTTATGTTAAGTTTTGTATGAATGTACCAGTGTGTAGCGTATTTCCGATCTCCCAACGTGTCCCTCCGCTTTGCAACGCCGTGTGCACACGTTATTGTTACTGATAAGAGAGTAGCCTCGATATGGTTATGGGCTGCAGACGCTCTCCGTTTCACACAACACGCACACGATTAGCAGGGGTTTTTTTTTAAAGACATTTGAAATGAATTGGAAAAAAATATATCTGTGCTGTGCAGACTGTGTTATGCCATGCGTGGATTATACTTCCAAATGGGTTAATTTTATGGTCTAATTGGATTGGCCATTGATAATGTAACTCTTGGCTGTTTAGATGCGTTGGTTTGTTATTTTTAATAATTATTTTATATGTTGAGCAGTCTTAGTTCTGCAGCGAAAATAAGTAGGAACCTCTAAATACCTTAAAATGACCTGTGGTACGGTGTTATAGTGAGGCCAGGGAATTCAGATTTAAGAACGTTATTGATGCGCTGTTCATTAAGCGTTACTGCCTGCAGTTAAACGTGCTGACAGCTAAGAGATGCCTCCTTTCAATATAACAAGCTGACCAAAGAGAAGGGTAAGATAGAACCAGTTTGGTTGGCTGGAATCTGTATCTTTAGGAAGTTTTAGTCGTTAACCCATTGAGTTTTTTTTAGATTTTCCATATAAATTGGTGTAAATGAGTGTGCCACATAACACATGGCCCAAATTATCAAAGATCAAAAGCAATAAAACGGACATTTCTCACCATAATCTGTTAAAATCCAAACGTGTTCATATTTTCTTGCCGCTGCTGGTGTGTGCAGTCAAGCGCACAGCACAAGCGGTGTTGACAGGGCACGTTTCCACTTTTATATTATGACCTGTTCAATATCATCACGCCGTTACTTCCCTGGTTATAAGCAGCACCATCGGTCCTCAATATAATAACAATGTCTGCAAATCGTGTTGATCTTTGACAATGTTCTACCATGTTTTATATCACTGGTGGCTCACTGAGCATCCCGTTTCTCCAAGGGTGCCGACTGACCCTCCCAAAAGTGTGCCCGTTCACGTTGTCTTGTTAGAGTGTTTAATGCATTTGGAGAAGGCATCCTTTCCTAAAACAGTTTTTTAGGAAGCCCCGTTTGTTCAAATAACACCTGCCATCAACAGGTTTTACCCTGAGACCAGTGTCTTTTTCATTGCAAGGCCCCGAATGCACCCCATCGTGCTGTCAAAACTCAATGGTTTCAAATGTGCGGCGGTCGTCGCACTGATGTCTTATCGGTGAAAGTGCCACACCCCCCACGAAAATGAGTGTCCCTCCTCAAGCCCTGCGGGTTGTGTACGGGTTATTTCATCATCTTCACACCGTTCAGTGCGGGTAAGTGAAGGCAGGGCGCATAGACGTTGGGAGCATTGCACAGGACAATGTATTTTGCTCCACCGTACCCAGTTGGCAACGCAGCCCTGTGAGTAAAGCAGCAGTGGTGGCAGGCAATTTGTCAACTGTATTTCTCTGGCCATGTGAACATCTTCCAGCAGAAACCGAGGTGTATGAAGATACTTCAAAATAGGTTTAAGTGTAAGTGACGCTATGTAAATATGTGCCAGACTTAAACATTTCCTACTCTTCACAAGTTGTGTTTGTGTGCCTGTGTTTTGACTATACAATTCATTAAAACATTGTTGGACTTTTTTTTCTACCCACATGTTGAAAATCAAAATAATTAAACAATGAATGGAGGCGTACCATTATTGAACACTTCAAAAAGAAGCGGTGTGATAGTTGATCCGGGCTGAGGTAAAAGGTTGATTACCACAACATGTTACAGCCCTGTTGTCAATCCACTCTTGGATGATGGTCTCCCGATGCTATGCGGCTAATGGGAGTTATTTGACCACACTTTACCATGTTAGTGCCCGTTGATGGTGGGGTGCATAGTTGTGGGCCATTAGAAGTGCAGTACACACAATGGAGTTATTGCATTGCCCTCTGCTTTCCACGTTTCCCTGCAGCCTCGTATGCATAGGTTGCTCATCCAAGCTATTCGGGCACTATCAAGGCTCAACCTCACCTGATCAGTCGCTCTTCCGCGTAAAATGCGCACGCTATAATATATTATTCCAGGTGATTTGGTTTTAAAGTATGGGCAGGTATTTTCCACTTTTCATTTCATATGGAATGGTGTTCGCCACCAGTGAAACTTCACTTATAAGTCATTGTACCCCTTTTGTGCCACCTCAGTCCTGATTTGCTGCCAGTTCACTGAAGTTGAGAAAGGTCAACCTCTGCAAAAGGTCATTAATTTTCGACCCCCACCCGACATCACAAAGTGGCTATTTCATCAAGGTGCTTGTATACAGTAACCTACTGAGATTCAATATTATGACGGGTCAAGTGCATTACGACACATGTCATGCATGTCATCAGAAAAGGCAAGTTGTGATTCCATTTTAGAACAAAATATTTAATGTTAAAGAGCAAAACAGACAAGTTTCCTTCTGCAAGATGCCAACCGAGGAGGGGTTCCAGCATGGTCACCGAGAAGCTGGTATGGAATGCTGTCAACGTAGATTTCACGAATACAATATGTACATCGGTAGACATTTTTACCGCTGGCATTTTTCACAGTAACACTCCAGAACTGAGTGAAGAGGCAAGTGCTGTTGATGGACGTCCACAACAGGCCGGCATGGGGGCTATGGGTGGTGTGGCCAACGGAAACCCCAATCTGTCATCCGTCTCTCCATCGCAATTATTCACACACTAGCTATATAAGCCGCCAGAGGAAAATAGAAAATCGCCAATGATCACTCGTCAGCGGTGTGCACGGCCACGAGTCGCTCGTAGCAGGTTAGGCACAGGCCCCTTCAGTTGAATATGCCGGGGTCTACGTAAGGGAACGCCTCGAAGTCGCACACCTTGCCCCCGCTCTCGTCGTAGTGCAGCATGCGGAAGCAGACGTCGCAGAAGAAGCAGGGGTCTTCGGGAGCCAGCTCGTCGTTGTTGGTCACCCACCTGGGGGGCAGAGGGGGCGGGGGAGTGCAGCCGTTGAATGGAAAACGTTAAAAACGTTAAGCAAGAGTAGCATTGAATTAACTTTCGTAATGAATTACCCTCCGAACAACTTCTGAATAAATATGTAGGCGATACATTTCAAGGTGCAGAAACGCTTGATGGGAGAGGCCAACGACGTATGTTGCTGGGATGCGCCTCTCACTTGGCCGTGTAAATTTTGCAGACGAGACATTTCCTCGACATGAAGCAGTGCTTGCTGACGAGCAGGGGGTACAGGGACCGGTCTTGGCAGTCATCCGGGTTCACCATCCTGGTCGGTGTTCATAAAATCAGACCACCAGAGTAAGCCGCTGTGCGTTGCCCCACCAATACAAAAAGGGGCTTCTCTTTGCTTTGGTCCACGCAATGTTTACAAATAATCGTGATCCAGGCACGTACACTGGTGGACAATTTAAAAAAAAAGTTGCCTCTTCATCTCCAGGACAATGTCACATCCGACTTGCTGGAGACGGATATATGAACAACTATAAAAGGTGACCGGTAAGGCATGTACAAATACTACGCTGGGTGTTGGTGGTGAATTGGTCAGAGCGGATACGTGAAGATGGGATATGCGAGATTGTATTGTGGTGACGAATATGACCCGAATATAATACGTAGTTTTTAAGTTAGTAAATGTTTATCTTCCTATGAAGATTGACGCCCTGCCAAGGTAATATGGATTTTCAACCCCTGGTTCAGGGCTGCCTATAGAGAGAGGTGACACTGAGTGCTTGATTGAGCAAGGACACTGGCTACGAATTACTGTGTTTCAATATGGCTCCTTGGTTACATCCAAAAGCTAGAAGCCCAACGTCGCGCGTCTTTACCTTATGTCCTTGACGATGACGATGTGCTCGCAGTCTCCCTGATGGCAGTACAGGTAGGGGAATCCCACCTTGAGAACTAGGTCATTAAAGGTGTGGTCTTCCATGGAGCGTGCCTCGAATGGCCCAAGACCCCGGTCCAGGCAACTCGCCCACTCTACGATCGTCCTGCGAGACGACACCCGGGGAGTACGCGTAGCTCAACACCATCATCATTACTTTTTCTTTTGGTGCGTTTCATTTGTCCTTCCACCGCACCTCCAATTAGCACGGTTAGCTACGTACGGTGCGAAAGGTCAGCATACATGCTTAATATATGAGCATAAACCATCACGTGAACTCCGGTCATCCTCGCAATGGCTTTTGGCTGGCCATCAAATAAAGACGGTCAATGCATCGCGCGCTTTCAGATGCGCTTCTGCGGCCGTCTGGAACGGTCTCCCTTCCTGATATGAGCCACTGGAGCTATGCACTTTTAAATCTAGTTTGAAAGCTCATTTCTTTAGAACAGTTTTTTTGTGTTTAGTTTGTTGTCCTTCCCCCCCCACCTCCAATTAACACGGTCGGCTACGTACGGTGCTAAAGGTCAACATACGTGATTTTCATACCGTGCCTCCCACGCAAAAATAGATTAACCTAATTTATTATGCAGGCTTGTGCATTCATTGGTGACCAGGCTCAGACGATGAAATCGCTCTCCCTGAAATCCCAGTTTAACTACAGGTGGCTGTAACCTTGATTCAAACCTAGTATGTGTGTGGTGCTGCTTCAACGCCACCTGCTCACTTCACACGGTTCAGGATTTTTTTTAAGAAGAAGAAAAAAAACCAGGCAGCGGCAACAATAAAACCAACACAATGCCACAGAAATCCCAGAACGTGTCACCACCTGCTCAGGTCCTGGCACTCGGGGAAGCGCATGTCATTGTAGAAGATGCCCTCAAAGTAGAAGAAGGCCGACTTGTAGAGGTCCTTGCTCGTGTGCTCGGGCGCCAGGTCGGGGGTGTTGCTGTACTCGCCCAGCATCTGCAGGTCGCTCACGCACGGCAGCGCGTCCCGGAGCTCCGTCAGCTTCTGGCTGCCCAGTACATGGAGCACCTGGTGCGGTTTGCTGCACTTGTGCTGCAGAGGTAAAGCAAAACAAATGACGTGAAATTCACTGGTACAAACCACCCCATCGAGCCACGTCGGCGCGGGGGGCCCCGCACGGTCCATGTGCTTATCCCCCTGGCAATTTGCCGAGCCAGGACCAAACCGAGAAGGTCTGGCCTCACACAGACATCTGGAGAAGGCTTGGGACCAAGCAAGGCCAGAGTCGGGGTTGATCATGCGAGCTGTTCGTTGCGTCAATCGCCACGTTAAACTTTTGACATCGGCAGCAGTGGAAAAAAAAACAATCCACGGCACAAGGTATATTAGATGTGGTGTGCCGGGCGTGGAAATATTTCACGGATCACCGACCCAGACAGGAACTGCTGAAATTAAGGCATGTGCGAGTGTGCTGGTGAGAGCTGGCCGGGGAGTGTGTGCCGGCGGGAGTGTGCCGAGGAGTATACCAGCGTGAGTGTGCCGGTGTGAGCGTGGTGGAGAATACGTGCCCTCAAGCGCGTGCTGGCGAGATTGTGCCGGTGTGAGCATGCCGGCGAGTGCGCGCCAGAGAGGGTGCGCCGGAGAGGGCGTGAGTGTGCGCACCCGCTGAAGGATGATGGGGTAGTAGACGTTGACGACGAGCAGGACCTCTCCGGGTGGGATGGCGTCCTCCAGCTCCTCAGACTGCTTGGCGTGGTACTGCAGCTCCTGCACGCAGCACGGAACAAGGCAGCAGTGGCAGCAGCGGCAACAAAAACAAAGATCCCCCTTGTAGCCTTAAGAGACGTTTGGGACAATTGCTATTAGCGAGCGCCTGTGAAAGCAGGCAGGGTACACGAGGGGGTGGGTGGCCAGCACCACGCACAAACACCTTAGTCTCCCCAGTGGCGATGTTTACACACCGCACCAGGTACTCATTGCAGGCCGAGTCGATCTCGGAGAAGTCCAGAACCGGTTCAGATAATCTTCACCGGCGGTGGCCGTGAACGGGAATCGAACTCGGCTGGCCAGGCTCGAAGCGCAGCGTAGCGCTGACCGCCCTGGGTTTGGCCCTAGTGGCTGTGTGCGCCATCTCGCTCGGGAGCCCGTGGGCTTGCCTCTGGCGGCTGGTCGTACCATCTCGCGCAGCATGGTCTGTATGCGCTTGTTCGATGCCGCTCCCGTAGGGGGCAGGCGTTGTTTCTTTTCCAGGTACTGCTGCCTCAGCCTGCACGCACAGCACACATAGCACGCGTAGCCTCATCATACTGTTGAGTCAAATCGCTGTTCGCGAAGACGCATGAAAGGTTGCCACAGCACAGGAGAGGAAGGGGGTAATGGTGGCTAACACCACACACAGCACCAGGCACTGTTAATGCTCAAGTTCACCGGGTTCGTAGTGAAGTCCGCTAACCACTACATGACCGCTCCACATAGCAGTGACCGCAAACAAGCACAACGCATACAGCACGCACTCCAACACGTGTACAGCACACATAGCACACTCCACACGATGTACACCGACACGAGACCTGTCAATCCACTACTGGATGAAGGTATCCCTCCCACGGCACATCAGCCGTAGGTTATTTGACCAAAACTTCACGATGCTGCTCAGTGTTGATTGGTGAAGATCGGGAGCGTAAACCTTGGGAGCATATGACAGTACAGTACAACATGGGGGAGGGGATGGTGGGGGGGGGGAAGGTGGGGGGGGGGAAGGTGGGGGGAGGGAGATGGTGGGGGGGGGATGGTGGGGGGGGGATGGTGGGGGAGGATGGTGGTGGGGGGGGATGGTGGGGGGGGGGATGGTGGGGGGGGGATGGTGAAGGGGGATGGTGGGGGGGGAGGATGGTGGGGGGGGGGATGGTGGGGGGGATGGTGGGGGGGGGTGGTGAGGGTTGGGGATGGTGGGAGGGGGGATGGGGGGGGATGGTGGGGGGGGGATGGTGGGGGGGATGGTGAGGGTTGGGGATGGTGGGAGGGGGGTTGGGGGGGGGATGGGAGGGGGGTTGGGGGGGGGATGGGGGGGGGATGGTGGGGGGGGGATGGTGGGGGGGATGGTGAGGGTTGGGGATGGTGGGGGGGAGGATGGTGGGGGGGGGGTGGTGGGGGGGGAGGATGGTGGGGGGGGGGATGGTGAGGGTTGGGGATGGTGGGAGGGGGATGGTGGGAGGGGGGGGGATGGTGGGGGGGAGGATGGTGGGGGGGGGATGGTGAGGGGGGGGATGGTGAGGGGGGGGGATGGTGAGGGGGGGGGATGGTGAGGGGGGGGGGTGGTGAGGGGGGGGGGGTGGTGGTGGGGGGGGATGGTGGTGGGGGGGATGGTGAGGGGGGGGGGGATGGTGGTGGGGGGGGCCGACTCGCCTGAGCGTGAGGAGGTCCACGTGCGGCGGAATGCTGCTTGGATCGCAGTTCAGTGCCTCAGCGGGACACCGCAGCGTCTCCACTCTACGCGCGCGCAGCACAACACAGACACCGCGACAGACGACGACGGGCCCCCCCGTTTGTTGTTGTCAATGTCAGGTTGACATCACACGCGTGGCTATCTTAAAGACAAACGCAACACGCGCGCGCACGACGTTATGTTTGCACGTGGAAAGCTGCTGCTGCAAGCTGCTGCTGCTGCTGCAAGCTGCTGCAAGCTGCTGCTAGCTGCAAGCTGCTGCTGCTGCAAGCTGCTGCTGCTGCAAGCTGCTGCTGCTGCAAGCTGCTGCTGCTGCTGTTGCAAGCTGCTGCTGCTGCAAGCTGCTGCTGCTGCTGCAAGCTGCTGCTGCTGCAAGCTGCTGCTGCTGCTGTTGCAAGCTGCTGCTGCTGCAAGCTGCTGCTGCTGCAAGCTGCTGCTGCTGCTGCAAGCTGCTGCTGCTGCAAGCTGCTGCTGCTGCTGCAAGCTGCTGCTGCTGCAAGCTGCTGCTGCTGCTGCAAGCTGCTGCTGCTGCAAGCTGCTGCTGCTGCTGTTGCAAGCTGCTGCTGCAAGCTGCTGCTGCTGCAAGCTGCTGCTGCTGCTGCAAGCTGCTGCTGCTGCAAGGCTGCAAGCTGCTGCTGTTGCAAGCTGCTGCTGCTGCTGCAAGCTCTGCTGCTGCTGCAAGCTGCTGCTGCTGCAAGCTGCTGCTGCTGCTGCAAGCTGCTGCTGCTGCTGCTGCAAGCTGCTGCTGCTGCTGCAAGCTGCTGCTGCTGCTGCAAGCTGCTGCTGCTGCAAGCTGCTGCTGCTGTTGCAAGCTGCTGCTGCAAGCTGCCGCTGCCGCTGCTGCTTCAAGCTGCTGCTGTTGTAAGCTGCTGCTGCAAGCTGCCGCGTCTCCGCACCCGCACACGAGGCTCAGCTCCTGCTCCAGCGCCTCGGGCCCGCCGCGTCTCCTCGCCTCGGCGGCAGCGAGACGGCTCCGCCACCGCTCCGCCAGACCGCGCACCCACACGGCCGACGAGTGCGAGCCGGCGACCTCCAGCCGGAGTTCATCCCCGCACGCCTGCCCGCCCTGGCCCCGGCCATGGCCCCGTGCTTCCACGGCACCGGGGGACGACGCAGAGAGAGGAGCCGCAGGAGGCAGAGCCCGTAACCCCGAGCCGCATGCCGCCTCCGCCATTTGTTTACTTCCACCTGCTTGAACCACTCACGGCGCATGCGCACGCGTGCTACGGGTGCCCGTGCGCTCCGCGCTGACGGTGGTGGGAAAAGGCGTTTGTAAAATAAATGTTTACGCGGTGCCGACTGTGGCGTCTGTGGGGTGGGGGTCCAGGTGGTTGTGACGCCCCGCCCCCCCATCCCCCCCGATTCCGCAGGGCGATGGCCACAACGTGGAGTGAGACAATGGTCGCACGTGTTGGACGAAGAAGAGCTGATGATGATGATGGTAATGGTGATGATAATGGTGATAATGATGATGATGATAAAGATGAACATGATGATGAAAATGATGATGATAACAATGATGACTTTACCGAAAGGGACCGTCCATAAATGACGTCACGCGACTTTGGCCGATTTTTGACCCCCCTCCCCCGCTCGTCACACGGCGTCACAAAAAGTCAGACCCCCCCTCAAATATGACGTCACAAAGCTCTGCCCCCCCCCCCCCAAAAAAATAAAACATGCTTCAAATCGCTTTAAACTATTGTCAATGTAGTGCGTATTTAATGTGGCGCTGCACTCTGATGTTGTAGGAGAAAACATTAAAAAGTCTATTTAATTAAGTAGAAGGTGTTTATATTTATTTAAAGCTGCGCATTTTTACGTAACGTCACATTTCTCAACACCCCCCCCCGTCACACATCGTCACAAATGTCTAGGTGCGTGACGTCATTTATGGACGGCCCCAAAGAACCAAAGAGTATGGATTCCTGCATTCACGAAAGCTTCAGATCAAGAATGATGATGATGATGATGCAGGCGGTGATGAGAAGGGAACTGCCACTGTTTGGATAACAGCAGGACGAGTTCAAGTGTTGTTGTTGTTGGGAAAATTTGATGGAACCTGAAAGGGAATCAACATATTTATGTATACCGGAGGAATCCGATGAGCTATAAAGATGTCCAGTAAGGGAAGGGGTCATAATGTTACAAAAATCTGGGTACGCACCACTTGCACGTTGCCAAAAGGTTTTCTTGCACGGATGTACAAGTCTCCTGCCACAAACAAAAAAAGGAAACGTGGAGTTTCCCCCGCTAGAGTTGTCGACCAACTCGAGTGGCTCGTGTTGCGATCGAAACGTCCTGCGGTCACGAAAGCTTCAAATCAAGATTCAGATCAAGATTCAGATCAAGATTCGATCAAGATTCAAATCTAATTTCAGATCAAGATTCAAATCAAGATTCAGATCAAGATTCACATCAAGATTCAGATCAAGATTCAAATATAGTTTCAAATCAAGATTCAAATCAAGATTCAGATCAAGATTCAGATCAAGATTCAGATCAAGATTAAAATCAAGATTCAAATCAAGATTAGATCAAGATTCAGATCAAGATTCAGATCAAGATTCAGAGCAAGATTCAAATCAAGATTCAGATCAAGATTCAAATCAAGAATTCAATCAAAGATTCAGATCAAGATTCAGATCAAGATTCAAATCAAGATTCAGGATCAAGATCAGATCAAGATCAGATCAAGATTCAAATCAAGATTAAAATCAAGATTCAATCAAGATTCAGATCAAGATTCAGATCAAGATTCAGATCAAGATTCAGATCAAGATTCAAATCAAGATTCAGATCAAGATTCAAATCAAGATTCAAATCAAGATTCAGATAAAGATTCAGATCAAGATCAAATCAAGATTCAGATCAAGATTCGATCAGATTCAGATCAAGATTCAAATCAAGATTACAAATCAAGATTCAGATCCAGATTCAAATCCAGATTCAGATCAAGATTCAGATCAGATTTCAGATTCAGATCAAGATTCAAATCAAGATTAAAATCAAGATTCAGATCAAGATTCAAATCAAGATTCAAATCAAGATTCAGATCAAGATTCAGATCAAGATTCAAATCAAGATTCAGATCAAGATTCAGATCAAGATTCAGATCAAGATTCAAATCAAGATTAAAATCAAGATTCAGATCAAGATTCAACTCTCGTGGTGGAAACCGCCTCGCCTCGAACCCTTTGCGCACCCTAACGCAGCGGCTCTTTAAATATCGACGAGAAATTTTGTTTTTGTTCAATTTCGACTTAAAACTTTTGCGACTGTCGGAATTCATATTCTTGGTTCTTTCGGTAAAGTCACGTAGAAGGGAAGTAATAAAATAATAAAAATAAAACATAATAAAATAATATAATAATATTTTGTGTTTTATTTTTATTATTTTATTAGAATTCATCTTCTTGGTTCTTTCGGTAAAGTCACGTAGAAGGGAAGTAATAAAATAATAAAAATTAAACATAATAAAATAATATCATAATATATTATGTTTCATTTTTATTATTTTATTACTTCCCTTCTACGTGACTTTACTGAAGAACCAAGAAGATGAATTCTATTACTTTTAATTTCATTTTCCACGTGACTTTACGTCCATCGTCCGTGTCGTAACGAGAGTGCACGCGGCTGCCCTCCCGTGGCCGCGTGTGGCTCCCCGAGTCGCAGCAGCGGCAGCAGCGCCACGCGGGGGGAGTGGCCTCCCGTCTCCTGGACGCGAACGACGCCAAACACAGGTGCAGGAAGACCTGCGACGGGCGGCACACTCACTCACCTGAGCGGCACACACACACACTCACCTGAGTGACACACACACACACTCACCTGAGTGGCACACACACACACACTCACTCTCACCTGAGTGGCACACACTCACTCACACACTCTCACCTGAGCAGCACACACACTCTCACCTGAGTGGCACACACTCACTCACACACACACTCTCACCTGAGCAGCACACGCACACACACTCTCACCTGAGTGGCACACACACTCACCTGAGTGACACACACACACACACACACTCACTCTCACCTGAGCGGCACAACCAAGGTAAGGATATAACCAGCCCCCCGCCCCCCTGCGTTGGACACAGCCGTTTGTTGTAAGACATTGGTGAGGACGTCACCTGGGGAGACGGTGGAGACACCTGCGGCAGAGAGAGACATCTGCGTGATGCGCACTCACCTGGCCGGAGGGTGTATAGGGAATGGACACCTGAGTGGACACGAAGCTGGGGAGACGGACACTCTACCTGGGGTGACAGCTGGGGGGGGGGGGGTGACACGGGTACTCACATGGGTGGACACACACCTGGGTGGACACACTCACCTGGCCCCAGGTGAATCGAGAATAGAGCAGTGACGTATAACGATGACTCTATTATTACAGTTCGCCAAAGGGTACAAAGGCTAGCGATAATATTACAGTTCCTAAAGGATACAAAGGCTGGCGATGCTGCTGTATTAGCAACGGAGAGTGAGGTGTTTCACGAAACATTTCATATTGTGCTGTGCACGCAGGGCAGAGTTGATAAGAGCTGTGTGTGTGTCGGGCTTAATGGGGATAGGTGGCGCCAGTGATTAGCGCACTGCTCTACTCACCCGGCGACCCGAGTTTGATTCCCGTTCACGACCAATACAAGTCGCGATTATCTGAAACGGTCCTCTTGGGCCTCCTCCTAGATTGACTCAGCCTTACGTGAATACCTGGTGCGGTGTGTATTAAACATTGCCACTAGGGAGATAAATGCGGTCGGGCGTGCTGTTGACCACCCACCCCTTCGTGAACCGTGCCGGCCTTTTTAGGTGCTCGCTAACGGAAACTTGTCCCAAAAGTCTGTGACGGCTATAAGCGGGATTTTTAGATTTAAAGCTTTCGTGACTGCAGGGATTCATCTTCTTGGTTCTTTCGGTAAAGTCAAGTGACTTTACCGAAAGAACTAAGAAGATATAAGGGGGATCTTTGCATTTGTTGACCTTAATAGGCGCCCTCTGAAACATTTACCCTGCTGGTGAATAATGGACCTTTGTCTCTGTGGTTTTTTAAATAATGTATGAAAATTAAAGAGATACTTGCAGTAAGATCCTCACATGCATGTACTGTACATTGTGCTTCAAAAACATGTTAACATTTATATGGGACTATCGTTTTTAATGAAAAAAGAACGGATAATAGACTGTAACATGATAACAAATGTAATGTTAATAGCTTTAAAAAGTCTTTGTCAACACGTGCCTGGAATCTTCTCCAGGTGGTCTCTTCTTGTGGTATTGTTGCAAATTCTCAGAAGTGTGAACATTTGTTTGAAGCACACTGTATAAACAGTGAGATGTTAACTACCTCGCCTGGTATGCAGGAGGTCGTGGGTTCGATCCCAACCTTGCCACCTGTATAGTTGGAGTTTGCACGTCTCTCCCTGTGGTCGCGTGGATTTTTATCCGGGTCCTCCGATCTGCCGATCGACTAACTGTGATGTCCCCATGTGTACTGCTGGGTGTACTGCTGGGTGGACTAAATCTGGGAGGGTGACGTGGGTAGTGGCGGCGTTCCATAGTCCTCGCGTCGTGCGCTGTTAGACGTGAGTGAAATGTGCAAAACGTCGGGCGTTTGCGCGCAGCCTGCAGAACGAAATGCCGACGCAGATCCAGTACTACAACTCGTCACCGGCCATGACGGGGGTGTTGCACCCCCAAACGGCGCAGTATTCGCGTCAGCCCGTCCGGCCCTGGGACCCCTACCCACCCCACCCACCTGCACGCATCGTCCCTGCCACGGGTAAGTACACACCAGCAGGAGCAGCAGCCCGCCATGGGTGGAAATAACCCGATTTTTCCAGCGGCAGGCATCGGGTTTTTTCTTTAATACAATTAAACCCGATTTCGAGGAATTTAAACTTGATTTAATGAATACGAAACTCTGATCCAAGGCTTAGGCTGCTTCCTCGTCGGTGCTGCTATCGTACTCGGGGGGCCGTCGGGCACGGGGTAGTCGTAGAATGCGGCGGGCAGGTTGGTCGTGATGAACACGAGCTTCTCCTCCACAATCGTGGGCGCCAGTGAGTTCCTTAGCTTGGAATGGATGAAGCCCATCGTTGAGAAGTTGGCGAAGTGCGCTTCTGCAATTAGAACCAATTAAACCGGCTTTCTCCCAATCTCAGATGATCGAGTGTGCCACCCTTGGCAGCCGCCGATAACGCACGGAGTATTGGCGACGCTTAACCAGAGCTGGGCTGTCTTGATTATTTCACGTGATCGGTTACTCTTACCAATTATCGGTTCGATTGCTCAACTTTCCCCCACTTCGGATGAGCACGGCTGGTTACGTATGGTACGGAAAAAGGTCAACGCACGTACCTACAATCGGATAACTTGAAATAGTGGTGTCACGCCGGGCGTGACTAGCAGGGGGGTTTTCCGCCTTTGAGAAACAGCATGTGGGGGCAGCTGACATTTGTAAAGGGGTCCGCGTAATGCAAACACAGACTAAGCAGTCGATAATTAACCCACGTTTCCATGGGTTGCACATGGTCAATAGCAGCGCGCGCACGAGGGCAGAACCAAGCTGGGCCAAAACCAGACCAAGTTGTGTTCTCATGAAGCCGCTCGCCTCATTCGCTCCCATCCCATTCCACCCACCTCACCCTGCGTTCAACGGAGGGCCCTCTCCACAGCGTGCAAGTTCTGGGGGGTTATTCGGTCATACTTCGCCATGCTGGTCAGTGCGGCTTAGTGAGGGCGGGGAGATGAGACGCACGCAGGAGCGTAGAAGTACAGATTTGCACCAAGATTTGTACAACCGTCGGATTCTTAGTCCAAGAATTTTGCTTAAATGCCAACCAAACACAGCTATAATAGTATCTAAAGCTGGTGGCATTAAGTGCTTCAGTTGACACCGTCTGTTAGCTTATGATCTCAACCAGGCCGAACACAATTCTTTATAGCCACCCATTTCACGTATTTGCAAAAATGCAAAAACCTGTCAATATTTTTATGAAAATTGCTATTTTCCAAATTTGTAGTAATTTTCCCACCAACAGTTGACATACAAATCAGTTTCCATCAACACACGAGTCGAGCCCATTGTGCCTCATGCAGTGTGCCACGGTCCTGCTGTAACCAGAGCCTGATGCAACGCGCCTACAGGCACGGGCATGCTTCTTGCATCGCACCCCAAACTAAGGTTTTCATCTTAGGTTGGCTGGCAAACTCCCATGCGTATCGGTGTTTTGCACGAACGTACATAGGTTTTCAACACTTCAACGCATTTATTTTTTCCGGACGGATTCTCCGTTTCGCTCGGACTCCGGCTCAAAAGCGCCGTCACCTTTCGCACGCGAGCGCTTGCGCGCGTACCGGACCGCGTGTGTGTGTGCGTGAACGCGACTGGCCGCGCAGGCTTTCACCACCGATCACTGTCGGCCCCGCTGGACCGCCCAACGTGGAATGACCCACGGCACGGGCGCGTCGCCTCTCCGCCGGCCTGGCCGCGCGTCGGTCCGCGGCGCCAGCCCTTCCAGTCGTCCCTTGGACGTCGAGCTCCCTTCGCAGGTGCCCTCCAGCAGAGCCTCGCTCGTCTAACGTGGTTATTCGTCGCCGCCGCATTCAAGTTCGGTCTAGAAACGCTTTTTGCGTGGTGTTTCGGTTTGTCGTCCATTCCACCCGCACCTCCGGTCAGCGCGGGTTGGCTGTGTACGGTGCGAACATTACTTCTCCCGAACTCTCACCACGCACTACCGCGGGCATCTTCAGGAGTTGAAGACGACAGTTCTCTGACGGTGTCTTTCGGGTAGCACATTATTTATTTATTTCAAAGTTCAAAGTTCATTTATTAGGTATAGCCCTGTGAGCCATTCGGCTCTTGAATCGGGTGCAACCGCAACAAACAAAAAAACATGAACAAGAAAACATCTTCAAGTGACTATATGCAAACAGAAAATCCTAGAAAAGACAGCAAAATATTGCAGAAAAAATCACCGTTAATGCAGGTACAACCCCGACCACTCGCCAGACAGCCATCGTCGGCCTTCTCCAGCCTCTAGCTTCTCCAAGTCCTGAAGATACCCCGCAGTAGTGTGTGGACAAAGCTCGAGGAGAGAAAGGCTCAACAGTACGCCGCAGGGAAAATCCCGCGTTTTAAATCGCCACGATTGCTATTCACGCCGATCGTCGGAGAATAGTCCTTCTAGCTACGGCGTCGGCGGTTTGCGGGGTCGTCCTCGTCGTGAATGACACGGTTGTTGGTGCGTGGCGCAGCTCGGACGATGGACTTGGGGCTGTACAGCCGTGGGCGGCACGTCAACGGCAGGATGGGCAGCCTGCCACCGTACGCCCCCTTCAATGACCCGCACCTGCTCGACTACTACACACGCAAGTTCGCGATGGAACCCCGGCCGCCGTCCACGGTGGGTGGTGCCTGCATGGTGCCGGAGGCGCGCGGTGACAGCGGCGGTGGTGGGAATTCGAGAAGCCACGTTGATGTTGATGACGGTGAAGACCATGAGGTGTATGACAAGTGCTGATCGTCGTGATGATGATCGTGGTGATACGGATGATGATGACAATACCGAGAATGATAACAATGATGGTGATGGCGATACTTACAATACCAAGGATGATGATGAGTATTGTTGTCGTTACAATGGACACAATAAAGCTGGTAGCAATGACAATAATGTGATTTTCAATGGAGATATTTTAAGATAGTGCTGACACAGACTATGACAATTGTGATGATGGCGATGCACGAGTACTACTTTAACCAATAGCTTAAGGTGTCGCGCACGACCTGGAATACAAAAAGAAACCAACTCTACGTTGAACACATCCGTCATTCCTGAGTTACCCGTGTTACTCCCACTGCCGTGCGCAGGCGGGGAGATCGGGCAGCGCCCGCAGCACCAGGGGTGGCGTCCTCTACACGGTGACGGTGAAGACCGGAGACTGCAAGAACGCCGGCACCCAGGCCAGGGTATGACCAGCGGCGCGGTGGATGTCATTGTGCGCCGTGCGTGTGTCTGTGTGTCTACGTATCTGTGGGGAGCGGTCATGTAGCTGTTACCACCAGTGACGATTATCTGAACCGGTCCTGGGCCTCCCCTAGGTCGACTCAGCCTCAAATGTGTACGTGGTGCGGTGTGTAAACGTCAGCGGCCAGGCGTGGGGCTGGCTACCGACCCCATCGCGTGCCGTGCCGGCCTTCGAAGGTGTTCGCTCACAGACACTCGCTCCAGCGGTCTGTTAAAGTCTGCACGGTGGGTGGATCTTCTCCTTCTTTGCCTCTGCGCCAGGTGTACCTGCAGATGAAGGGCTCCAAGGGCAGGGTCAACAAGAAGCGCCTCTACAAGAAGTCCAGCTCCGGCATCGGCGACTTCCGGTTCGGCCGCGGCTCCAGCCACACGTTCCGACTGCACGGCCCCGAGCTCGGCGAGCTCAAGGCCATCACGCTCGAGGTACGGAGAAAGAGGGCTGGGGGGGGGGCCTCCCCCCGCAACCGGCACCGCCACTGCGTCCCGTCGTCCCCATCATTTGTGGCAGCCACCACTACCACCGTCGTGCGAGCGCCTAAAGGACCGTGGCATTACGTCGGTCGTGCCTCCGTGTGCTCGAGTGAGTGTGTTGCGTTTGGAGTTCACGTCCATTGGTGGCCTAGCGGTGGGCATTCCCTGTTCCGATGGCGGGGCTCAGTCTCACCGTAGGACGGCCCCCGCTGTTGGCGATTTTTGGGAGCGGTAGGGTTAGCGGTTAGCGCGCTGCGAACCCGGCAAGCCGAGTTCGATTCCCGCTCATGGCCAATAACAGGGGCGACGAACATTTGAACCGGATCTGGGCTTTCCGTAAATGTCTCAATCCTTAAAATGAATACCTGGTGCGGGATGTAAAACATCGCCACTCGGGAGACAAAGGCGGCTGGACGTGGTGTTGGCCACCCACCTCCTCGTGTGCCGTGCCGGCCTCCATCGGTGCTCGCTAACGGCACTTTCCCCAACAGTCTGTCGAGGCTACACGGAGGTTCTTTATCTTTGTTGTGGTTGTCAACTCAGCCTCAGATGAGTCCCTGGTGCGGTGTGTAGTAAACATCGCCATTCGGGAGACAAAGGCGGCCGGGCGCGGTGCTGGCCACCCACCCACCCCCTCGCGCGCCGTGCCGGCCTTCGTAGGCGCTCACTGACGACGCTTGCCCCAGCTGGTCCGTTAAGGCTACACGGGGGAATCTTTCTCTCTGGGGCAGCACGACGGGCTGGAGGAGCGCGACGCGTGGTTCGTGGAGGAGGTGAGCGTGACGAGCGCGTCGCGGGCGCGCACCTGGACCCTGCTGTGCCACTGCTGGCTGTCGCTGCACCGCTCCGACTGCCAGATCAGCCGCACGTTCACGCCGCTCGCCCGCGAGTCGCACACCGGTGGGGATGCCCCTCGCGATCGCTCGCCGCGTTCTACAAACACCGGCGGTGACACGTCACATATCCGCCCCGACCGATTAACCGCCGACACCCAGCGAAATGTGCCCTTTCGTGCATACGCTCGCTTACCTGTAAAGCACAGAAAAGCGTTTCCCCACGTTTAAAGGAAATTTGCGCTTAGTTTTTTGTCCAATAACCTATTTGCGCATGTGTGAACATCTACAGATGTGTGAACATCAAATAGACATATATAGATGTTCACACATGCGACCTTTTGAGCCGGATGACACTTCACCAATAGGTTACCTTAATGACACTTCACCGATATTCTACCTTCACAATGACACTTCACCAATAGGTTACCTTCACAATGACAATGAATCGATAGGTTACCTTCACAAAGACACTTCACCGATATTTTCCCTTCACAACGACAGCCATGTGTAGACGTCGTCTGAGACGATGTCGCGACGCTGACCATGAGTTCTAGATTTGAAGCTTTCGTGACTGCAAGGATTTATATTCTTAGGTTTTCTGTACTTGATACAGCAAGCGTGCTGTGACGGTTCCACTGAAGACGGAAGCTTGTGTTGCCTCCAAAACGTCGTGATTTTTATTTTATTTTTATTTTACTTTCATTAATTTTAATTTTAAATTTTTACCTACGTGACTTTGCTGACCATGAGGTTACGACGGTTATCCCCCCCACCCCCCCCCCGCCCCCCGTAGTGTACGAGGTGGTGACGGTGACGGGCGACGTCCGTGGCGCCAGCACCGACGCCAACGTCTTCGTGACCCTGTTCGGCGAGCGCGGCAGCACGGCCAAGCTGCAGCTGGCCAGCACGTGAGGCCGCCTCCGTTCACCGCGCGCCCGCACGCACGAAGACGCGCCTCCCACGCTAGCGGCTTCGTTCGTTTGTCCATGCCTTTGTATTTGGGGTATGAGGCAGGGTCAGGGTAGGAAGCAGGGTCAGGGTAGGAGGCAGGGTTAGGGTAGGAGGCAGGGTCAGGGTAGGTCTTGAATAGAGGGATAAATGTGATGTCCTCACTTGTGAGCCAATCAGGATGGAGGGTTAATGTAGCTAATACTGAAACAGCAGGATTTCTCTACAACTCTGGCTGTAGCTTGATGATGCTGGTTGTCATTACTGGCGATACGCCGTACTTGAATCGTAAACGTTGTGGGTTTACTCTCCTACACACCATCGTGCTGTACTAGTAACGAATTGACCTATATTATTTACGTGACAAACTTTTCTAATCGGCTTTGTCGGGTGGTGGCGGGTTTAACGACACATTTATATTTACACGATCTAACCCAAAAACCTCTATTGTGGATAATATTGGTCACCAAAGACGACGTGTTAAACAGGAGAGAGGTAGTTCAACACGTAGCAGGCTTTCGCGACCAATATTATTCACAATAAAGGTTTTTGGGGTAGATCGTATAAGCATAAATGTGTCGTAACCCTCCACCATGTTGTTGTTTTTTCCTGGATTTTTCTGTTTGCGCATAGTCACTTTAAGATATTTTCTTGTTCATGTTTTAGTTTTTTTGTTTTTTGCAGTTGCACCCGATTCAAGAGCCGAATGGCTCACAGGACTATACCTAATAAATGAACTTTGAACTTTGATATCAACGGTGGGGTGGGGGGCAGCCCATTCTCAGTCACGTGCTATACCAAACAAATGAAATTATTATAAATGAAACTGAAACCACCCGACACAGCCAATCAGTAATGGATTTGTCACGTAAACACAACGTGCCAATTAGTTACTACTTCAGCCCACCGGTGTATTGGAGACTAAACGCACAACATGTACAATTTGAGTAGTACGACGTTTCACTGGTAATTACATCCAGCATCATCGGGCGATTTGTCAGAATAGTGGAGATGGGTAGACAGGTTGGTAGGTTGGTCAGCGAGTGGGTAAGCAGGTCGTGGGGTAGATGTGTAACGAGTAGGTGTGTGTATAAGTCGGTAGCCAGGCCGGATCGCCGCGTGAGGTGCGATCGTTTGCGTGACGTCTGTGCCCTCCGTTGTTGCAGCGGCAAGGACTGCTTCGAGAGAGGGAAGACAGACACGTTCAAGGTCAAGGCGAACTGCGTGGGACCACTGCGGAAGATAAGGCGAGGGGCAACACTGATTTACTCGCATCGAGTTTTGTTTTCATTGACATCTCGCCACGGTGGCGAGATTTTAACCACCTCGCCTGGTGTACAGGAAGTCGTGGGTTCGATCACGACCCCGACGCCCGCTGTATATTTGGAGTTTGCGTTGCTCTTTCCCCGTGGTCGCGTGGATTTTTCTCCGGTTTGTCCTCATCAATTAGAATCGACGTGCATTTAGAGTATTCGGCTGCGTTAAATGTCCACGCGATAAGCCACTTCGTTGAGCTTTCATTTGTGGCCAGGTCGCTTCTGAAAAGAGCGATGTAGCTCAGTGGGCTTTACCTGATAACATGTAAAAAATAGCTTTGTTAAACCGGCTAAGAACTCTAACAGACCAAAATTTGTCTCATTTGCAAGAGCAACCCGGGCATGAGTCTGCCGATTGGGGGGCGATGATTGCTGCTGTGTATAAACGCAATCGAACAGATCTGTGTTGTTGTGCCACAAAAGATAAAGATCTCCCTTAGAGGCGGGTGGCCAGCACCACGCCCGGGCCGCCTCTGTCTCCCGAGTGGCGACGTTTCCACACCGCATCAGGTACTCATTTGAGGCTGAGTCTACCTAGGGGAGGCCCAGGACCCGGTTGAGATAATCGTCTTTGGTGTTCGTGGCCACTGTGAGCGCCAATCGAACTCGGGGCCGCCGGTTTCGTGGCACTGTGCACTGACCGCTGTGCCACTGCTCCTTACAAAGATAAAGATCCCCGTATAGCCTTAACAGACTGTAGGGGCAAGTGCTGTTAGTGAGCACCTATGAAGGCCGGAACGGTACACGAGGGGGTGGGTGGCCAGCACCACGCCCGGCCGCCTTTGTTTCCCCAGTGGCGATGTTTACACATCGCACCAGGTACTCATTTAAGGTTGAGTCGACCTAGGGGAGGCCCAGGACCGGTTCAGATAATCGTCACTGGTGTTAGCCGTGAGCGGGAATCGAACCCGGGGTCGCCAGGTTCATAGCGCAGCGCGCTAACCGCTACACTACCGCTCCCCACACACACACACACGCGCACACACACGCAGGGTGGAGCACGACAACCGCGGCAGCGCACCGGGCTGGTTCCTGGAGCGCGTCGTGGTGACGGACGTCAGCCGCCCCGGTGCCCGCTGCTTCTTCCCGTGCGGGCAGTGGCTGAGCCGCGACGAGGGCGACGGGCGCACGGCGCGCGACCTGCTGGGCAGCCCCGACCCCATGCACGCGCCGCGCAAACGTGAGGGCGGGCAGCAGGCCCCGTGAATCTCTAATTCACTTATTCACAGCTCTATGAATGCCCATTCACTTATCGCAGCTCTATGAATCTCCATTCACTTGTCGCAGCTCTATGAATCTCCATTCACTCACTCACATCAGCGATCGTGGCCCCCTATTGCGCGCTCACGCAGGAGGCACAAGCCGAATTCACCCACCGTGCCCACGTGCCATCGAATGGCCTTTCCCAACCTAGCGTGCAGGCGTAAACTCGGCAGTTGCTTTTCAAATGCCGTACAAGAAAGATTTAACCTCCCTTCCCCCGACGTGCAGCCACGGAAAAAATCAGAAGCGCTGCTAAGTGTGCAGAGCCTCTATGAACCTCTTGGTTCACGTCTGCAAGGGGCAGGTCAGACACAGCACCAGTTCAGTGGGGTCCTGGCGAAACTTAATAACCCACAGGCAGGAACTCAGAACCTGTTCCATTACCACTGGCCACGGTCAACAGCAATCAAACTGAGGTTCCACCATTATTACTACGCCGGTCGCTATGCGGCCAATAAAACTGTCGCCACTTTTCGGGAAGTTACCACCGAAATTGACCGAGACCCCGTCATGGGCAATGTTGATTTTTTTTCACCGCTGGCCCCTGCGGCCACCGGCAATAGACATCTCTGCTCTCGTTCTAGCCGGGAGATGCGTAGATTCGACCGCTCCAGTTTGTTCGATTTGACAGCGCGTGCAACTGTAGGTTGCTTTTTTTCGTTGAGTTTTTTGTCCTTCCCCTGCATCTCCGATTATCCGATTATCACGGTTGGCTACGTACGGTGCGAAAGAACTTCAACGTGCGTGCACGCCATAGGCTCGCTGGCTTGTGGGTTTGCGCGAGCGTAACAACGCACGGGGGCCCGTCACCGGGGCAATGCCGCCGCCGGTGGTTGCTCAGGGAAACGCGCATGGAGAAACTCCGCAAATCTTTGCGCAACAACTCCAGAGGTCAGGGCTAAAGGTCGCCGAACAGAGAGACACGCCACGGAGAGAGACGTGCTCTTGTGACACCGCCTGCCCGGCTTGGTGCACAACAACGCGGCCACAACTTGCCAACGGCAACTATGTGCACGGACTTAAAATATGGTAAATAAAGGCAGGCGTGGAGAGCGAGGTGCTAATCGGAAAAAGCCCCAGCGTGTCGGGACTTGCCTTAAGAAAGAATACCACGAAGCTTTGCTCGCGAAGGAACGGTGCGAGGTGTCACCGTACGAGATGCCGAATTCACGCGCTTGTTTTCGTTGCCGTATCGATACGATCTAATGCAGTCGAGTTAGTTTCATATATATTTATGCGTATACAAATTTAGATCGCAATATTTCTGAAACATTCATTTTTTTTATTCACGTTTTACATTTCCGTGTACAGTATTTGTTTGGCCTCTATTGTAGAATGACACGGTTAACTATCACCGTCATACTGACGATTGCAGATCATCGCCGCACTGGTTGACCGTCACCCACGGCTAGAGCGAGCCGAACGGCTTTTCTCGCGCCGCGACCGATGGCGAATCGCTCGCCGCGTATTTGCCGCACGCAGACCTGGGGGTGCCGCTCGCCGGTTGCGTGCGCTGGCGCCGTGCGCCTGCTGGAGAAAGCGCGTCGCTCGCGGTAACTCACCCCGGTCGTTGTTCACCCCGATTCCTGCTGCTGCTGATTCCGGGTCCTCCTCTCCCCACGCAGCCAAGAAGTACGAGGTGACGGTGTTCACGGGGGACGAGCGCGGCGCCGGCACGGACGCCGACGTCTCCATCAGCATCTTTGGGGAGCTGGGAGACACAGGTCGGTGCACGTCAAGTGGGTGAGCGGTGAATGTTATGCGAGTGCGTGAGTGAGTGAGTGGGTGAGTGAGTGAGTGAGTGCGTGAGTGAGTGCGTGAGTGCGTGAGTGAGTGGGAGTCTGGTGGTTAGCGCTACGCTGCGCTATGAACCCCGGGGACCCGAGTTCGATTCATGCTCATGGACACCGCCAGTGACGATTGCACTGGTCAACAAAAAGAAAAACATTTTTTTCTGGCCTGGACTTTTGCAGCTGTTTAAGACTAATTTCAGGGTGCTGATTCCAAATCTGATCTCAGATTTGCTCTATCACGATTTATTTTATGCTATCGGCATACCCCATTTTCATTGATTTTACCCGAAATTAACTCTGTCTCTTATGATTGCAAGTTGTTGCGAGTCAGTGACTGCTTTAGTATTAAAATACGGTGCTGTATTTTTAGGATAGTGTATTTATAATATAATTTTATGTAGATATCCACATTTATTTCATATTTTTCTTCTGCAGTTTTGATTGAAAATGCAATATTTGATATCTCAAAAACCTGATGTGATAGACAAAAACTGATGCCAGATTTGGAATCAGCACCCCAAAATTACCTTAAAACCGTTGGAATACCTTATGCCAGAAAAAGTGTGTTGACCAGTGTTATCTGAACCGGTCCTGGGCCTCCCCTAGGTCGACTCAGCGTAAAATGAGTACCTGGTGCGATGTGTAAACATCGCCACTAGGGAGACAAAGGTGGTTCTGGCTGTCCACCCCCTCGTGTGCCATGCAGGCCTCAAGAGGTGATCGCGAACAGCACTTGCTGCTAGAGTCTGTTAAAGCTATATGGGGAATCTTAGTCTTTGTTTTCTTAACCAAAGTTAAACAATTAACTATTTTGTTTATTTTAAAACTAAATACTAAGTTGAACATTTTCTTGTTATATTACCAGGAAAGGCCCACTGAGCTACATCGCTCTTTTTCAGAAGCGACCTGACCACAAATGATAGCTCAACCAAGTGGCTTATCACATGGAAATGTATCGCAGCCAATTACTCTGAACGCGTGATGTTGATTTTAAATGTGGAGGGAAAACCTCCTGTATACCAGGCGAGGTAGTTAACATCTCCTAGCCACGGTGGCACGCTCGTTGAATGTGCGTGCGTGCTACGCGCAGGGGAGAGGCGGCTGGACAGCAGACGGAACAACTTTGAGCGCGGCAAGCAGGACAAGTTCACGCTGGACTCCCCCAATCTGGGCCGTCTCACCAAGATCTCCATCGGCCACAACAACCGCGGGCCTTCTCCCGGATGGTTCCTCGACAAGGTGGGTCCCACCTCGTCGCCCCACCGCGGCGCGACCCGGACGCCGCTCGGCACCTCGCTGTGAGCATCCGCCGCCCCGCAGTGCCTCGTCGAGAAAGATAAGACTCGGCAAATGTATCCAGAGGCCGTTGAAGACTAGGTCCCCCCCCCCTCCCGAGCTGTTGCGACGTTGGCAGCTGCCCTTACCGCGTGCCACTCTCTGGCTCTCGGTTGAACAGAGAGGTGCGCGTAAAAGCGGTGCGCGCGAAAAAAAATTAAACGGCCGTCGGTGATTTTTATGATCCTCTTCGCGTAAGCAGCCGCGGCGATGAATGCAATCGCGACGCAAAGTTGCGTCATGTTGACGGTGTGGTGCGGCGCGGGGTTGTGTTGTGCGCCGAGCGCTGCAGGTGGTGGTGGACGACCGTGACGCCGGCGTCGTTTACCAATTCCCGGTGCGGCGCTGGCTGTCGGAGGACGAGGACGATGGGCGGATTCGGCGCGAGATTCCCGTGGCCGGCGGTAGCGTCACCGACGGAGGAGTCGGTAAATCCAACGCGGCGCCCTCCACGTGACAAACCCGAAACCTGAACCTCCACGTGACAAACCCTAAACCTGAACCTCCACGTGACAAACCCTAAACCTGAACCTTCACGTGTCAAACCCTAAACCTGAACCTCCACGTGACAAACCCTAAACCTGAACCTTCACGTGACAAACCCGAAACCTGAACCTCCACGTGACAAACCCGAAACCTGAACCTCCACGTGACAAACCCGAAACCTGAACCTCCACGTGACAAACCCGAAACCTGAAACTTCACGTCTCAAACTCGAAACCTGAACCTCCACGTGACAAACCCTAAACCTGAACCTCCACGTGTCAAACAAAACTTATTTTATTTTATACAGGTAAGTCCCACTGTGGCATTGTGAGCGATCAGCAAATGCCACAGGCAGACAAGTCTAACTATCTCGACTAATCCCTTCCTCCTGCACCGCGCTCCATCCGCCAGCAGGCACCCTGTACACGCTGCGGGTGCTGACGGGGGACAAGCGCGGCGCCGGCACGGACGCGCGCGTCTACGCGGTGCTGCACGGCGCCGGCGTCGGTGGCGCGCGGCCCGGCAGCAGCGGGCGCCTCGAGCTGCGGGGCGGCTCCTTCGAGAGGGGCGGCACGGACGTGTTCCAGCTGGAGGCTGGGCGCGACGTGGCCAGCCCGCTGGCGCGGATCACCGTCGGGCATGACAACTCGGGCGCCGCGCCGGGCTGGTTCTGCGAGAAGGTATGCGGTGTGCGTAAAACCGGACGCGGTAACGCAGCCCGTCATTTGTTCGTTGCATGGATGTACGTTGAACTGCTTTCGCACCGTACGTAACCAACCGTGCAAATCGGTGGTGTGGGGGAAGGACAACAAACGAAACACCATAAGCAGTTCTAAAGCGATGAGTTGTCAGTCTATATTTAAAAGTTCATAGTTCCAGCGGCTTGTCGTTGTTGTTGCCGTCGTCACTTCGTGGCCGCGGACACGTTCGTTTAGCGCGGTTGGCTCAAAGGAGTTCAGCTCAACGGAGGTCATCGCGATCATTGACCTCGTCCGCGGGGCTCAGGTGGTGGTGCTGTGCCCCAGCACGGGCGTGGAGCAGACGTTCCCGTGCGGCCGCTGGCTGGATCGCCGCGAAGGGGACGGCCTCATCGAGTGCGAGCTCCTGGAGGACTTGTCGCTGCGCAAGACGGTGGCCAAACGTACGGGCGATGTACCCGACCGGTCGGACTGACTTGGTGCGAAGGTTGCGAGACTTTGTAATCGATCGAGGAAAGCCTCGATGAGACTTGAGCCTCTTGTTGCAGCAAGTTATTATTTTGGGATCGTGTGACACGCAGGCTTTCACTGGTAGGTCTCTTCACAATTCTGGTAAAATCGACCAATGATGCTAGATGTAATTACCAGCGAAACGTCAAAGTACTGAAATTGTAAATGTCGTGGATTTACTCTCCAACACACCGGTGTGCTGTACTAGTAAAGAATTGGCACGTTTTGCTTACGTGACAAACCTTACTAATTGGCTGTCGGGTAGTGGTGGGTTAACGACACATTTAAACTTACGTGATCTAACCCCAAAAACCTTGATTATGAACATTTTGAGATACTTATCCAAATAGCTTTTTTTATATATAAAAGTTGGGTGAGGAAGTTGACATTTCGCCACCGTGGCGCCCTCGCGGTTCGGTCAACGATCGCCGCTCGTCATCGTTCGGGCGCCGGTGCCCAGCCCGCGTCACCGCCGCATCTGTGCTTTTTATTCTTGGTTCTTTCGAAATAGTCACGTAGAGGGGAAATAATAAAATAATACAAATATCAAACAATACAATTCTCACGACGTTTCGACTGCAACACAAGCAATCGTCATCAGGTATGAAATCCACAGCAAGAAAATTTGAAAAAAGTGGCGTTTTTTTCTTTTTAACGTCAGCACCACGGACAACGATTTGGCAGTTGGCCAGATGGACGAGTCCATCTATGTTCGGAAAAGAGGAGGGGGGAGAGGAAGAGAATGGAATGCGGTCTGAAAGTCACCGTAAGCGTGAACGCAATCAATTGAGACCCGAAATGGTTTATCAAATCCTTCCAATGATTGCTAAGCCAGAAACCATCTTCTCGGATGAAATTGTCTCCGTGGTTGTATATGTGGATAGCCTCATAAACGAATCTCTTATGGTAGCCAGATGGCTTGCAGAGAACCTCTGTCTTGAAGAAGTCAACGTCATGTTTTATATTTTTATTGTTTTATTATTTCCCGTCTACGTGACTTTACCGAAAGAACCAAGCATATGAATCCCTGCAGTCATGAAAGCTTTAAATCAAAATTTTAATCTGTGCTTCCGTCGCCGCGCTCGCAGGGCAGCCCTGCTCCGTGTGGGTCCACACGAGCGACGTGCGAAACGCCGGCACGGACGCCAACGTCAGATTCCAGCTGTACGGGGAGCGCGGGCACTCCGAGGAGATCCTCCTCGACAACAAATCGGACAACTTCGAGCGCGGACAGACGGACAAGTTCACCGTAGGTGTCGTGATAAAGTTGGAGTCTAGGAAGTTAAACTTTTAACTATTTAAACTATAATTTTTATTTTACCAGGTGAGGCCCACTAAGCTCTTTTTCAGAAGCGACCTCGCCACAGATGTGGAAATGTATAGCGGCCAAATACTCTTAAACGCATGTTTTCTAAAGTTCATGGTGTAAGCTTGGTCACTGATTACAGTTAAAAAAACTTTCTAAATGTTTTTTTTGCTTAATCTGGGGGAAAAAGGTCCAGATCTGAGGATTTAAAACATGCAATGAAGATCTCTAAAGCGGCAGATGTGGTAAAGTGCGGCACCGCTGTTGTGGACAGGAGGCTGCGCGAAGCAGTCATCCTGTGACATCACCTTCGATGGGCCAATCTCCCCACGCCTTTGCAAGTCGCGAGGATTATTTGACCATACTTCACCATGCTGGTCAGTTTGCCGGTCGGCGTAGATGGGGAACAGCCCCCCCACCCCCCCCCCCCCAGCAGCCGATTGACAAAAGACTGGGAGCTGTCCATCGTTATGTACCAAGGTTTGGGAAACTGCAGGTGACCTGTAAAGCTAAGCCCACGAGGTTCGCGTCCCTCCTGCCGCGTGTCGCGTGCTGTTGCCGGGGATGCAGGTGGAGCTGCCGGACCTGGGGCCGCTGTACAAGATGCGCGTGTGGCACGACTGCACGCACCCCTTCGCTGGCTGGCACCTGGACAAGGTGCGGCAGCCACTGGTCGCGACTCGCCTGCACGTGTGTGTCCTTGTACCTGTTGCGGTGTGCAAACATTTGGGGAGACAAAGGCGGTTGGGAGTCGTGGTGGCCACTCACCTCCTCCTCGAGGCCTGTCCCGGCCTTCATAGGTGCTCGCTAACAGCACTTGCCCCAGCAGTCTGTTCAGGCTACATGGGGGATCTTTGTATTTTTTGTCGTCTATTTATGGTGGGGAATGGTGGCAATTTGGTGACCCGAGTTCGATTCCTAGCCACGACCAACATCCAGTGACGAGCGATATCTTAATTTATTCTGGGCCTCCCCTAGATCAATTCAACCTTAAATGAGTACCTGGTGTGGTGTAACAAATATCTGGGGGAATGAAGGACGGCAGGACGTGGCGGTGGCCGGAAAACCCCCCGTGCGCCGTGCTGTGTGTGAACATCGCCACGAGGGAGACAAAGGCAGCCGGGCGTGGTGATGACCACCGACCCCTTCGTGTGCCGTGTTATCGAGTAGCAAGTGCTACTTGCTAACAGCAAGTTCCCCGAAAGTCTGTTAAGGCTACACGGGGGGGGGATCTCCGTGTGCGTGACTGCGCGTCACCCGCCACTGCAGGTGACCGTGTGGATTGCGAGCGGACGTGAGCGCTACACGTTCAAGTGCGGGCGCTGGCTGGATGTGAACGAGGGCGACGGGGAGATCGTGCGGGAGCTGCCGGCCGAGGGCCCCTCCGTCCGCCAGCCGCTGCCAGGTGCGTGCAAGCCCACGGCCGGCTCGTATAAAATACCCACAATACTTTGCACAGCACTGTTGCAAGACATGGTCGGAAGACCCACGATGCCTCGCAAGGCACCAGGAGGAGTGTCCGTAATGCGTGGATAGGCTGAACGAGATGTTGGATCCAGCAGCATCCCTGAATGGCGTCACGGGAGATGAGTGGGCCTGCAAATGCAAATTCAACCCTGGTGAAGCCTGGGGAGCTGAATGGAGATCAATAGAACTCAGATGCACCTTGTTGTAAAAGATACAACGCAGAAGATCCCTGGGTTCGATGTTCCACGAAGCTCCAAGTCCACCATAAATCGCATCCGCACAAACCATGGCAGATGCGGATACATACTCTTAGGTTTTTTCGGTAAAGTCACGTAGGTAAAAAATAATAAAATAAAATGATAATAAATGAAAATAAATCAATTAAATCACGACGTTTCGGAGGCAACACAAGTTTCCGTCTTCAGGTGGGACCGTGACAGCTAAATTTAGTTGTGATGGTCCCACCTGAATGAGAAATTCTACTTGTTGCTCTGCATCTACATGCGCCGTACCAAACCAGAAGTTGGCCTGCTTGCCCGCCTGTACCCGCTTTCCTGCTGACCAGCCTCGGTTGGATCGTGGCGTTAAACCCCTCGCTGCCCCCCCTCTTCCCCACCCGCCGTGTCCGGCCGAGCGCAGTCGTGCAGTACGCGGTGCTGGTGGAGACGGGGAAGTGCGCGGGTGCCGGCACGGACGCCGCCGTCTCGTTGTGCCTCTACGGCGAGCGCGGGGACACGGGCAACCGCGTGCTGCAGCGGAGCTCGTCGCACCGCAACAAGTTCGAGCGCGGGAACGTGAGTCCCCCCCGCCAGAGCCACCGCCGTGCCGTGGAGACTCGGGGTCGGGAAGGAGACTTGGTCTTCCACGACCGATTAAGCGGAGGTTTTAGCCGTAGAGTAACGTGCGGCCGCACGGAGGTGTCCGTGCCGGCACCGCGCACGCCCCCCGTGCGAGCCGTCAAGCTCGCAGTTTATCACTGGGCGGCATTATTATGTTATTACTTTTGTTGTTTCCAGTTTCGGTTCATGCGACCTCACGAGTGACAATGCCGTTACGGTGCTCTGCGATGGCACACGATCCGCACTGCATTATGTACGCGTCGGATTGCTACCGTCCTCACGTTAACCTCAGCTTCCAACACGATCATGGCAAAAATGCGTTGTTGTACCATACTCCTACGCTCCCACATCTGTGCTCCACGCCTCCACCAAACCCGCACCCGCCAAAATGGCTGTTCACACCCGGCCTGGCGCAGAGAGACACCCATCGGCGTGTGTGCGCGTGTTCGGTGCAGACCGACGAGTTCGTGCTGGAGGCCGTGAGCCTGGGCCGGCTCGACCGAGTGAGAATCGGCCATGACGGCAAGGGGGCCAGCGCCGGGTGGTTCCTGGAGCGAGTCGAGGTGCGGGACAAGAGTCGGCCAGAGGGCCCAGCCCAGGTGTTCCCATGCAGCAGGTGAGACTCCCTCCCTAAATTATTCATTCTTTCATTTTTGTTTCCATTTACTCACTTGCGCTACCTGATCGCGTCAAGGAGAAATAAAGCATCGCGCGAACTCCGGTCATCCTCGTAGCAACAGCAGCAGCAGGGGTTTTTGGATAGCTATCGAATTAAAACTGGACGTAGTCAACTGTGCTAATCGTAGGTGTGGGGAAAGGACAACAAATTAAACACAAAAAACCCATAACACCGTCTCAGTTTCGTGACCTCCATCCTCAAATGTTGTGGTCATGTCACCGGCGTTAGTGGCGAAGAGTGACTTTTGTTGTTGTTAGGAACGGCTTATTTTGCGATGTGGCAAAATGTTATGAATTTGGGAACATCACTTTCATTTTAAGTACTAATTGAAATTTAACAATTACACAAGCTAGTACATCTCTATCATAGTTACACAGTTATACTTTATAGTTTACTTCTCATTAATACAGGCCAGGTGGAAACCCGCTTAGCTTTGGAGTCCTGACATGGTCAGACTGAAATCTGCCATCATCGCCGGAAAGAGAGGTTTAATTCAATGCAACTTTGATAAACAGTATAAAGTATGTAAACACAATTGTACATCTCCAAATGCTGTACAGGAAGCAACATTAGCTTCCCTGGCGATAAACAGGAATCACAGTCAAAGAAGCACTTACACAAAGCTCCAGACAAGCAAATGGGGCTGAAGTTCACCCCTGTTGGTGACTCGAACTCAACCGGTGGAAATTCCACCTTCCCATGGTAGAGGACAACCCTCGACTGCGTGTGTGTGTGTGTTCGCTGCAGGTGGCTATCGGAGGGCGAGGACGACGGACAGATCGTAAGGGAGCTGCTGCCCTCAGGACACTCGCAGATTCTCAAAAGTAAGAGGCTCACACGTGCAGGTGGTTGGGAAGACCAAAACTAAACGATTTTTATTTGACCTGGTGAGGCCCACTGAGCTAAATAGCTCTTTTTATCAGAAGCAACCTGGCTACCGGAAATGACAGCGCGACGAAGTGGCTTATCGCGTGGAAATTTATAGCAGCCAAATGCTTTGAACGCACGTTGATGATTATAAATGTGGAGGGAAAGAACGGAGGACCCGGAGAAGAATCCACGCAACAACGGGGAGAAAGACACGCAAACTCCAAGTATACAGCAGGCGTCAGGATCAGGATCGAACCCACGATCTTGCCACGGTGGCCGAGGAGATGTTAACTACCTCGTGGTTTGCGGTTAATCCGGGTCTCCAAGTGCAGCGCGTTGGTGGGCCCAGCCCCAGTCATGAACGACCGCACGCATTAAACGCAACTCGTAAAAGTTGTGTTTGTGGCTTAATTTGACTGACAATGACAACCCAGCGTCCTGTCTCCCCGTCCCCGCGGTTCCGTGCGATCGCTGCCGGCAGACATCAGCTACCACGTGAAGGTGCGCACGGGGGACGTGCGCAACGCCGGCACGGACGCCAACGTGTACGTGCGCCTCGTCGGCGAGGCGGGCGAGACCGCCAAGATCCCGCTCCGCACCTCCGCCAACAAGACCGGGAACAAGTTCGAGCGTGGACGCGTCGACGTGTTCACCATCGAGGGCGGCGACATCGGGAAGGTGCGGCCGCGGCGGCCATTTTGAGGGAGTTGGCTTGTAGTCCTTCCCGCGTCGCCGACACGCCAGGCAACCCTCCGCAATAACCGGGCCCCACGGTTATTCAACCACACATTTGGAATCGACGTGCGTTGAGAGTATTTGGCTGCTAAACATTTCTACGTGATAAGCCACTCCGGTGAGCAATCATTTGTTGCCAGGTGGCTTTTGAAAAAGAGCTCTATAGCTCGGTGGACCTTACCTGGTAAAATAACAAAAATAGTTTTAACATTTTTTAGTTTGAACCCGACGCGACCTCTTGTCGCGGTCTCATGCCATCAGTCCGATCTCTTCCCGCGAGTCGCTACGCCCTTCCAAGCCGTTCAGTTTCCAGCTGACCAGCGTTCGCTGCCGTTTTTCCAGCACCCGCACAGAAAGACCCGCTGCGCACTTCCCTATCTCTTCAGCGCCACGCGAGATGTATCGAGCGATGAAACCCAATTGAACGTGGCACCCTTTTGCGACACGAAACAAATTTGATTATTAGCCATGCGCATGGCCACCCGCTAGGCGAGTCGCCGTTGACCGGGCTGCGGGCGCGGTGGATGTCGCGGTCGGTGCCCGACGGTCGCGCACAGGTGCGCCGCCTGGTGATCGGACACGACGACTCGGGGCCCGGCGCCGGCTGGTTCCTGGAGGGCGTGGAAGTGGAGGTGCCCGCGCAGGGGCTCGCGTACACGTTCCCCTGCGGGCGCTGGCTCGCCTCGGACGAGGGCGACCGCCGTACGGAGGTGGAGCTGCAGCCGGGGCAGGTCCAAGAGCGCAACAAGCGTACGTGCCTCCTCCTCCTCCGTCACCGCCACCACCAGAGCCACATTACTACTCGGGTGGGAGATGCCTTGATGGCAATGTGGACAAGCTCACACCCCCTGGCTGTTTTGTACGCCTATGTATTTAGCCTTTTCGTTAATCCACTGCTGGATGAGGGTGCCTCGCCATGCCGCGTGGGGCAGCGGGCGTTATGTGATCGTATTTTTCCCCGCACTGATCGGTGCCGTGTTGGTAAAAAGCCCGGGGAGAGCACGTACGTGGGGGGCAGCCTCGTACAGCCCAATGGATCTTGCTCTGTGCCGCCCGTGATGCCAGTAAATCCCACGCTGCCACGCAGTGATCAACTACGAGGTGACGGTTCGCACGGGGGACGTGCGCGGCGCCGGCACGGACGCCGCCGTCTTCGTGCAGCTGTACGGCGAGCGCGGCAAGACGGAGCAGAAGACGCTGGCCAGCCGCTCCGACAGCTTTGAGAAGGGCGCCACCGACGTCTTCAAGGTGCGTCCGTGTGTCCACCACCACCACCATCATAAAAACGACAGACACCATTCGCCACTTAAGCGGCAGTAACGACGATGTCACCACGGCGCCTGTGCCACGCCAGGTGCACTTTGAGGCCACGTGCAGTGTCGAAGGCTCGCTGACAGGTCATGTGACATACCCACGTGACTGAGATGACAAGCAGATGCACCAGCTTTGTCACCTCCCGCGCCAACTTACTGCATTTTAGCCGCATGGCTCTCCACTCGTTTTTGTGCTCCTCCGCCCTCCGATGTTGCTGGAGGTCGACTGTCTCCAACTGCCCAGTAGCTTCCTTGACGAGCCTCCTCCAGAGAGGCCGATCTTAACATCGCCGGTACCAGTCTTCGGCAAGTCAAACCACCACCACTCGCAGTAGCAGCAGCAAGCTGTGTGGTGCAAAGCAAAGTGGTGACACCCGTCGCACCTGTTCCCTGTTAACTTGCCGTGATCACGCAGGTATCTTTGTTCAGGGTTCACCGATATGGTTTTAGGAGGCCCCGGGGCAAAATGCTGAATAAGGGCCTCAAAGAGGGGCCCCGTTGGGCCTTCTGCAGAGCACCGTCCACTTAGCAGACCGCCGCTGCTTACACCTCGTATCACGCTGGGACAGGTGCTTGGCTGGACTGCAGCAAAAAATTGGAATGTTGACATGAGATGTGATTTGAGGTGCTTTGAGTCGACAGGAGATACTGGTTTTAGCAAATGGCTTCGCTAATCCACCTGGATGGGTTTAACCCTGCTGCATGTGTGCTGAACTTCTTTCGCGCCGTACGTAGCCAAGCGTGCTAATCGGAGGTGCGAAATGAGTGTCGTCGGCTCGGAATTGCGTCGATTTTTTTTCTTGCAACTCTGCTTTCCTTCCGGCTTGCAAAATAAGAGCGAGAAAATTGGATGAACGTGCCAAACGGGACCCTCCTGAAAAGGAGTCTGGAAAAATCAACGAGCTTTCCGTTGATGAGTAAACGACTTAAGATGATTATTATTATACACAAAAAACAATGGACTGCTTCCATGGCGTACTGCTTTGCACATTGGACCTGCAACCCAGAGGTCGCAGGTTTGGTTTGATCTGTGAGCGGTAGGAGATGTTGTTGATATTTAAACAGGGAGGTTTATGGAGCGCACACGAACGCGCGTTTGGAAGGCTACGAGTTGACGTCTCTGTCCTCGGTCAATTGAGTCCATGAGTCAGATGTGGTTGCTAAAACAGGAACCACTTTGTAAGCGATCAACCGTCGCCATGCCCACTATGTTGACCCTGTAAAGACAAACTGTTTTTTTTTATAATTTACCCTTCGAACTCAGTCTATGAGTTGAAATCAAGATAGCCAGCTGAAATGTGCAGTACGGTGTGAACCTTACGAAGGCAGACTGCGTGAGAAGCCGGAAAGTCTGCTGAAGTAAAGCAATAAGCCCCGACCCAAGAGCACTTGGGCGCTAATTAAACTGCGCACAGGGCGTCGAGTTTATGTGCAAATCGCGTGGGGCGCTTTTAAAAAATATATAAAGTGTAGTACTGTACTGTCAATGCAGTCGATGGTGCACGTGTAACAACCACCAATTCTAAAGCTCGTCGTGAGAATAATTTTATTGTTTTATTTTTATTATTTTATTATTTCCCTTCTACGTGACTTTACCGAAAGAACCAAGAAGATGAATCTCTGCAGTCACGAAAGCTTTAAATCGAAATTCTAAAGCTATTTGCCTGGTCTGTTGTGAACCTATCTACGGCGTTAATAGCTCCGAATGCTTTGCTAAGGATTTCCCCCCACACCCTATCTCTAATCGTCACTTTGTCAGCTGAAGGTGTTTTACATTCACTTTACATCAAACGAACTCATCTTGGTTTTTTCGGTAAAGTCACGTAGAATGGAAATAATAAAATAATGTAATTATGTTTTATTATTTTATTACTTCCCTTCTACGTGACTTTACCGAAAGAACCAAGAAGATGAATCCCTGCAGTCACGAAAGCTTTAAATCGAAAGCAAACGAACTCTTCCAAGGCCACGACTATGAGCCGCACGCAGCACCTGATTGTTTCATCTTTGAAAAAGGGGTAAACAACAGCTGTTACCGCACGATTAGGTTTAGTCGTCTCCGCATGTCTTTGTTGTTGGTCTTCCCGCCGCCCCGAAACGTTTCAAATAAAAAAAGTAAATTTCGATTTAAAGCTTTCGTGACTGCAGGGATTCATCTTCTTGGTTCTTTCGGTAAAGTCACGTAGAAGGGAAGTAAAAAAATAATAAAAATACAACATAATAAAATAATAATAGAATAATTAAATAATAAAAATACAACATTATAAAATTAAATAATAATATAATAATTATTTTATTATGTTGTATTTTTATAATTGTATTACTTCCCTTCTACGTGACTTTACCGAAAGAACCAAGAAGATCAAAGAAGTAGTTAGAAAAAAAGAATTCGCGACGTCCCTGGGTGGGCTTGAACCACCAACCTTCCGGTTAACAGCCGAACGCGCTAACCAATTGCGCCACAGAGACAGCTGTAAGGAACCACTTGCTGTTCCTTGTTTAGTGAATTACAATAATGACACTCGCTAGCGTAAAAACGAATCTCCTATTGACATTGGGGACGTCCATAAATGACGTCACGCACGTGGGGGGGGGGGGGGTCAGACATTTGTGACGATGTGTGACGAGGGGGGGGAGTTTGAGAAATGTGACGTCACATCAAAATGCGCAACTTGAAATAAATATAGACAACACGTTCTACTTAATTAAATAGACTTTTTAATATTTTTTTTATTTTTAGGGGGGGGGGGAGGCAGAGCTTTGTGACGTCATATTTGAGGGGGGGGGGTCTGACTTTTGTGACGCCGTGTGACGAGGGGGGGGGGTAAAAAATCGTCCAAAGTCGAGTGACGTCATTTATGGACGGCCCCTTTGTGAAATAAAAAGACACTTTCAAACAGCGTCTCTGGGTGGGCTTGAACCCACCAACCTTGTTGGTTAACCGGCTCGTTGATGATATTCAGTTTTAATGAAATAAAATGGAACAAAAAAAAGCCCTCCAACATTGCCCCCATCATGGGCTTGAACCACCAAACTTCCGGTCGCCACATCTTCACGGCCCTTTAATGGCACTCACTGTATATTAAAATAAAATCTAGTGTTATTATTATTATTGAATTTGTGCACGCAAAAACATACGCTCGCAACCACCAACCATTGCGGTTAACAGCCCGGGCGCGCTCATCGGTAAAGTCACGTAGGTAAAAAATTAAAATAAATAAAATCACGACGTTTCGGAGGCAACACAAGCTTCCGTCTTCAGGTGGAACCGTCACAGCAAAATTACTGTACCTGAAGACGGAAGCTTGTGTTGCCTCCGAAACGTCGTGATTTAATTTATTTTGTTTATATTTTTTACCTACGTGACTTTACCGAAAAAACCAAAGAGTATGAATCCCTGCAGTCACGAAAACTTCAAATCTAGAACATATCCACGGTGTGGATGAGAATGTGAGGTTGTTTTGGTGGCACGTGACCCTGGGTGAGACTTGACTCAGGCAAAGCTTCCACAGTGAACGACCCAAACGCGCGCCACGCGACGCCGTTGTCGGCCGCAGAGATTCGGGAGCACTTTGGCGTCTGTGCTCTCTGCCGAAGATGAACAAAAAGTTTGAGTTGTCAATCTCCAACAATTCAACCAAAAAAATTACTTTCCAGCATCCACCTATTAACTTTACACCTATATACTGTCCTGTTATGTGGCTGGACTATTCGTCGGTCATCACCACACCACGTTGTTTTAAAAGAAGAATGTATCCACAAGTTAATGTTAACTTCGTGCACAAAAATAACAAAGACCGTCCCTGGGTGGGCTTGAACCACCTACCTTTCGGTTAACAGCCGAACGCGCTAACCAATTGCGCCACAGAGACAGCTGTAGGAGAACTGTCGACTGTCCATCCTTAAGGCGTTTTCTCAATGATATTCAACTGTGAATAAACATTCATCCAGCATTGACCGCGCGCAAACAAAAGAAACTCGCAAACACTTGACACACTAATTCTATATTTTAAGCTTTCGTGACTGACTTTACCGAAAAACCCAAAGAGTACTTTACACACTCGCGAACACCGAAAAGCATTTGCTTTGAGGCTTTAAGCTACCAGACATCAGCCACGGGCATCAGAGGTTGGCGTGTCCTGTGCTGTACGTAACACATTCCGACTGATTGCGAGCCATTGTAGCGCATTGGGAGAACATTGAAACGCTCAAAAACATTTTGTTGGCAACGTAACTTGGTCAACTGCTTCCGACTGGCAAGTTTTCCATCTCAAACACGCGACGGTTCCATCTGTTGATGTCTCCAGCAGTTCTTTGAAGTTGATCTTCGTGAGTCAATATTCACATTCACTGGCCTGCACTGGCGGCGGTGAGCATGGTTCTTAAAAGTATGTTTTTTTTCTAATTGCACGAGCATTTGTCAGCATGCACATACATTGAAAACGAGCAATTAAAATGTAACGTATTGGGAAAAAAGAAATCACACGTCCCTGGGTGGGCTTGAACCACCAACCTTCCGGTTAACAGCCGAACGTGCTAACCAATTGCGCCACAGAGACCGCTGTAGTGGCTTCCTGTCTGCGTCCCTGCTGACACTAAGCCGTGTTCATTGATTGGGGTAACAGATGATAAATAATGCGTGGAAATGTTAATAACCTGCTTGCTTTTTATCGATTTAAAGCTTTCATGACTGCAGGGATTCATCTTCTTGGTTCTTTCGGTAAAGTCACGTAGAAGAGAAATAAAAGAATAATAAAAATAAAACATAATAAAATAATATAATGAAATAAAACATAATAAAAAAATAAATCTTGTTTTATTATGTTTTATTTATGTTATTTTATTATTTCCCTTCTACGTGACTTTACCGAAAGAACCAAGAAGATGAAACCAGCTTGCTGCATTCCCTTATTTAAACAAGGCATTGATCTGCAGGTGGGGATGTATTATAATCCCCATCTCTTCATGTTCCACCAACCATTTTCCAGGTCATCAAATGTAATTCATATGCAACTACGCCCAATAAAAAGAATGACCGCTGTTTACGAATATAATAAGCGAATAATGTGACGTCACTCTACGTGAGCCCCCCCCCCCCCTAATTAATAATCATGAACAGGTGACGTCACTTCACATGCTGCACTCCCACCCAATAACCATGAGGGGGTGACGTCACTCCACATGGGCCCCCCCTCCCCCCTCATTAATAATGTTGAGCTGAACAATTTTTCTACTGAATATTTCAGATTCACTGCAATATACACCCGTCCTTGGACGGGCAAACAAGCTAGTTCATCATTAAATGCTAAATCTGATGAGTTCAGGAACACTTTGTAAATCGTATTTCTCCAGCATGTTAAGATTAACACTCAAACTGCGAACCAACAGCAATTGAATTTAGATACTTCTGGGGTGCAACATATCCTCAGTGGCTTCCCGCGGTGGGTTCCATCTGTTGATGTCTCCAGCAGTACTTTGAAGTTGCTCTTCGTGAGTCGTTCATCACCACACCCCCGTGTGAAACATTCCACTTTCCTTCCATGTCCGCAATGTTCACGTGAGCGTGGTTCTGAAAAGTATGTTTTTTTGTAATTGCACAAGCATTTGTCAGCATGCACATACATTTAAATCGAGCAATTAAATGTAACTAATTGTGAAAATAAATAATCACACGTCCCTGGGTGGGCTTGAACCACCAACCTTCCGGTTAACAGCCGAACGCGCTAACCAATTGCGCCACAGAGACAGCTGCAAGAAACCACCTGCAGTTCCATGTTTGAGGAATCAATGACATTCGCTGTCGTAAAATTGTATCGAGTATTGACTTTGTGTGATAAAAATATACTCACAAAACGTTGTCCATGGGTGGGCTTGAACCACCAACCTTCCACTTGAACAGTCGAACGCGCGAAAAAATTGTACGACAGAGACAGTTGCAAAAAGCCACCTGCAGTTCCATGTTTGAGGAATGAATGACATTCGTTGTCGTAAAATGGAATTGATTATTGACTTTGTGTGATCAAAATATACTCACAAACACAGTCCCATTTCGGTTGACAGGCGAACGCGCTAACCAATTGCGCCATAGAGACCGCTCGTAACAAACTCAGCTGACCGCGTGGTCTCCAAAGCCCACGGATGATATTCGCTCGACGCAACTGCAACACGAGGCACAAAAATGCTACGCACATTTGGGGACTTTGTAAACATTTGTCAACATGACATGGTGTTTATTAGACTACCCAACAACTTCATCCTGACCTTTGAAACAACAAGAAAAGCCTCGTCCCTGGGTGGGCTTGAACCACCAACCTTTCGGTTAACAGCCGAACGCGCTAACCAATTGCGCCACAGAGACAGCTGTAGGCGCACTTTCGACCGTTCCATCCTTAAGGCGTCTTCTCAATGATATTCACCTGTAAATAAGCATTCATCCAGCATTGACCACGCGCAAACAAAACAAAATCACAAACACTTAACACACTCGGGAACACCGAAAAGAATTTGCTCTGATCCTTTAAGCTACCAGACATCAGCCACGGGCATCAGAGGTTGGCGTGTCCTGCGCTGTACGTAACACATTACGACTGATTGCGAGCCATTGTAGCGCATTGGCAGAACATTGAAACGCTCAAAAACATTTTGTTGGCAACGGAACTTGGTTTGACTGCTTCCGACTGGCAAGTTTTCCATCTCAAAGTTGGTGTCTCAAACACGCGACGGTTCCATCTGTTGATGTCTCCAGCAGTACTTTGAAGTTTCTCTTCGTGAGTCGTTCATCACCACACCCCGTGTTAAACATTCCACTTTCCTTCCATGTCCGCAATGTTCACGTTCACTGGCCTGGTGAGCGTGGTTCTTAAAAGTATGTTTTTTTTCTAATTGCACGAGCATTTGTCAGCATGCACATACATTGAAAACTAGCAATTAAAATGTAACGTATTGGGAAAAAAGAAATCACACGTCCCTGGGTGGGCTTGAACCACCAACCTTCCGGTTAACAGCCGAACGCGCTAACCAATTGCGCCACAGAGACAGCTGCAGTGGCTTCCTGTCTGTGTCGCTGCTGACACTAAGCCGTGTTCATTGATTGGGGTAACAGAAGATAAATAATGCGTGGAAAAGTTAATAACCAGCTTGCTTTTTATCAATTTAAAGCTTTCATGACTGCAGGGATTCATCTTCTTGGTTCTTTCGGTAAAGTCACGTAGAAGAGAAAAAAAATAATAATAAAAATAAAACATAATAAAATAATATAATAAAATAAAACATAATAAAATAATAATTCTTGTTTTATTATGTTTTATTTATATTATTTTATTATTTCCTTTCTACGTGACTTTACCGAAAGAACCAAGAAGATGAAACCAGCTTGCTGCATTCCCTTATTTAAACAAGGCATTGATCTGCAGGTGGGGATGTATTATAATCCCCATCTCTTCATGTTCCACCAACCATTTTCCAGGTCA